AACCAAAAAGGTTACAGGTTTCAAACAAAATAAATTTACAAATGCAATTATTTTCACCCTTTATCAGAAAATGAAGTCTTCTTAGTGAAAAAATAGAACCAAATATAGAAACCCAATTAGAAAGCATTCTATCAATTTATAGCATGAAATTGTCTCTCACACTGCGCAGCAGTATATATTCCGTTTTTCTGAAATTACGCCCCCTTTTAAAAATCTTAGATCTACCCCAGATATCCTTATGTTGATTTGCAGAATGTTTTTTCCATAAAGCTTGTAATACCACTACTTCATTCTCATGAAGACTTGTTTAAAATTTGTCCCGACATGAGACTTTGGTCTTCATGATTACTACATAGTTGATCAAGGCTATCAGTGAAAAAAGTTCAGTTTCAGTAACAGTACATCTAGTATGAAATATAAGAAATAATATAATAGCACTATAGATGGGTGGATCAAATAAACTGTGTTGACATGGTATGCAATGATACAGACCCTTTGTACTGAGATATTTCTACCATTTATTTAATGATACTTTATACTTTAAAGTAAATATATACATTTTTCATATCTGGAGAAAAATCTTAGCATGGTTTGGTGCGTGAAGCATTTTAAGGCAGTAAATCGAAGGGTGGAGCTTATTCATTAAAAGATTTTAAGCTGAAAGAAAGGATTGGTATACATTAGAGAATAAGTGCAAACATATGTAATAGAAAAACATCATCTTCACAAATTTCAAGATTGGACCACAGAGAATTGAAGAAAAAAATTGGGGGACTCCACTTGACAATTTATTTATATAAATAATTTTTTGGTAATATGTAAGTGATCTAGATTTGTTACAATTGTAATTTTCACTTTGAATTTGAAAATATCATTGTATAGTAGCAGGATTTTTATACCTTGCCTGTCCAAGAAGTGGGGCAGATTATTTGTTTTGTTCTGTGTATCTGGCCCGAGAACACAGTTATTTCGTAGTGCATTTCTTTTAGACAATAAATTTAAATTAAAAAAATCGCACCTGCTCTATCTCAAAAAGATTTTTACAGTGTAGTGTACTACTATTGATACAAATAATATCAAAATTATAGAAACTTCTACCAGCTCTAACTCAAAATATTGACAATTCTGTGTTAAGGGGGGCTAAAATTCAGTTTGACAGCTTCAGACATTCTAATTTTTGACCTTTTTTAACTGGACCAAATCACTACTTAACATAAAGATTCAGCACCCAAATTTTTTTAACATGTAATTTCATCCCCTTACTTGATATTTCATGCATAAAATATCAAGAAATAAATTGGGAAAGTGTATCAAAAAAAAATGCAAGTTATACACTGTTCACACTAGGGACTATATTCGTAGACAACGAAAACCAAAGGACGATAACTGTGTCCTTGGACCTAATAGGATAGAAAGACTTGACCAATTTTAATAAAACTTTGCATGACCTAAGCTTAGACAATTATAAGATAGTTGGCCATGTTTCATGGCCATAGGATATATATTATAGAAACTAGGGCCATTTTAATATTGAAATTTGGTGGTTTATTTTTGACGTTTAAATCAAATATTTTCAACTGTCAAGATTTTGGCCTAAAAAATTTAAATATTGCAAAAATTTGCTTTTTAAATACTCTTGAATTTAATATAATAAGTATTAAAAGCAACGGAACACTCATTTGATTTATCAGATTTATTACAGTTATTCAAAAGTCAAATTTATATGAGCCTGTGCCTGAAAATAGAGATTTTCGAATTAAGGGAAGCCTTACATAAACATGCATTTTTTTCAACCAATTTGAAGTTTTTGAAGTTTTTTAACCATACATTATTCTTCCATATATATTAAATGTACTTTAAATGTAAAGAAAAGTTACAAAAAGCATACCACATGAGTATAAAATGGTCTTAGGCCATGTAAGACTGAGAATTATTTAGAGTCGATTTAGGCCGTAGCCCATATTTACATATAAAAATGCACACAGAGGCTATAAGAAATTGAAATTTGTTACTTTTTGCTCATTTCTATGCTAAGATGTCATGATACAAGAAGTCTAATTGCAAAAGGACTCTTGAATTCAACTTTTTTTTGCAGACAGTATGGTCTAATGACCAGTTTTTCACTTTTCAATGGAAAACTTGCATGTAGTTTTACTCTCATTTGGCATATGTTTGAACCACTTACTATCCTAAAGAACAAAATTATGGTAGCATATCAAATGAATAGGGTGTACTGATCATTGTAAAGTGTTTATTTTTACAGATTTAGTGAAATATTTGTGATGGACTACAGATTTTATGTACAAAGCTCTTCACATTTCACATACATCAAACAGGCCGTTTAACCAGGGACATAAATACAAATATTCTGCACATTTTTTCTGTGATAATCTACTTTTCTCTAGATTCCGAGTTCACAAATGGTTAATTAAATTTGATTTAAGCATAGAAACACAAATATCAGGAACATAAAAAGCTGTCAGATAGAAAGTCAGCATGGCTCTTAGGCATAAAATGGAAACTGCTTTAAAATGCTTATTTTAGCCGTATAATGCCAAAATGGGACATTTTAACAGAATTTTTGTCAAACAAAGATGTAAATCCTTTACTTTTATTGAGTTTGACAAATTGAAACCAGCAAACCATTCAGGAAAGTTGCCAAAGTACAGAATCTACATTTACGGAATTCATCTCTTAGGCCCGAGAACACAGTTATTTCGTAGTGCATTTCTTTTAGACAATAAATTTAAATTAAAAAAATCGCACCTGCTCTATCTCAAAAAGATTTTTACAGTGTAGTGTACTACTATTGATACAAATAATATCAAAATTATAGAAACTTCTACCAGCTCTAACTCAAAATATTGACAATTCTGTGTTAAGGGGGGCTAAAATTCAGTTTGACAGCTTCAGACATTCTAATTTTTGACCTTTTTTAACTGGACCAAATCACTACTTAACATAAAGATTCAGCACCCAAATTTTTTTAACATGTAATTTCATCCCCTTACTTGATATTTCATGCATAAAATATCAAGAAATAAATTGGGAAAGTGTATCAAAAAAAAATGCAAGTTATACACTGTTCACACTAGGGACTATATTCGTAGACAACGAAAACCAAAGGACGATAACTGTGTCCTTGGACCATCTGTACTTTTAGTTTATTTTTTGTCCATTCTCTGTCTTTTTGTTCTGCCTCAGGATTTAATTTGGTCAAGAAGTTTGCATTGAAATCCAGAAATAATATTCTGTGAGAATATCCAGGTTAACAGTTTCCAAAATATATAGGTCTGATTGATATTGTGATCGTCACTTGACATTATCATTTAATAATCATTATTACATTTCTGAAAAATAATTTTTATTTTAAATTCTGATAGAAGCATTCCTAAAACCAAATAATTAAAATTCACATTTTTGTCCAATGTTCATCAATTGCACAAAAAAAAAAGCATGTAAAAAATTGTGAATTTACAATACATCAAGATATGAATATTTAAAGGATGTTGTGACATTGCTCTAATAGTTCAGTGATCATGGTTCAATAAATGTTTAAGTAGTTAAAAGTGAATCAAATGTAACTTTACCACAGATTAAATAAAGATATGAACTGTCCCCAATAAAGATCCAAAGACAAGTAACCTTATCCTATTATCCTTAAACAATTGATTTTCAAGACCTTGAAAGATTATCCAGTGTCTTTTTTTTACTTTAAGTAAATTAATATAGTGAATGCAGATGAAGATTCTGTTTCAATTATTGGTCAGACAACTTTAACTAGTTTGAGAGGAAAAAAAAAATAAATTGTTTCCTTTCATATTTAAATTTTGTCCCAGAACCATCATGGGTTGCTATTATTGAACTTATTCTTTCACAGTACCTTTTTATGCCTACGATAGTAGGGGTCATTATGTTTTCTAGTCTGTGCATCCGTCTGTTGTTCTCGTATCAGGTTTAAGAATTTGGTTAAGTTAGTTTACCATGAAGGTGTGGTCACATAAACTTTGAACTAAGTATGTATGTTTTTCATGATGTGATCTTAAAAATTATATGCCAAAATTTGGTTTTGATCCCAATTACATGGTTCACTGAATACAGAAATGTGATATCAGGAAATTAATACATACTCAGGTTAAAGTTTATGGTTAAGGTAGTTTACCATAAAATTGTGGTCACATAAACTTGAAACTTACTACACATAATCGTAATCATGTGAATTAACTTAAATAACAAGTTGTGATATTGACCCCCATTGTAAGATTTACTGAATATGGATCTCATTACAATATCCCATTTAAAAGATGGTAGATTTATTTAGGGACTTCATTCGTGAGTACCGGACTGGTATCCTGTAACTGGGATCCTATTCCAGCTTAAAACATCATTAGGGTGTCAAACTAAATGGTTCTGCTTTCCAACAGAACAAATTATGTGCATACCTTGCCTTTGCAGTTCCAGAGTCCATGACCCCAAATGTGCAAGTTGATATAGTGTTATACATTGGTGCCTGGCAAGCTAAACCTGTTTACATTGCAAATTGATGTTTTGTCATGCATGAATTAGATTTGCTCCTCATTGCCAAATATTAAGAGCAGATACTGAAATTGCAAAGATAACATTCTGTGACAAATTTATTTATAGCATAAATAATATTTGTGTTCCTTGCTTGGTTCAGATATTCATTAATTACTTGAAAAGTCTTTATAACCCAGGTTTTCTAAAGCAAGAGGTGCATAATGATGGTAGAGTCAGTTTGTCTTTCCCTTAGTTTCCACCCACTTTTGTATACGTTATTGCTCCTGAACCACTTGACAGAATTTTGTGTACACAGAATCTTACTCACTTGATGTACTTTTTCTCCTAATTCTTTTCTTTATCTAAATGATTTTTGGGGTTTCCTTTAGCAAATTCTGTACTTTGCAAGGGGCTGTGTATCATTTAATGAGATTTACTTGTAGTACCTTTAGTTCTTATTCAATATCATGCTTATATTTCAGTGCCTATGGACAAATGTGGAAGTGAAATGATTGCATCTAGTAAATCACAGTGGTTTGGATCTCCAAACTTTCCAAATTCCTATCCAAACAATATACTGTGTGACTGGATCATCAAGACAAGCAACTCAGTGGACCTCATATCATTACAGGTATGTAATGTTTCATAGGTGAAAATTTTGATGAATTAGTGTTAAAATTTTAGACTTTACAATCTATAGGTTTCCATGTGTTTGATATGCTTTAGTTTTTGAAAAAGGGTCTGTCTGAACTTTTAAAATTGCTAAATGGCCAAATCATAAAGTTGAAGTTACAATTCATTCCTTGAAATGGGTACAAATCTAAATTTTAAGATGTGGAAATGCCAATATTTGCGTAAACTTAAATTTCTAGTGTGATTTATATGACATTGACATCATATTCATGGATCAAAATATTTGCGTAAACTTAAATTTCTGTTTTGATTTATATGACATTTACATCATATTTATGGATAATTTTTGATGTTAATATAAAGTGATACTTTCAACATGAAATTCAATCATAATTAGTAAAGCTAGGGGAGACCATTCAGCATGTGTACTCTTGTTTGAAGTGTTAATGGCTCATCAGTGGAAGAAAGAGAATCCATAAATAACAAGCAATAAAAAGCAATGAACAAAAAGACATAACTAAGTAATGATAGTATTACCAAGGAGGTTATATGAGAAGGAGAGTGCACACTCTGCTTGATGTAAAATTAGCATCCCCAGGATAGCAATTCCATCAGAGGAAAATGATAAAAATATAAAGAAACCGACATGTTTATCACCCACATGATATGGCCCTCTGATGTACCAGGCTGTTACCGCTAACAGTCCTTGTGATTAGGAGAATCGCTAATGTCACGTGATTGTTATCGGTAAGTGGGTCATCAAAATACAGGTGTACTTATCGTTACTAATCAGTTTTAATGTGTTTTTAATTTGCAATATCATTTGATGCGAAATTCGAAAGTATATTGTCTAACTACGGTGAAAATCGACAAAGAAATGACAAAGTTATGAGGGTGTAAAGAAATTTAAGAATGCAATTTCTATTGCACTCCACCTTGCTTTAAGATTTCACTTCACCTGTATGGCTCTGCCCATGATAATTGGTAGGTAATATCATAGAAAATAGAGGAATATGTGAGGTACTTTCGTTACGGTGACTGGTTGCGACCAGAGCGAATATTTGTAATTGAAACAAAGAGAAATTTATTGAGAGCAAGCGAAAAGTTTGTTTCTCATTGCGTTAGGCTGTAGATATAGGCATAGGCGCTTAGATTTTCATTTCCCATGTTGGATCCTGGAAATGGAAAATGGTAGGTTATATCCTCGAAAAGGAATATGTGAGGTACCTTTGTTGAGGTGACCGGTTACGACTGGAACGATTTAATTTTATTGAAACAGAGGAATTTATCTGAGAACCATCAAAAAGTTTCAGACTTTCTCCGTGTGGAATGCTGTAGACATAAGAACATGGCAATTTTTTTTCTATCATTAAAATCGTTTCTTTGCAAAATTCATTGTTTTTGTATCCGTTCATCTCATTTTCCAACATATATAAATTTTGGTTCCCTTTAAATTGACGGGCTCTCACTGAAAGCAAAGGAACAAAAAAATATAAGAAAAATAAAGTTATATGATATCAATTTTTATTTTTGAAAATCCTCAATGTGACCACGCCAATCATTACCTTGTTATACACTGAATTTAATTAATACTTTGTTAAAATCAGTACTTTATTGGCTTAATAAGACGGTAAAATGTCAGAAAATTAACACATGCATTTTGTACATTTATACTAAGATTGCAAGGCATGTAGATTGGTACTTCTCTATATGTGTTTTTTCCCGACAATACACATGGTATGTGTAGATTTTTTCTTAATCAATGCTCATGCACGGTTGTAATATTTATAAAGAAAATGGAAAATGCGTCCATTTGTTAATAAAGATATGGCGACAGGAAAACGTGTCTATTCTTTAATTAACAGACATTTTTCCTGCACGCTTTTATAAATATTTTATGTTTTAAATTTTAAATTTTAATTTTTAATCCCATATATATACATCATTTACGAAGCAATTCAGGTCGGTTGAGTTGTTCGTCTAGCAGATGCAGAATATTTCTAGATCAAATTCTTTTTCGAGCTCCAATACTTAGGCATTGCTTATAAATAAATCATCGACCATGATCAAATGATGACTGAAATACGTCAACAGAAAACATCCGGTGTGTATTTTTTAATAGCCTGGGATCCTGGCCAAACCTTCACTTCTCGTAAGTAAGGCTATATATATACTGTCGAGAACTGAGCCATGATCTCAGGCTTACTTTGTAAAATCTTGGTTGGTTTATAAAACTTCGGGTGTCTCCGTTCTTAATCGGGTGTATAATTAGGACAATTTTTCCCTCTGCGACCGAATCAATCTCAACAAATTAACACCCACTTACTAAAAAGGCGGTAACATTTTATGTGTAATTAGCGTCTTTCGTCCTCTCTCCTTCTCATTTAACCTCCTTGGTATTACATTTGATTTAAACTTCAAGTCTGATAAAGCAATATTAAATAATACTGCACCAAAGAATGTCTGCACACAGTTATGGAAAGTTATCTACCTGTACTATGTATTCATTTATTTTCATGGACACCAATTTAAGATTCAGAAATTATTGCGTGCATTTATTATTGCGATTTTGTCATTTTAGACTATAATGCGATTTTAATTTTTGCTATATTGAGAAAAAATTCTGTTTAATTCATATAAAAAATTTCAAAATGCAAGTTTAAATTATTGCGATTATAACCCTGTCTCATTTTTCGCAATAATAAAAACATCGCAATAATTTCTGAATATACAGTAGATTGATTTAGGGAAAAAAAAATTTTGTGGATATTTTATGCTGAAGTTTTGTCAAACTTTGCATACAACTCTATAGAAAATTTTTACTTTGTTGAACATTTAACTTCCTGGTTTACCTACACCAAAGAAATCCACTAGAATTGGTATCCTACGAATAAAAATAAATCCACAGTAAATGGATCGTCAATGTTCTGATGAAAAGGAATCTAATTATTTTCAAATGTTTATTTTATTTCAGTTTCACCGTTTTTCCATAGATACCTCAGATTTCATAGAGATCAGACAAGGGGAATCAATTGACTCGCCATTATATGGACGCTTTACCGGTGATGATATACCTCCAGTATTTATTAGTACTAGTCACAGTTTTTTTATCAGGCTTTATACAGATTTCACCCATACTGGAACTGGCTTTAATGCAACATATAAAACAGGTTTGTCTTGTGATATCGCTGTATAAATATTCATATAAATGAGTATTGTTATGATTTCAGAGATGTTATCTCTAAATCTAATTGAAGGAAGAAAACAAAAACTTATATAAGCATGATAAGTTGGTCTATATTCTAGTTACCCACTAGTAAATTAAACATGTTTTTTTATCAGTATAGTGTGCATAGATTTAAGAAAAGTAGTGGTGTTATGGCATTTTATGAAGTGATGAATAGGACATCTGATACATACAATGATTTTTTTTTTTTTAATATGCAAGTAAGTAAATACTAAATTGTAAGAGACAAGCATAGTAAGCAAAAATATTGAAAAGGCCCTCAAACAATGATAAATTTAATGCAAATAGATGCACATTATACAGATCAATACCATATACAGTCTGTGAATAACATGTTTCACAGATTGTTCTTGTTTATATATTAAATATGCTATACACTTTTCTTTAAAAGGATCAATATATTATGTTTTGTCACAATAAACAAGAATCTACACTATGAGATACCAGTACCTGTAAAAAAAATTTCTTAAATCTTTCAACAACAAGGACTTCAGGTGTGATAGACTCACTAATTCAGTAAAAAAAGAATCTTCCCATTGTCTGAATTTGAAGGCTCACTGGCCTCTCACAAATACTGCCTATTTCAATTAAATTTTTATTATGACACTTCATGAAACAAAAAGTGTAGTATCCAAGTAACAACTGTAGCTACCTAAGCTAGCACATTTTGGCCCTGCTGCCACTTTTTGTCCCCTTGTGTTGCACCACAGGGGATAAGGTAAAGGTCTCTGTCTGTTCGAAACACATCAATATTCAGAGATTGTTTGACATACAGATTTCAAACTTTTATTTGACCATATTTTACCGTCATTTTAATCTGAACATTTTTACAGGAGTTATGGGACTTTGACTATTTCTTTGAATATTGTGACAAAAAACCCTTGTAAACGCATTTAAATTCCCTGAAACCATTTGACAGAAAACTCTCATACTTGGTAGGATTGTTTGCCATCATGTGTTGTTGACTATATTGTACTGCCATTTTGATTTGACCATTTTTACAGGAGATAATTGACTTTGACCTTTTGTTTTAGTATTGCGTTCATATTTGGTAGAATTGTTTGTCTTCATGTGTAGTAGACCATATTGTAGAGTTATTTTGATTTGACCATTAAATGGGAGTTATGGGACTTAAACCATATTTTGAGCACCATTACCATGATTACACATTGTAACATATAATTTTATTCCTGATTTATACAGCGCAGGGGACATTTTGATACGACATAACATTTGTTACTACTACTGTAAAAGATTTCAAAGAGAAAAAATATGTGAGAGTACTGCTATAATTTAATTGTATACTGATTTTCAAAATTGTCTTTTTGCAGGTTGTAATAATACAATACTTCAAGGTTATGCCAGAATTATGTCCCCTGGATATGGTATAACCAAGTACCCAAACAGCATAAACTGTGATTGGACAATCAGTGATCCTCTACAAAGAAATTTAACTCTGGTTTTTAATAATAACTTTGATACTGAGAAAGGATTTGATAATGTTACAGTAAGTGAATGAAAAGAACAACATTGTAGATTCTTGCAAAATCTTACAACAAAATATTAGCAAGTTAGCCAAAGGCTTTGATGGCTCCCTTAAGCTAAAAGATATTGTCTTTGCAGTCTCGGAAAATTGTTGTTGAAATGACTGCTTAGTAGGTTGTGAAATGTTACTGATATGATTCTTTAGCAGTTTGAACTTTGTCATGGTCTTTTCAATTACTGTGGAGTCATTTATTTTCATGGATACCAAGTTTCGTGGATTTACCGAGTATTGTATTTTCATTTATATTTATTTCATTGTTTTGCCAAAGTATCCATTCAAGCCTACATGAAAATGTGTTCTTAGTTAAACATTTAAATTCCTGGCAATAAAAATATAGGATATTCTGAGGAATGACCAAAACGACTGTAAATTCAGAAATTATTGCGATGTTTTTATTATTGGGAAAAATGCGACAGGGTTATAATCGCAATAATTTAAAATCGCATTTTGAATTTTTCTTATATGAATTAAACAGGATTTTTCTCAATATCGCAAAAATTAAAAAAACGCATTTTAGTCAAAAACGACAACATCGCAATAATAAATGCACGCAATAATTTCTGAATTTACAGTTCTACCTACTGAAGTTGAATAAGAATTTTAGAACATAAAGCAAGAATGCGATCAACTCAAAGGATTTTAACTAGGTTAAAATTGCCAAACAGCTACTTTAATGAAACATTTTGTTTAAAAAAAAAAAAAGACAGAATAAACTCATTTTTCTTTGGAATTGCATTTATATTTCTTTTTCAGGTTTATACAAACAATCATACCTCCTATACTCACGCAGGGCAAGGTGCCCCTCCAGCCATTACAACTCAGTCAGAGCAGTTCCATGTTAACTTTAGTTCAGATAGTCAGGTCAATAGGAATGGATGGGCCATAACTGTGTCATTTGGTAGGTATATATTTGTCTCCCTTTGTTAACATTAGTTCCGACAGTCAAGTAAATAAGAACGGATGGGCTATCACTGTGTCATTTGGTAGGTATATAGTTGTCTCCCTTTGTAAACTTTAGTTCAGACAGTCAAGTTGATGAGAACGGATTGGCCATCACTGTGTCATTTCGTAGGTATATATATTTGTCTACCTTTGTACTTTTTTGGCAGTTAAACATTGCCTGCAATCAAGCAAAACAAAAAAGTTTAAAAATTGTTTTTCAATTGAATTTTCAGTAGCAAATATTTCATGCATACTAATGGCTTTTGAAAATGAATTTTAAATCTTAAATTGAAGTAACAAAAATTTAGTTTTTTATGCCCCCGCTGTAGCGGAGGGGGGCATTAAGTTTTACCCTTGTCCGTCCGTCCGTCCGTACATACGTCCATCCGTCCGTACGTCCATACATCCCAAAATTGGTTTCCGTTCTCTAACATTAGTTTGCCTCAACCAAATGTTATGAAACTTATACACAATGTTTATTACCACAAAACACAGATCAAGTTTAAATTTTGAAGGCGTCACTTTTACCTTTCTAGAGTTATGCCCCTTTACAAATGGAAAGATTGCTAAATTTTTCGTTTACGTTCTCTAACTTTAGTTTGCCGCTACCAAATGTTATGAAACTTATACACAATGCTTATTACCACAAAACACTGATCAAGGTTGAAATTTGGTGGCGTCACTTTTACTGTTCTAGAGTTGTGCCCCTTTACAAATGGAAAAATTGCTCGATTTTTTGTTTCCGTTCTCTTACTTAAGTTTGCCTCAACTAAATGTTATGAAACGTATGCACAATGCTTATTACCACAAAACTCAGATCAAGTACAAATTTGGGTCACTTTTACAGTTCTTGAGTTGGTCCCTTTATAACATTATATGCAAGCGGGGGCATCATTTGTGTCCACTGGACACATTCCCCATTTATTTCATATTCAAATGAATTTTGACTCCCTCTTTTACTTTGCACCTATTTAGTTTTATCAATGCTTAACTGGCCTAAAATGCTAGGTATATGTCTGATGTTTCCTAAAAAAATGTTTATAATCAAAATGATGTTGAAATGAAGAAATTGAATATTTAAAAAAATTAGTTAATACCGTAAAGAAAAAAAACATTTCCAATGTAATAATTAGCCAGACTTTAGAGTAAAAACTATGTTTTCTTATATTTCAGATTGTCCATCATTAAATTTAAGTGATCATCTACAAATGAATTCATCAATTACAACATTTGGTACATATGTACTGTTTTACTGTGATAATGGTTACCAGTTGGCTGGTACCAGTGTGCTTATCTGTGATATTGGGGGAAGATGGTCAACATCTCCCCCTTCTTGTAAAGGTAAGTCAAGGTTCCCTTTTATAAAAAAAAAAACTGCTTAATACATTACAACATAAAAACTGTTTAATATACTTCTGCATTTTGGTTTTCAGTTTTTAAGATATGGATCCTAGGACACAATGCACCCATGGATACAGATTCTTCCACACTTCCCATATTTTAATACTGTAAATTCAGAAATTATTGTGTGCATTTATTATTGCGAATTTTCAAGAATGGACAAAAATGCGAGATTAGTTATTGCAATATCATGAAAATCTGCATACAGATATATGTAACAGACATCAGAATGCGAGTTCTTATTATTGGGATAGTCACCCAGTCACATTATTCGCATTAATAAAACCTCGCAATAATTTCTGAATTGACAGTATCAGATACGATTTTAAAATTGTTTTTAATTTTTGTGTGTAAATTACAAAAAAAAACTGAGCTCTTGCCATAAAATGTCATAAAAATGAAAAACAATTAAGACATCATGGATGGACCACTATAATTCCAAGGTATAATTTGAATAAAAAAAAAACATTGTCACATCAAAGTTCACCTTTTAAGGTGAAATCCTACCAAAGTAGATGAATTTGTTTTCATTTTTAAGCATCAGTTACATTGTTACCAGTCAGCTAATTTGCATGAAGTAATTTCAAAATTTTCAAAACACCTGATTTTCCAGAATTATAGAGTTGTGTGATTGTTTGTGCTACATGGGTCCAGAATTAAAAAAATCTTCTGGCTTCACATTCCCACTTATCCTAATTTCATCTTATTTATTTTCAGTAATTAATTGTGGATCACCTTCCATACCAGTTAATACCAAGCTGGTTAGTGTCAGTTCCACATTTTACCTTGGAAGAGCTGTATATAAATGTAATTCAGGGTATAAAATGTCTACCAATGATACAAGTATCTGTCAGAGTAATAGACAGTGGACACTGCCATATTGTGCAGGTATGTTATTTCTAATACCGGTAACTGATAGTATTTTAAGGAATTTCAAAACTACCATCTCTTATAAAATAGAATTTCAAGATTTCAGTCTAAATTTTCAGATCAAATCAAACAAGCAAGAACGCTTACCTTCATTTATTGACATTGTAAGGCTGTTCTTTTTTGTATTTTTTTCAAGTGTGTTTATTTATTTAGTGTCATGAATTGATTCGCCGTACCCTTTCTTTTCCATTTGTGCAGTCCTGATTAGTCATACATTACCATGATAAATCTGCATAGGAAGGATACTTTGATTTTGTTATGATTTGTTACTTTTGAAATCAGACCTACTGATATATGGTATTGCTACATGACTATTTCCAATCTCATTATCCCCCGCACAACGTGTTGCGGGGAACATAGAAATACCGGGCGTCCGTCCGGTCTTGTAAGCACTCTCACATGTACAGTTCTTGCCAAATTTTTATGAAACTTATATCATAGGTTTATATCAGCAATGTCTCTGACAATTTCGAAAATCAGTGTTGATCAATTATTTTTTAAAGAGTAATGGCCCTTGGACATATTGATTATATGGAAAATTGCATTGTCAGTGCTCTCATGTGTACAATTCTTGCCAGAATTTTATGAAACTTATATCATAGGTTTATATCAGAAATGTCTTTGATACTTTCGAAAATAAAAGCTGATCAAATATTTTTAACAAGTTATGCCCCTTGGAAATATTAATTATAATGGAAATCGCATTGCATTTGCTCTGAAGCCTTCATTGCTCGAAAAATATTTATAAATTGTTTTAAAGAACAAAAAAATAAGGTACCTTGGATAGATAAAATATGTGCAATGCAGGAGACATTGGAAATCTGTTCTTTTTTTATACTATGTATTTTTGAAAGTACTGTGTATTTTGTTTTCAGAAATAAGTTGTCCTAAGCTAGATATGACAGAAAAATTAATGTTAAAATACACATCTGCAGAATCTCACTATGTGTATGGAGATATTGTAATCTATGACTGTGATAGTAACTACAGACTTATAGGAGCTTCTATGGTTTACTGTACAGAGAATGGAACTTGGTCTAAACCTACACCATCTTGTAAACGTAAGTATTGTAGGATATTGATATAATTTTAACTATAGACATTTGGAAACTACTGAGGTTCTTTGTACTATAGAGGCTACATGATCTAAATATGTAACAATCTGTAAACCTAAGTTTCATAACCAACAGATAAGACACAGGTTATGACAATTTGATGGCTAATGGTTTTTGCCTGTTTCCTTAGACTTTCTTATATCTTAACCATTTTGAATAATATATCAACTGTGTTTAAAAATTCTTTTGACTTTTTAATGAAAATATCAATATTGTAAATAACATTAAGCTTTTTCTATTTTCAGCACCTGTTTGTCCTCCAATTTATATAAGAAATGGTTACACAAATGCTACAAATATTGTGATGGGAGGGGACTATATACAGGTGTCCTGTAACAATGGATATTCACTTACAGGCAACCCAATAGTGTTCTGTGATCTGAATGGTGTATATACAGCATTGCCTTACTGCAGTGGTAAGCATCCATTAAATCTTTAGAACATTTGCTCTCTAATTATATAATTTCAGTATAGGGTATTGAAAATCTACATGTTTAAAGTGTTGAACATAGTATTTAGCTTGAAATAATTCTCAGCATTAGATTATGTATAAGTTATGGCAGCTTAGGTGCAGTTTGCATCTTACTATGGTATTCATTGTGTTATGCCTTTAGAATTGTGGGCATCTATTGTTAGTATTACATGCTGTTTATTGACTATGAACTTATTTGCATATAGAATGTTAACAGTATTTTTCATGGAATCTCTCAATATCTGTATAAGTTAAGAAAACAAATATTTGATGATGATATACAGTCATAAATACCTAAACTAAATTTCCAAACACTGCAAAAGTCATGAATGATGTGAACACATGAACATTTTATAACACAAGTTTTCATTTAGAAATTTGTATATGTTAAGTTTGTGTGTGAAACATCAATGAAAATAATAGTAATAAAACATCCTAAAAGTTATGTCCACATAAAAAATTCATCAAAACTCAAAGAACTATTTCACCTTTATTAATAATTTTAATGTTTTTAAACGAGTTTATACACTCTTGGGTTGCCATGATGCATGAATGAGAAAAAGACTTAACATACAATATTTGAATTACATGAAATAACACATTGTAACTTGTTGTATAACTTAATTGTAGATATAAACGAATGTGTAACAGGAAATGTATGTGGTGGTCACAGTTGTCAGAATACACCTGGATCCTATAGATGTGTTTGTAACCATGGATACCAGAACCCACCTAATAGTTACACAGTGTGCAAAGGTATATATGCCTCAGAAACTTTTTTACAACAATAAGATAAATAAAAGGTCATGAAACGGTTCAAGTGAATAACTTAAGTCAGAAATTGTTGTTGTCATTGTGGTTTGTGTTTGTTGTCATTGTGGTTTGTATTTGTTGTCATTGTGGTTTGTGTACATCCAAACAAAAAAATGTAAATGAGATTCAATTTTTGTACACTTAACTAAAGGAGTCTGGGATAATCTATAATTTTACTTACATATTACTCAGCTTCTGTTTAAATGTTCCCATTCCATCCAGATCGCTTACTTATGTTATGGCAAATCAAAGTATATTGTATTTTGTAGAAATGCTTATATACTGTTAGGCACTTAAATGTTTGGTTATATTTTACATGGAAAAAATAACGTTGTATAGTAAAATTAAAGCAAAAAAAAAAACCAACACAAACTTATCAATAAGAAATGTTTACCGTTTAATTTCAGATACAGATGAGTGTAGTACATTTCCATGTACAGGTATATGTGAAAACTTAAGTGGTAAATACAGGTGTAACTGTAACCCACCACAGGAACTGTATACAGAAAATATAATCAGGATTGTCAAAAGAAAAGTACTGAGACCAAATAGTACTTGTATAGGTTAGTACTTTTCTTAACATAGAAGTACTGAGATGACTATTAGAAAATTGCAAGAAAAAGTCAATGGTAGATATTCTCCTGTATACACACAAAGAAAAAAAGTCTGGAATTTTTTAGTTGCATAATTTCTCAATACATTTTAGCTTTTAACCTTAAACTAGCAAAACACTTTTTTTTTTCATTTGAAAGGGATGTTGGTTTTTTTTCTAAAATAAAAAGAACATAAAAGTTGCATGTTTTTCTTAAAACTTGCCAAAATCAGTCTGAAATACATTGTAAAATAAGTCATGGTGTGATATTTATGTTTGCATGCTTTGAGAGTTCATATAAAAATTTAATTACTGTCAAAATCAGAAGGGGAAATCAATGTTAAATTTCTACTGTACATGGTGTATTTTCTCATTTACAAAAAAAGATTTTCCCATTAGATACCCTCATTCATATTTTATACTCTATTACAGCTGTTTGTTCCAGTTTTAGTGTCAGTAATGGTGGAGTTATTGTAGCTGATACTGTTCCCCTATCCTCTGGTAGCTACATAGCCCCTACCACAGTTATGATACACTGTCCTCGGGGAACAGTACCAGATGGATCAGTGGTAGTAGAATGTCAGCTGGATGGAACATGGAACAATACTGTAACAACTTGTAGAAGTAAATATTTTAAATTCTGTGTTACATTGTACCTTATGTAAGGATTGACTTATTTACACTTGACTATTTAAATTCATATTGCATGTGTGAAATATGCTGAGACTAAAATGTTCCCCAAAATGAATTTGTAGAAGATGTATTTTTGTAGAAAAAAAATATGTCTACTTGAACATTGATCTTTTGATAATAAAGCTGAATTGAATTTTCAATAAATATACCCCCTGATAATTTATACTACTTTTTGTTTTTATATTTTTATGCCCCTGCTGTACCTGGAGGGTGCATTAAGTGTTACCTTTGTCCATCCATACGTACATCCAGACATTGGTTTCCTTTCTCTAACTTAAGTTTGCCTCAACCAAATGTTATGAAACACAATGCTTAATACCAAAAAACACAGATCAAGTCCATATTTGGGTGGCTTCACTTTTACCATTTTCGAGTTATGCCTCTTTATAACGTTATATGCAAGTGGGGGCATCATCTGTGTCCCATGGACACATTCTCCATTTATTTTTATTTAATTATTCATTTCAATTGGATGAAGAATATTGAGTGACTAGATCAACCATAAATATGGGTTTACATTTATACAAAAATGAAATTATATGTTTTCTTAAAATAAAGACTTAAAAAAGTGAAAAAAAGAAATCTCTCTCTTACTACCAATTGGCTCTTTGATGAAACTGATTTTATTTTTTCAGATCAAGAATGTGAACAGTTGTCTCTCCCTCTTTATGGTCGTATTTTTTATTTGAATGCAACCAGGGGCTATAACTCTGTAGTACAGTATTCATGTAAAGAAGGATATGAATTATCTGGAGTTGAGTACAGATTTTGTCAGCCTATTAATGATACAACACAGTTTGACTGGACTGGAATAGAACCTGTTTGTAAAGGTAACAATGTCTTACCATATAGATATGAGTTAGTATGTCTGTTATTCTGGTCAGTATAAGTAAACTTAGAGGGTACCTGTTCCCGTAGTAAATGGTGATGACTGTCAAACCATTTTTCTTGGAGTTTGTACTTAATCTGTTGTTCAACAGCCACCAAATAAAGTTACAAATCACCTAAAATAAAAGCAGTGTAATGTGAAAAGTTGTAGATGTGTTTCATCATTAATAATTTATAACAATCAAAATATTTTTCTTCAGAAATCAAATGCCAAGCATTGCCAGATCCAGCTAATGGTCAAGCAGTGTATGGATCAACTACTGTTGGTTCAGTTTTACAGTATTCTTGTAACTGTGGATACCATCTGATAGGGTCAAAAGTTAGGATTTGCCAGCCTGGTGGATTATGGGATGGAAAAAATGCAATTTGTGCCCGTAAGATTATTTTGGGATTTAACAAAAAATGTTTTGTCGATTGTTTTTCGAAAAATTATAACATTTTCTATTTTTGTTTTCTTTGAAAGGATATTTTAAAAAGAATATCTGACAATTTGAAGAAAATTTTACAATTCACAAATCAAATCAAATATCTTGTCTGTTTCTAAAATGGCATTTGGCCATTGTTTGCTATGAAGTTGAACACCACAGTACAGAAAATTTGATTTAGAAATACTCTGTCAATTTCTGTTATGATTGAATGTATTCGTTACATTTTGGACAGTAAGTTGTAGTTTTGGTAAAGTATTTAGTGCTATAATGTATGAGACTGTAGTTTGAAATTGATTAATGTGTTATTAGTAGTAGAATGTGGTATTATTTGTTTATTAGCACGAATAAAAACATGTCATTGACCATCTGCTCAATATATATTAACAGCATCAACTGTATGTCAGTCTCCAGTGAGCTCTGGTTCAGTAGTCATGTCCAATATATCACCATTTTATACAGTGGGGACAGAAGTCAACTTCCAGTGCAAAAACCCTGGATATCAAATAGCTGGTATGTGAAATCTCATTATTTTCAGCACTTAGGTAAAAAGTCTTGAAAAAACCTTTTTGACTGTGTCCAGTCATCCTGAGTATAGTTCTACCTGACATTATTCACATCTTCTGAATGAGTTAGATATAAAAAAAAAAAGATGATGTGTTATGACTGCCAATGTGAAAACTTTCCACCAGAGCCAATTAATTGAAACCGGTAATATGATAATCAGTTGTAAACTCATGGTAAGTACTGCTGTATGTAAGGAAAAAGTATAAATATATTAATAAATTAAGATTTAAAAGGTAAAAATAATGTAGTTTTTGAAGTGCAACTGCATAACGTCTGAAAATTACCATTTTTGGATCACTTATCGGGTGCCACATGTGGCGCAGGATCTGCTTACCCTTCCGGAGCACCTAAGATCACTTCTGGTTTTGGTGGGGTTCATTTTGCTCAGTCTTCAGTTTTCTATGTTGTATTTTGTGTGCTGTTGTTTGTCTTTCAGTCTTTTTTCGCCATTGCGTTGTCAGTTTAATATTGATTTATGAGTTTGAATATCCCTCTGGTATCTTTTGCCTCTCTTTTATCTCACTGGTGTTCAAAAACTATTCAAGATAGAATCTTAAAATTATGGGTAGGTAAATCCATTAGACATAAATCAATCAATCAACAAAAATCACTTCATTTGAGAATAATATTTATAAATATGTTGGGATGTAATAGCATTGACAGAAGTATATATATAAATACCGGTATATATAAAGAACATAAACACACATTCAATGCTTTTACAATCCTTTAGAATTACTCAAGTAAAAGCATTGAATTCTTGTAATTAGATAATTATACTATAACCATAAAATTATAAGTTAAAACAAGCTTTATCATTTATTTTCCTATGCATTGTTGAAAATTAATCATGAACAGCATGTGCAGTCATAGATGTTGCATTTAATTGGGGAATGAAACCTAAGTTGTAAACGCCTCATAATTTTTGTTGCCAATCAAATTTACATAATCTTATAAAACACCTATGTAATCTAAATATTGCTAGATGAATTAGATTTATGAATGGATTACCTTTGTCATAACTTCACTCAAAAAACAAAATTATTATCTAATGTAACCGATAAGTCTTTAAAGAAAATAATCATAGCATTGGGTTAAGAGCTCAAAAAGATCTTCATACCCAATATGTTATTCACTACATGGAGTTTACTGCTTCAAGATCGAAAACCAAACCAAAAGTAGATTACCATTTTTTTAATTACTGTTCATTCTGAAGCAAGCTTGGATTCTTTTCCATAATCTATGAAAAATTGTAATCATTTTTGAATAATGGTACATAAACATTATCAATATTTAATCCTACTTTTCAGATACAACACCTATAAAATGTGTAATAGAAAGACCAACAGAGAACATAAAACCTAAGTATAACTTGATATTTGAGATGAGATTTCTGACACCTAGTAACTTTAACAAGTCCTGTGACTATCACTATGTCAATGAAACAGTTGAACTGTTCAAAGAATTGGTGGAACAGAGTTGTAAAGATCCATACAGACCATTAACAACCATTAAAACAGTTGTTAATAGTGGGGATGTAAGTGCAATGAACAGTTATAGGTTTGGGGATTATCTCCCTTGGAAAGTTATTGTCAGTTTTATCCAATTTTTTTTGTCTTTCTTTCATCTAAAAGTGTAGGTGGGGTAACAGTCTTGTTGACCCCAAATCCCAAGAAATTGAGGAGCCATGATAACAGCTATTATTTGGTTCCTTGGGAGTACAAAAAGATGAAGATTCTTCATTTCTTTCTAAAAAATGTAAATTCATTGATAAATGAATACACTGATATTGTAATGGATACTTGGAAAAAATATGACATATTTAAAATTGATGATCATAATAGGATGCTTAGTTTTCAGTTACTGAGAATCGCAGCTTAATTTAATTGACATTCTGTCAAAAGGGAAATTGAAATCTGTGTTTTTGAGATTGTTTAATAACGATTGATGGTACCTGTATATATGCTCATGTGTGTTATAAATATAGCATTGAAAGATGAAAAAGATCAGATTTATTTTCATTTTTTATTACATTTTGATCCAATTTACATAGAATAAACACACTGGCTTGATGAATCTGAAACTTGCAATCTAATTCATTGAAAGATGTCCTAGTTTGTTATAACACATTAAATGTAGCGGCTTGTGAAAAAGATTAACCTAAAATAGAGTTTATTATATAATAGTTCAAGCTTAAGTGATTTCACATAGTGAAAGAAGGAGGAAGGGACAGAAGAAAAAGATTGAGTCAACAATGGTATTAAATTATTGATTATTGAACATCATCAAGTTTGTCTTTAATCTTTTATAGGTTCTACAAATAGATCTGACCATACAACTGTCAGAACCAAGGAAAGGGTCCTTTGACTTGGTATGCAACTGTAGCACTGCCTTACAAGAGATTGTCAGCACAGGTCTCATACAGAACAACATCAACAACGTCACATTCAATGGTTCTGAAGATACCACATGTCCTACTGTCAGACTCAGAACAGCAGACAGTGATAATATCACCAGTACCAGTAATTGGTCCTGTGATGAAGGTTATGAACTTGTACATCAGAGTGAAATCTGTGTCAATAACCTTGACCTAACCTGTGTTAAATCTACAGGTAATATCATAGTAATTATATACTGTAAATTCAGAAATTATTGCGAGGTTTTTATTATTGCGACAAATGCGACAGAGTTGTAAACGCAATAATTTAAACTCGCATTTTGAATTTTTTTATATGAACTAAACAGGATTTTTCTCAAAATCGTAAAAATTAAAATCGCATTTAAGTCTAAAATGACAAAATCGCAATAATAAATGCATGCAATAATTTCTGAATTTACAGTAGTAATGTAGTATCAGTAGGAATGTTATTCTGCATCTTGATTTACTGCTGTAAGCATCATGAAGATATGCATGATATTTAAGCTTGTTTTATTCTCATATTTAGCTCTATAGAGATTTTATTGAAATAAGAGCATATGCATATTACTTATTCTGCATGTAAATAGTATACTTAGATTAAAAAACTTAATTCTTGAATCATATATTAAAAAAGTATAACCATCTAGTTGTACTTATATGAACCCAGAAAGATTTTCTTCTTTTCTGGAAAAAAAATATTCCTAAAATGCTGGCTTTGAAAGTTTGTTCTGTTATTTATTGACTCATTTAAATGATCAGCTTATCTTTCTATTACTATTACTAATAGCATGACTTACTTCTGCATGGCTGACTTGTATATTTGCAGACTGTCCAAATGTTTATGTTTCACCAACTACAACAGCTAGTACGACCAGAATAACGCCTACATTCGCATATGATACAACCACACAGTGGAATGTTCCTATCTCTCCTGTCAACCATACTACTAACGTACCTAAAAGGTCAACTGCAATTAGTACAGCAAGGTCACCCTTGGAAACTTTCACAATGACACAAACTGCTGAAGTCACTACAGTATCGGAAAGTGATGGGAAAATAGAGACAACTAAATTAACATCAGTGGTACAAGATACAACTCATAGGACACCAACTGTTCCTGGTGTATCCGAAGTAACATCTACAGAACCGTCTGTAGCAGATGAAACCGAAGTCACAACTGCTATAATAAGAACAACACAAATGACACCAACTGTTCCTGCTGTGTCCCAAATAACATCCACAGAACCGTCAGTCTTAAATAAAACAGAAGGTACTACTGCTATTAAAAGAACAACACAAAAAACAGCAACACCCAGAGTAACTACTGAACAGCAAACATCAGATCATCATATCACCGCTCGTAATTCAACAGACAATTCTACTCAGGCACATAGTACAGAGATACCTGTTGTCAATACTGGACTGGAAGTTACAACAGGGGAGATAACTAGTAACCATTACTTCATAAATGTAACAAACATTGGAGAAACTACAGAAATAGTAAAACCGACTCATCCAACTCAAACATTTACAGCACCTGCTTTAGCCTCTACAGAGGCTTCTGAGTCGGTAACAACACAAAAGTCAGTCACAGAGCCTTCTGAGTCAGTAACAACACAACAGTCAGTCACAGAGCCTTCTGAGTCAGTAACAACACAAAAGTCTGTCACCAAGCCTTCTGAGTCAGTAACAACACAAAAGTCAGTCAATAAGCCTTCTGAGTCAGTAACAACACAACAGTCAGTCACAAAGCCTTCTGAGTCAGTAACAACACAACAGTCAGTCACAGAGCCTTCTGAGTCGGTAACAACACAAAAGTCAGTCACAGAGCCCTCTGAGTTGGTAACAACACAAAAGTCAGTCACAAAGCCTTCTGAGTCAGTAACTACACAAAAGTCAATCACAGAGCCTTCTGAGTCCATAACATCACAAAAGTCAGTCACAGAACCTTCTGAGTCAGTAACAATACAAAAGTCAGTCACAGAGCCTTCTAAGTCAGTAACAACACAAAAGTCAGTCACAAAGCCTTCTGAGTCAGTCACAACACAAAAGTCAGTCACAGAGCCTTCTGAGTCAGTCACAACACAAAAGTCAGTCACCAAGCCTTCTGAGTCAGTAACAACACAAAAATCAGTTACAGAGCCTTCTGAGTCAATAACAACACAAAAATCAGTCACAGAATTGTTTCCTGAAAATATGACTGCTGTTGTAAATGTAACACAAAAATTTCAAACTTCACCACAAGCAACAAATAAAACTTTTATTACTGATTACACAACTCAACAATACAACGAAACTGTACCAATAACCCATTCACCTCAACCGACACCAACAATACCACAGAGGTTCACTACTGAAACCCCAGAAAATACTTCAATAAAAGAGGTAACAACCAAAGCAACAGATAATCAAATGACATCTGCATATAACTTTACGACCAAGAGAGATGATATAGGTACCACCTCTGAAGGAAGAAAAATATTTACAGATGAGCCTATAAATACAACTCATGTTCCAACTCAAACACAAGATAATATGACAGCAAGTGAAATCCAGACGCAGACTCAAATACAAGATAACACTACAGCACAAGTTCCTGTCACACAAACCCAACTACAAGATAACTTAACAGCTCAAGTTCCTGTCACACAGACTCAACTTCCAGATAACACAACAGCACAAATTCCTGTCACACAAACTCAACTACAAGATAACATAACAGCACAAGTTCCTGTCACACAAACCCAACTACAAGATAACACAACAGCACAAATTCCTGTCACACAAACCCAACTACAAGATAACACAACCAATGATTCTCAGCTAACAATGCAACCATCTATTACTACTGGAAACAACACAGAAAATGTAATTACGACAGTACAACAACCAGTTAAAACATTTAGTAAACAGGTAACAGAACAAACAACACAATCAATGACAGAAACTCTCTCTAAAATGACTACTCAGGCAGGAAGTACTATTATATCTCAAAATGCCACTGAATCACAAGTGTCACAGGCAGTCACTGAATTGATAACCAATACAAAAACTACAACCGACCAACAACTTACAATGGTCAAAACTACAGCTGACCAACAACCAACTACTGTCAAAACTACAGCCAACCAACCAAATACAGTAAAAACAACAGCCAACCAACCAGATACAGTCAAAACTACAGCCAACCAACAACCAAATACAGTCAAAACTACAGCTGAGACTGATGCCACAACACAGGTTCTGACTACCCCTGGTATAACAATTCCTACAAGTGAGTAGTTTAGTTTGTTCATCAACCTACCCTATTCACATTCTTTACTTTCTATTATGTACATGCATAATTTATGCAACAAATGTGTTGAAATATTCAAAATTTCACATTTTTCTATGACATTTCTGGCTATCCCCTTATTATTTTTTTTACAATAATTGAGTGTACTTCAATGCATCTTAAACTTAAAGCATGTGTTTCTTGAAAGTTTGTTAGTTAGCAGACACAACTATAAAAATGCATGTTTTTTTACAAAATATCTGCATGCCTATTCTGTGTTTACAATCAAAGTCTTAAATATATTTACTAACTTTCTTACATCAGGTCAGATTAGTTAGAAATATTAGTTAGAAATTTATCTGGAGCTATGTAAACAAGTTTTAGGTTATACAATCAATATTTAATTACCAAAAAGAACAAAAATTAGGATGGAGTGTTATCAGATCATTGTAAGCAAAGCATTGACAAAGATTGGTATTTTAACCATACATGTATTGGGTGACTTATATATTTTGTTGTTGATTTGTTAATGGCTCTTTGACATACTATCATATTCCTTCAGATTCACAGGCTTTCCTATAGAATTAGAGAAAATAACATTCAAATCTGCAAATCATGTTATAATTGTTTTATGTAGAAATAATACAAAAAAATATAGACATGCAAGCTTTGTCATAAAAAGTAAAATAACAAAAATACCGAACTCCAAGGAAAATTCAAAACGGAAAGTCCCTTACCAAATGGCAAAAACAAAAGCTCAAACACATCAAACGAATGGAAAACAACTGTCATATTCCTGACTTGGTAAAGTACTTTTAATGAAACCCTGTATGTATATAGGTCTGAAATTTGGAATCTTTACCCATATAAGATACTGTTCAAAAACTTCAGTATACGAGAAGAACAAGTTAACTTGTTAAAATTAAAAATAGAAAGTATGTTTTAATGGTTTCAATTTCAGCTACAGCACCAAATTATGTTATAGAGATGACAGCTGTTTTAATACCAGCAAATCTTAGTCAGCCATGTAAAGATAACATCAACACAGCGATTTCAGACATACTCAGTTCTACAGAGGGAGTTAGTAATTCTCTACAAAACTCAAAGACATGTTCCAAATATAACATCAAAGTTTTCATTGAAACATCTATAAACATGACTTTATCTGCTGTAAGTATTGGATTAAAAATGTTTGTGGCTTTTGCAATAGCAAAATTGTCTTCAACTATGCAATTGAACACATTAAATTATAAGATGGTAAATTGTGAAAGTATGGAACACTGTGATACACTTATATGTTTACATCATCTTCAATTATCAGTAAATTTTGGTGCTGGAATACTGTCATTATGAATGTATGAGATCTTAATAAAATGAAGAATTTAACAAATTGAAGAACCTTACTTATTAGTATCTTAACTTTTAGCATGAACATTCAATTGAAGGATAAACAGATTATATTGACAATGTGGGAAAATATATTAAGTCGAGAAGGTATGACCAGATAAGCCTAAAAATCTTCTTTTTTTTTTTCTTCTAATCTCCAGTATGAAATGACTTGATAACATTACAATTAGACCGTGAATAAAAGCCAAAGATAATAACACATTTTCTAAAAGCATTTATTCAGAAGATTAAAGGAATAGTATAAATGATGGTGTCCTGGATTTAATTTTCAGTTAATTTCAGTCCACATAGGCCCAAAATGTATGTTCCCTTTATTTGTACTCTTTCAAAAAAGAATGGAAGCTTGATGAGCCTCTCCTTTCATTGTTGATTGATTGATTGGTGTTTAGTGCCACTTTCAGCACTATTGGCTATTTCGTGGAGGTCAGTTTTTATTGGTGGAGGAAGCTGGAGAGAACTACTGACATTTGGCAAGAAAACTGACAATACTAGTATATTAAGATTGGGCTCAACAAACCTGCCATGTGTGGGTTTGAATTCACATCCTCAGTGTTGACAGGCTAATGATACAGCTGTTGGACTCCTTATACCACTTGGCCACTGATGTCCGACTTAAAGTGGAGAGTTACTTGGTAATTCTTTTTTTATGATATGTTGTGTCAGCAGGAGATGTCATCTGGTTATGTGTAGTTAATTTGAATATCCTGATCATTTTCACAATAAGTGCTTGCACCAACATTACAAAGCATTGAATTTGATTTTTTCATGTAAATAGAAGAAGTAACAAATATGTTCTTTATGATTAAAGGTAAAAGTAACAAAGAAGTACAGTTTGGTTGGACAGTCACAATCCATTCTGACACCATGTGGACAGGATATTGATGACAAACTATTATTAGAACTTAGAGAAAGTCTGAGTAATCTCCCATCACAGACTGTATGTCTGCAGTCATTACAGGATTCAAGCATCACTGTCAGTCAGTGGAAGTGTAGTGATGGATATACCATGGATGAGTCAGGAGAAATTTGTCATATTTTTACTCTGACAACAGACTCTGTTACCATAGAGACAACTTCTGCTGTACCAACAACAAAAGTCACGACAGTGGTAATTACTGAGCCACCAACGACAACCAGCTCTACAACTACCACACCAACCACTACTACATTGAAACCCACCACTCGGGGAACCACACTCCCTCCTAGTAAGCACATTATTGTTAATGTTGTTATCCAAAAGGCCTTCACCTTTTCACAATGCCAATGGGCTTAACACTTTTTCAAGTTGCAATTTGAATTAATTTCTTCAAACTGATAAATTGTTGGGAATTTTCAGTATAAAGTAACTTTAGTGTGATGAAAATATTCTCACCATTCAATAACTTCTTTTTTTAAAGTGTACTAAGATTTTGAGATATGACATTAGAGGTCAGAGACCACAAAACTTGTTATTATGCAATTTGTTTCCCTAGTTTAATTAGATAAAAGCATAATTTTATGTCCATATTTGTTGATTTCTGCGGTTTCTTTTAAAAAAATTCAACACAGCAAAAAGTTTCAGTTGGACAAGAGAGAACTGATTATTGAAGAAGGCAAGGTACAATTCATGCATATATCTTTCAATATTTCAGTTAAAATCTTTAGGAATTTTAAAGTGAAATTTTATTGTCATTTTATCAGTTTTTTACCACTACAAAATCATACACTATAATGGATTAAAACATTTTCTTTCTTTTTTCAGCTGACCCAGCATTTTACCTGATACAGGTAGAAGCAATATTCACAGGTAGTAACTTAACATGGAAAGGATGTATTGATGCTACAAGAACTCAGATTGAAGAAAAAGTGGAGAGCATCAGTTTGAGTATTATACAAGGCTTAAAAAAGACCTGGAAGCAGTGTACCAAACAGTCTGATATTGTCCTGTTATCTCAGACTGGGAAAATAGCTGTAACACCAGAAAGAGTAAGTCTGTCATTCTGTTCTTGTTTTAACCACAATAGAATTGCACTTCACATTTGTGTTTATTGTGTTTATTGTGGTCACTTAAAATTTGTTTTTAATATCTAATGCTTATGTAAAATCTTAACTTTCACCATTCAAAAAGTGATTTAAGGTTCAATTTAGATACATTTTAACGTATCAAATTAAAAAAGAATTCTTGTTGAAGTAGTCCTTTGATAAATTGATAAATTGATACATTTATATTTTCTTGCAACTGGTCAGTTTCTTTAAAAAAAAACTTCTATTAAATTGTAACTACTGTTTTACTTTGACATTTAAAAGCTCGCTCAGAGCTTATGTTGTTATGTTACTTAACTCTACGACTTAAAATAAAACTTATTTGATTTGATTTGATGTGGTCAATTTCATATTATTAACTTCCTAAATCGATATAATGCCATTTTCAAACAAACCTTTGAATTATTTTATTTCTTATGCACTAGTTGCCTATTTTCGGGTTGATTTTAGAAATTGGTACCCGATGGATGCTAGACAATTGCATTAAGCTTTTAATCTTGGTAACAGCAAATTGCTTCATTGCAGAAAAATCTTGCTAACATTTCAATGTTGCCCTAATTGGGGTAAATGAGATAGTAGGTCGTGAATAAACAAGTCTTGGTGATGCTAGTGTCTTCAAACTTTGAAGTCTGATTTTAAATCTTTCAAATTTCAGACTACAATTGTAAGGAATTTTCTTTAGTTTTTGCTTTCCACCCATATGGTGGCTGAATATATTACTGCTTTAGTTTCAGTCAAATATGTTATTAATGAATATATCCAGACCTGAAACGACTTTACTTCAATTTCTTATCTTAATATGTATTATATTACCTTGTATGAGCTTGTGGAAGGGCATTAAGTTTCATTTATAAAGAAAAGGTATTGCATGGAAGAATCCATTAGGTATTTTATAAAAAGCAGGTTGATGCATGTTGTTTGTTTTATTCTCTTTCACCAGGAGACAAATCAGTATTATATTTTAAGAAAATCAGGGAGATAATTATAAGTATAGTGAAATTTTTAAAAAAGGAAGAGAGCTGTACAGTTTTTAATACCATTTTAAAAAATATTATATGAGAAATATTTGTTTCCAGCTTAATCTGAAAATTCGGTATCCCTCTGGTCATAGGGTAAGTTAATGGCATGAATATACTGAATGCCTCAGCAAATTAAGGATTATTATATGTAATTTGTGTCATTTCAGTTTTATGAATGCAAAGTTATAAATGTTGACAAATTTATAAGATTTTTTTGTAGTTTTATAGCTTTTCCAAGTTATTTTTATAGTATTATCCCATCAAAGTTGCTATAGAAAAACACACACCATATAATGAATGAATTGCACAAGTTGACCCTTTGTTTTTGTCTTGTTTTCTAATATGCATGATGTCATGTTATTGAGCTTATGTAAAATAATATTTAAATAGTTTTTTAAGTTGAAAAGCACACAATAGATATTTTTCTTATTTTCATTGCAAAGAAGAAAAAAAAAAAAAAAAAACCTAAACAAACCTTACTTTTATAGCATTTAAATGTTTAGTATTTGTTATTTTTGAAAACATAATATTTTATAATCTTTGTACCATTTGATAGGAAGGAACTGTGTCTCAAAGCAAATAAATAGGCCATGAAATAATTTGTATATATTTTATTAAATTAAAAAATTATTGAAATAAACGCATTTAAGTACAGACTGTATTCAAATTAGAAGAAATTTGTGTTACTTTTGTACATTAGATGCCCAATGATCTATGTCCTTTGGTGTTCAGACAGTTGGGATACACATCAAAATGTTATTTTGGATTCTTTTATTTGATATTATTACTGCATGTATCCTTATAAACCTACAGTCAAAATAAATAGCCCCTCTTGACTTTTGATCATAAAATTTAACACTTGTTAAATCTATTGCTTCATGATTAGTCCATTTTTCAATTAGCAGGGCCCAATTTAGAACTTTTTGCTTAATAAAACAACTCATCATCAGCACAAACTGTATCCCTGCTAATATAAACCAATGAAAAGAGCATGTTTTAAAGTGTGTAAGTTGTATTTAATTTGCATAATGCTTTTACCAGAAATGATAATTCACTAAGGAAGTCCAAATCATCCCACACAATACATCATGCTTGTTCTATATAGTCAGAGATACAGTTTTTCCTACCTAGGAGTTGTTTCCCTTTTAAAAAATTCTCAAGTTTGATAAAAAGTCAACATTTGGAAAAGGGCTATTTGCAATGACATTTTTCTTGAGTTTTCTTATGTTTTCCCATTTTTAAGGTCACCATATGTGAAATTACCAGCATTATTCCTAAAATTGAGGCACATGTGTTTTTAAGACAACAACAAAAAAAGATTTTAATTTTGAGTTACATAAAAACTTTTTTTTTATAGAATTTTTTTGAATAATAATAACCTCTTCTGCCAATTCCACACATTGCAGATTTTGTTTTTGATATATGATAAACCTCTTCTTAGGAAATGCAACTTCCCAGGGGCTTATATTGCGTAAAGTTTATATGCCTGTTTACAGGACGTATTATGGTATACCTTTGCCCGTCCATCTGTCTGTTGTCAACATGTCGGACAATAACTCAAAAACGCTTTAACCAATTTGCAGGAAACTTTAGTGAATTGTTTATATCTATTGACGTGAGCTCCCTTTTGATTTTTATAAATTTTGGATTTACTTTTCCGAATTATGGGGTTTTATTCATAAAAAAAGGTAGATTTTCCAGTTTTCAGACAATAACTCAAAAATGAGTTATTGTTTTCATGAAACTTTGGTGAATTGTTTAAATCTATTGATGTGAGCTTTCTTTTGATTTTTATAAATTTAAGAATTTACGTTTACGAGTTATGGGGTTTTATTTATTTAAAAAGGGGGATTTTCCAGTTTTCAGACAATTACTCATAAATGCTTGGAGCAGTTTTCATGAAAATTTGGTGAATTGTTTATATCTATTGATGTGAGCTCCCTTTCGATTTTTATAAATTTTAGATTTTACGTTTCTGAGTTATGGGGTTTTATTCATTATAAAAGGGGGATTTTCCAGTTTTCAGACAATAACTCAAAAGTTCTTTGAGCAGTTTTCATGAAACTTTGTTGACTAGTTTATATCCATTAAAATAACCTCCCTTTAGTTTTTAATAAATTTCTGATATGACATTAAGGAGTTATGGAACTTTATTCTTTGGTTAAGCTTAAGCTACTGTAAATTCAGAAACTATTGTGTGCATTGATTATTTCGATTGCGTCAGACAGACCAAAATGTTAGAATGATTATTGCTATTACAGGAAAAGCTGCATGTTTCAGATTTCAGAATGTGAGTTCTTATAAATGCAATACTCACCCAGTCACATTATTCACAATAAAAAAAAAACTCACAATAATTTCTGAATTTACAGTACAAAAAAGGCCCTGGCATAAAAAATGTGAAACAATTTAGAAGAGAAAAGAATGGCCTTGACAGACAGCAACCAATGACAACCACTGAATCAAATACTCTTGATTAGATGTTGGTCAACTTTTTATATCTCTAAGAAGAGAAGTCTGTCTGATTAAAAAAGATCCATTCAACTAGAACATAATTCAAATTGTTTTCAATTTTTCATCTTATTTTTCAGTTATAATGTATTATAGTATTCTTGAAAAAGTCTCAAAATACAAATTATTTTTTTTACTATAAACTGTATAATAATTGATAAGTCTTTGTTAGTTTTGGCCACTCCAAATTGAATACTTGTTCTTTGTACAAAAATTGGAGCAAGGTAGCAAGCAAAATTTTTTCATTTTTTGGTGTTTTTTTTTTGTCTGAAATGAATATATTAGCAAGTGATACCTGAAATTTGATTAGAGGTAGGCATATTTTAAATATTGTTCCTAAAATCCTCTGTTTTCAGGAGCGAGAAGTAATTGTTTTATACCAAGAAAGTGTAATTTTCTGGGAATTGTGGGGTGAGTAAGGAAATTTTAAAATGAACTGGTTGATTTTATTTAAATGGAGCAATTATTCAGAAAGTTTTCAGGGAATGGCAGAAAATCTTTTTAAGGTCTCCAAAATTATGGAGTGAATGAATTGGAAGAACTATGAGACAATAATTTAAATTTTGTTTACAGCTTGAACTGACAGCACCATTTGCCATCCAGAGTCCAAATGTAGCTACAGACATTGTGACAGATTGTGCTAGAAATGCTGTTGAGGGTCACATTCAGGACAAATTCCAAGGACTGTTACGAGAAATAAATCCAGGAGTCTGTTTTGTCACACTTCAAACTTTTCAGATTCCATTCTCCAGTTGGGCTTGTAATAACAGTTACGAGTATGATTCCACCTCAGAGATCTGTCGATTGATTCAGACTACAACTCCTCCACCCTCTAATGCATTATTAATGGCCTATGACATCAAATATTTCATTCCACATGGTAGACTATCATTGTCAATACAGTTTTTACATCTATCCATCCAGAATCAAGTTTTTTGTCTGACAGAGTATAGGAACAGATTGGTATCACTAATGCAGAGCCAGACATCATTGTTTAACAATGGAAACATGGTTGACGCAAAGAAATATTGTGCAGACATATATATTAGCTTATATGGAATAGACAGTAAAGGGGAGGATGTAGTATTGTCAGTGTCACCTGGTATGGTAAGTATGTAACTTTACAGTTGATTGAGGATTTAAGTGTAAAAAAATTTAAATCTTGACACTTGCAAGGATTTTATGATAAAAAAATGTTTTTATGATGTAATTACTGTTGACCCTTGCAAGATTTTATGGTAAAAAAGGGTTTATAGTAGGAGAGTAATGCACAACCAAAAAAAGAAACAACTCTTTTTGAGGTTTGAAACTTAGTCCATCCGTCGGATGGGGACGTTAAATCTGAGGTCTCGTGTTCAGGGAGTACCACGCTCTTTGCATGTTAAAGATTCTTCTCAACAAGCTCTTTTTGAGTGGTCCATAAGTGACTGGTTGTTTAGCAAAATTATTTCATACTGGTTTTGGCTTTGATATATTTTTCTGTGGTCTTTAATTTAACTATTTATATAATTTGGTTTTCATGGTCAAACTTTTGTCTAAAATCTGTCAATACTCATACTTTGATGCGTTGAGCCTTTTTTCAATTGGTGTTTTATGGTGTGTCCTTTTTGTGTCGTGCTGTTGCACCACTGTCTCGGGGTTAGGGTGAAGGTTGGCCCCAGATAAAACTTTCAGACCCGCTGCATTTGTTTGCACCTGTCCTAAGTCAGGAACCTGATGTTTAGTGGTTGTTGTTTGTTAATGTGGTTCATAAGTGTTTCTCTTTTCTCCTTTTTTATATAGTTTAGACAGTTGGTTTTCCTGTTTGAATGGTTTTACACTAGTCATTTTTGGGGCCCTTTATAGCTTGCTGTTTGGTGTGAGCCAAGGCTCCGTGTTGAAGGCCATACTTTGATCTATAATGGTTTACTTTTACAGATTGTGACTTGGATGGAGAGTTGTCTCATTGGCACTCATTCCACATCTTCTTATATCTATTTAGTGAATAATCTATACATGTACCAGTAATTTACATTGGCAAATAAAAAATGAAGTAGGCAGTTTCATGGAGATTTTTGGCTATGCCTTCCCAGTCATGGTCTATTGACTATTAATCTTTTGCTTACTTTACATGTCAAAGTTTGTGATTAGGTTAGTTTAAGGGGAACTATTAATTGTAAGTCAATGATATCCGTATGCAGTAGTACTAGCACTAGCACACTTCATATCCATGGAGATTATTTGGCCATGCCCACTCAGCTATGATCAATTGACTTTGAAACTTTTGCATAGTTTACATGTTTACATTGATTACGTCAGTTTAGGAGAACCAGTTATGGTAAGTCAATGATATTTAAGTCTCCCAAACGAAGTTTGGGAAGACTTATTGTTTTTGCTCAGTTCTTATTATTATTATTATTCTTCTTCCTCTTCCTCTTCCTCTTCCTCTTCCGCCGCTTTTAAATTTGAACTTGTCCGCACCCGTTCTCCAAAACCGCTTGTCAGATGAACTTGGGGTTTCACAATATGTTAGACTAACATGTCTAGTGGTGCAATCAGGGTTTTGTTTGTGCAATGGGGTTTATTAAGGGGTACTTTGAGGGGCAAAAAGAAAAGAGGGTTTTACTATAGAACCCTATGGGATTTTATTTTTTTAAATTTTCAAATGATTATAAATTGAAAACCGTTTGTAATAGACACAATCTTTTTAATTGAAAATGTTCTAAATGATAAAACCCATTAAATGAAATACAGGGTTAGTCCCCAAGGGTCATCCCCACCCCCTACCATTTAAGAAAGTTCTAATACCTTGTAAGTGGTCAAGTTCCCCACCCCTAAACCATATATATTCTGGTTTGTCATGCAAAGATGGTTTGAATGATATACAGGGTTAGTCCCCAGGGGTCATGCCGACCCCCTGCCATTTGAGAAAGTTCTAATATCTTGTAAATGGTCGAGATCCCCACCCCTAAACCATATATATTCTGGTTTGTCATGCTAAGATGGTTTGAATGATATACAGGGTTAGTCCCCAGGGGTCATCCCGACCCCCTGCCATTTGAGAAAGTTCTAATATCTTGTAAATGGTCGAGATCCCCACCCCTAAACTATATATATTCTGGTTTGTCATGCTAAGATGGTTTGAATGACATACAGGGTTAGTCCCCAGGGGTCATCCCGACCCCCTGCCATTTGAGAAAGTTCTAATATCTTGTAAGTGGTCAAGATCCCCACCCCTAAACCATATATATTCTCGTTTGTCATGCTCAGATGGTTTGAATAATATACAGGGTTAGTCCCCAGGGGTCATCCCGACCCACTGCCATTTGAGAAAGGTCTAATATCTTGTAAATGGTCGAGATCCCAACCCCTAAACCATATATATTCTGGTTTGTCATGATAAAGCACATGAAATGAAATACAGGGTTAGTCCCCAGGGGTCACCCCCACCCCATGCCATTTAAGAAAGTTCTAATATCTTGTAAGTGGTCAAGATCCCCACCCCTAAACCATATATATTCTCGTTTGTCATGCTAAGATGGTTTGAATAATATACAGGGTAAGTCCCCAGGGGTCATCCCGACCCCCTGCCATTTGAGAAAGTTCTAATATCTTGTAAATGGTCGAGATCCCCACCCCTAAACCATATATATTCTGGTTTGTCATGATAAAGCAAATCAAATGAAATACAGGGTTAGTCCCCAGGGGTCACCCCCACCCCATGCCATTTAAGAAAGTTCTCATATCTTGTAAGTGGTCAAGATCCCCACCCCTAAACCATATATATTCTGGTTTGTCATGCTAAGATGGTTTGAATAATATACAGGGTTAGTCCCCAGGGGTCATCCCGACCCCCTGCCATTTGAGAAAGTTATAATATCTTGTAAATGGTCGAGATCCCCACCCCTAAACCATATATATTCTGGTTTGTCATGATAAAGCAAATCAAATGAAATACAGGGTTAGTCCCCAGGGGTCATCCCCACCCTATGCCATTTAAGAAAGTTCTCATATCTTGTAAGTGGTCAAGATCCCCACCCCTAAACCATATATATTCTGGTTTGTCATGCTAAGATGGTTTGAATGATATACAGGGTTAGTCCCCAGGGGTCATCCTGACCCCCTGCCATTTGAAAAAGTTCTAATATCTTGTAAATGGTCGAGATCCCCACCCCTAAACCATATATATTCTGGTTTGTCATGCCAAGATGATTTGAATGATATACAGGGTTAGTCCCCAGGCATCACTAATGCATATAACTTTACTGGACCAAACTAATTTTCACTGGACTTTGCCCAATGTCAGGCGACCCTGGGAATTACGAATTATGGGAGCTTCGTTTGGGAGACTTCGTAACAGCATCCTGTTACAATCATTTCTTGTTACTAATCACTTGTATTAGCATTTGCATACCTGTTTTCCACATAGATTACTTTTCCCTTCATATCTACCGGTAGTCATGTTTCATTGACTGAATGTTTCGCATAGTTTACTATGTTAAAGAATTGCCAATTGCCAATTTAAATTTAACATTTGCATTATACTTTCTGAATTACAGACATACTATTTTAACATAAGATTGACAACTATTGTCTTGTTGAAAATGTTTTCTTCTTTTCAGTTGAATGGCCAGGTTGCTGTTAAATTGTTTGCTACTTCAAGTAGTTTTACAAGTAATGGTAGTTATAATTCATGCATTGCATGGATAGCCTCCAAACTTATGAATGTCAGCAGCCATGCACTGATTGGTCAATCCACTCTTCCATCATCTAATGTTACACTGTGTAGTAATGTGACATTAGATAATGTTTCCATTACTAATCGGGCTTTTAACTGTACTACAGGATACCAGATGGCTTTATATAATGCATACTTCCTTTGTCTTAGAGGTAAGATCTACAACATGATATCAGTATGTTTGAATAATTTTACTTTTCGTTTGAAGAATTAAAAAATTCGGATTCCTTACAATACGGTGTAGCCAGCAGATAATAAAATAAAAAAAGTGATTTTGTAATAAGTAAATTTGTTTACAGTTCTTCATAAAGAGAAAAAAAAAATTTCAATTTTTCAATCAAATTGCAAAACTTCGTGAATAAAGCTTTTTTATTTCTTATGAAAAAAAAACATTATGAATACATCAAAATCTTAGGTACTTAGCATTAATTTTTTTTTAATCATAGATGATCGTACAAAGTACATAGCACCTTTTCTCTTGTCCTATCAATGGCACCAACCAAGTAGTAATTCGTGTATACAAAGTTTGATGACCAGACTTTCAGCCGAGTCCATTCCATTTGTACAACAGTATGCTAAACAACCATCCTGTGCTTCAGACATCATACTACAGCAGAATGGTAGCATAACAGCAACTTTCATTAGTAATTATTTGCGTGTAAGTATACGGATACATATCTTTAATAACCCTTATTGTTCATAATTGAAAGATGAAATTTGATGGTAATAGAATTAAAATTTAGTTTGATAATCTATAGCCATTTGGTATACCTATAGTTATCTAGTACAATGTACCATATTGGCCTGATTTTCATAAGAATATAAAAATAAGAAGATGTGATATGATTACCAAGGAGACAACTCTCAACCGGAGACCAAATGATGTAGAATTTAGCAACTATAGGTCACTGTTACAGGCCTTTTTCAGTATTTCAGTATTCAATACTCATGTAATTACCTTTGTACCTAATATACTTGAATGGACTAAATAGAGGTCAAATAATGTAATAAAGGTCAACTTATCTATGTTTGTTTTCTAACACTACATATTTATTAACTAAAAACTAAATCTGGGTAGAATCAACATGAAAAATTAATACAAGATCCTGAAAATCCTGCATAGTTGAAATAACTATCAAACATTGGGTAAATTTCACAAAAATCATAGTTCTGTTCTCTTTTAAGCACTGGAGATATTGATCTTATAGTTGATATGCAACTCTGTAGTGAGCAGTTGCAGATCAAAAGGTTAACAAAACTTAGATAAAATCATCTTTATTTTAAAAATAGTGTAAACCGATAAATTATCCCACTGTCTTTAATATGCAATGTAAGGACAGAATTTGAATTTGCACTCCCTTGAATTTGTGATTTCCAAGTGGTATTTATTCATGTAGGGTCTTATTAATTGAATGTCTATGAAATATTGGCATTAGTTTTAATTTAGCGTATTAACAATTAAATACTGCAAAAACTTTCCCAGTTTAAAGTAGTACAAAAATGTATAGGCTTTGTCTTTGTTACTTTGTACAGGACTGTACATTCTTGTACAGTAAAAAGAACATTTGTTTAATAGATTTGATATGTATCTTCAACTTTGACCTATCCTGATGTAACCAATCCATGTTCATTTCAGGGTAATATTACTATAGCTTATGAATTGAGCAGTCAGACAGAAACTGCAGGTTCAATTTCAACATTTTCATCATGTGCAAATACAATTATTCAAGAAGCAAAGACATACTTTGAACAGAAATCAGTTGAAATATTAAGTTCAGAGAAAGTTATGGAGTCTTGTGGATCAACACAGCCAGTAGTGACCATGCCTCTAATTAGTGGTTATTACATATGTCCTAGTGAGAAAACATGGGACCAGATCAGTAACCAGTGTATCAATGCAGGTAAATGATAATGTTTATGTAGTAATGTAGCTCCTAGTGTATGTCTGTTTTATTAGAAATTAATTTTCTAAGTTATTGAAGGCAAATTTGAGACAAAGGCAAAATAAATTTTAAAAAAAAGATTTGCTTCTCACTTTCAGTGTTTTAGCACTGTTGACCTATTAAAGGCATCATTGGTAAATGTAATCATTGGTTTTTTTTTTACAGAAATTTGATTTCAATGATAGCAGAACTTATTATACAGTACTATATATAAACACACACATACAAAATAATATTATTGTCTGAGTGTGTCAGTGATTGTAGCATAGTCCATTTTTAGACACTGATTGTTTTTACATAGATACTAGCTGTCCTGTTCCTATAATATTTAAACATTTTAATGTTCCTTGGAAGAAACAATTGCTGGTATTAATATGGGTTCTAATTCACTTACTTAACAAGGCAGAAAGTTGGTTTTTGATGTAAGGCATTTATTTGCCCATCAGATCTTAACGCAGCAGTTTGTTTTCTTTAGAAAAACTTTCAACTATTTCTAGATGTGCTTTTAACATACCCTAGTTTAATTTTTCCCTAATTAACATTATGCAGTGGTATTGTATGTTTTTAGATGCTTTCATACAGTTTTTTTTCAATGGTAAAACTCCTGAAAACTGATGCAGATGAAAAGCTAATATTTGATAATATGTTTCATTTTGTGTATATGTTATTGAGGCATGATTCATAGCTTGAACCAGTTAAGCATGATAACAGATAATAATATAATTAGCTGATTATTTATTTTCTAGTTCTTTTTTATTTAATATTTTCTCTGCATGAAATTTTTTGTGCCTTTTTCCTATTTCCCCATTTACTCAATAAACCATTGTTTACAGTGTTTTATATTAATTTCAACTTTTATATATATTACTTCAGAATGTTTTTGTTTCAGAAAATGATACAGCAATTATAAAAGGAACCCTAACTTCAGTATCTTCATTTTCTGTCTTGCAAACACAACAATTTGAAACAACCTCTGATCAGTCTGTAACAAGTCACAATATCAAACAAAATGAATTAGAATCAACTAAAACAACACAAGATCAACAAACATTTACTCGAAACTCAATAAATTCTACTGCTAAACAAATCAATGAAGAAAAAATAAGTTCAGCACAAACAGCACCATTAGGAACAACTCCGAATAATTTAGAAGTAGTGACCAAAGGAAAAACAGCTGACACAACACCAAATTTTGTTGATGTAACTTTCATAATAAATACCATACATTCAATCAGAATTATTACAGTAGATTATATCCCGACAATACTATCTACAACTAAAACATCTATAACAACGCCAGCTACAAAATCTACATCTGTAACAACACCAACAACAACTGAAACATATGTAACAACACCAGCTACAACTAAAACATCTGTAACATCACCAGCTACAAAATCTACATCTGTAACAACACCAGCTACAACTGAAACATCCGTAACAACTCCAGCTACAAAATCTACAATTGTAACAACACCAAAAACAACTGAAACATCTGTAACAACACCAACAACAACTGAAACATATGTAACAACACCAGCTATAACTAAAACATCTGTAACATCACCAGCTACAAAATCTACATCTGTAACAACACCAGCTTCAACTGAAACATCCGTAACAACTCCAGCTACAAAATGTACATCTGTAACAACACCAGCTACAACTGAAACATCTGTAACAACTCCAGCTACAAAATCTACATCTGTAACAACACCAACAACAACTGAAACATCTGTAACAACACCAGCTACACAATCTACATCTGTAACAACACCAGCTACAACTGAAACATCTGAAACAACACCAGCTACAACTGAAACATCTGTAACATCACCAACTACAAAATCTATATCTGTAACAACACCAGCTACAACTGAAACATCTGTACTAACACCAACCCAAATATTAACAACTGAAACAAGACCAATCACAACTAAAACATCCGTTCTTACTCCAGTCAAAATAACTACAACTGTAAGAACCCCAACCACAACTGAAACATCTGTACTTACAACTACCCCAATATCTACAACTAAAACAACCCCAACCACAACTGAAACATTAGTAACATCCAAAACCACAGCTGAAACATTTATAACATCCCAAACCACAGCTGAAACATTTGAACCAACCACAACAGATACATCTGTAACAACACCAACCTCAACTGAAACATTTGTTATTAAACCAACAACACCAACCACACTAGAAACATCTGTACCAAAAACAACAACTACTGAAACATCTGTTACAACACCAACTACAACTGAAATATCTGTAACAACACCAACCACAACTGAATCATTTGTAACAACACCAACTACACAAAACACATTTGTACCAATACCAACAACAACTGAGAAACCTGTACCAGTACCAACAACAACTGACAAATCTGTTACAACACCAACAGAAACTGAAACATCTGTAACCACACCAACCACAACTGAAACATCTGTAACAACACCAACCACAACTGAAACGTCTGTAGCAACACCAACCACAACTGAAACATCTGTAACAACGCCAAACACACCTGAAACGTCTGTAACAACACCAACCACAATTAAAAAATCTGTTACAACACCAACAAAAACTGAAAAATCTGTTACAACACCAACCACAACTGAAACATCTGTAACAACACCAACCACAACTGAAACATCTGTAACAACACCAACCACAACTGAAACAACTATAACAACACCAACCACAACTGAAACATCTGTAACATCTGTACAAACACCAATCACAACTAAAACATATGTCACAACACCAACCTCAGCTGAAACATATGTAACAACACCATCTTCAACAAAAACATATATGACAACATCAACCACATTAGAAACATCAGAAGCATCTGTAGCAACACCAACCAAATATGAAACAACTGTACCAACACCAACCATAACTGAAACAGTTGTAACAACACCAACCACAACTGAAACATATGTTACAATACCAACAATGACTGAAACATTTGTAACTACACCAACTACAACAGAAACATCTGTCACAACACTAACCACAAATAAAACATCAGTAACGACACCAGTCACATCAGAACCCTTGGTATCAACAACACTGACAGCAAAAACATCTGTAACAACAGCAGCAACAACATATCAATCTGGAACAACTTCACTTACAAAAAACTCAGAAACACCTTCCAAAACATATTCCTTTGAGCCATTACCAGTTACAACAATTCCTATGGTAACATCAGCTCTTACAACAAAAATTTTTGTTTCAACAGTAACACCAGAAACATCTGTATCAAAATCACCTCCATCAAATAAAATGACCAAAGATAAATATATAACATCAAAAGTAGCCTCAGTTTCAACACCAGCCTCAACAGAAATCTCTGTAAAATTAACATTCACAACAAATAAAATACCAGAAACAACTTTTTCAACACAACCTACAACAGAGACATCTGTTACATTACCCTTCACTGCAAAAACTTCTGCAACCATAGGACATAATAAAGCAACAACTACAGAACATGTTGACACTTCAACCATAGCATATGGTGATGCAACAACTACAGAACATGTTGACACTTCAACCATAGCATATGGTGATGCAACAACTACAGAACATGTTTACACTTCAACCATAGCATATGGTGATGCAACAACTACAGAACATGTTTTCACTTCAACCATGGCACATGATGATGCAACAACTACAGAACATATTGACACTTCAACTATAGCACATGATGATGCAACAACTACAGAACATGTTGACACTTCAACCATAGCACATGATGATGCAACAACTACAGAACGTGTTGACACTTCAACCATAGCACATGATGATGCAACAACTACAGAACATGTTTACACTTCAACCATGGCACATGATGATGCAACAACTACAGAACATATTGACACTTCAACTATAGCACATGATGATGCAACAACTACGGAACATGTTGACACTTCAACCATAGCACATAATGATGCAACAACTACCGAACATTTTGGCACTTTAACAATAGCACAAGATGAGGCAACAACAAAAAAACAGTTGGGCACTTCAACTATAAGACAAGATGATGCAAGAACTACACAACAGATTGACAATTCAACCACAAGACAAGATGATGCAGCAACTATAAAACAGATTTACACTTCAACCGTAGGACAAGATGATGCAACAACGACAAAACAGATTGGCACTTCAGTCATAATACAAGATGATGCAACGACAAAACAGATTGACAATTCAACTATAGGACAAGATGGTACAACAACAACAAAACAGATTGGCACTTCAACCATAAGACAAGATGATGCAACAACTACAAAACATATTGACACTTCAACCACAGGACAATATGATGCAACAACGACAAAACAGATTGACAATTCAACTATAGGACAAGATGGTGCAACAACAACAATTCAGATTGGCACTTCAATCATAGGACAAGATGATGCAACAACTACAAAACAGATTGGCACTTCAACCACAAGACAAGGTGATGCAACGACTACAAAACAGATTGGCACTTCAATCATAGGACAAGATAATGCAACAACAACAAAACAGTTGGGCAGTTCAATCATAACACACCTTGATGCAACAACTAAAGAACAGATTGGCACTTCAACCATTAAACAAGATGATGCAATAAATACAGAACAGTTGAATACTTCAGCTCTAGATGAACAAACAACTACAGAACAAGTTGACACTTACACCATAGCACAAGATAATGCAACAACTACAGAACAATTTGTCACTTCACTCGTAGGACAAGATAATGCAATAACTACAGGACAAGTTGTCACTTCAACCATATCTCAGAATGATGCAATAACTACAAAAAAGCATGGCACTTCAACCATTAAACAAGATGATGCAATAAATACAGAACAATTGAATACTTCAGCTCTAGATGAACAAACAACTACAGAACAAGTTGACACTTACACCATAGCACAAGATAATGCAACAACTACAGAACAATTTGTCACTTCACTCGTAGGACAAGATAATGCAATAACTACGGGACAAGTTGTCACTTCAACCATATCTCAGAATGATGCAATAACAAAAAAGGATGGCACTTCAACCACAGGACAAGATGATCCAATAACTACAGAGCAGATTGAAATTACAACTGCTAAAACTGACATTATAAATACAGAACACGGTGGTACTGTAACAATAGAACACACACAAATTAATACAACAGCATCTCAGGTCAATTCATCTTCCACCAGTGATATTCCTTACACAAGTACAGAACTTGGGGACACATTTAGAACAGCTGACAAACAAACTACAGAATATACAAATCAGTCACAAGCTAACACTATAGAATCCACAAGTCAACCTACATCTATTCATACCCCTGTTTCATCTATCACACAAACTCAATCAATAACTACATTACAAACAAGTACCCCTTTGAAAATAACTACAGCCTTACTGTCGACACAAATAACAACAGAACAGACTGATCCTCCACTTTGTTATGAATGCAACAGGAAAAAGAATGATGAGAGTTGTAATCAGATCACAAAGCAATGTCAACAGGTTATTTTCTTTTCTTTCTTTTTAAACTTAATTGCTGATAAAAAGAAACTTGAAATATTTTGTAATTGTGATTTTATTTGAAATAAACATAAAAATGGATCAATATACAAGATTTTATTTTTTTACAAAATAAATAACTTTTGTTTTAATTTACCATTTTGCACATTGTTATAAATCTTTTTTTGTCTCATCTCGAAGAAGTTGAAAAAGCAAGACTTAGGCCTGCTGTTTTTAGCAGTGGCGTCAGCGCCATCAACAATGTATTAGTTTGTGATTAGGTCAGTTTATAGAAAAAGACTACTGGTAGGCCAATGATATTTGGTTTGCAGTTGTATTAGCACTGGCACAACTCATTTCCATGTAGATTATTTGGATCTGCCCCCTCAGTCGTAGGTCAATGATATTTGGTATGCAGACGTATTATTAGCATTGGCACATCTCTTTTCCATGTAGATTATTTGGCTCTGCCACTTAGTCATGGTCTATTAACTGAATGATTTGTATAGCTTACATGTTAAAGTTTGTGATCAAATCAGTATAAGATGAATCACTAATGTTAAGACAATGATGTTTGGTATGCAGATGTATTAGCATTTTCAAATCTTATTTCCATAGAGATTATATGGCCCTGCCCCCTCATCATAGTTCATTGACTGAATTTTTTACATAGTTTACAAGTTAAAGTTTGTGTTAAGGTAAGTTTAAAGGGAACCATTTAGTGTAAATAAGTCAATGGTATTTGGTATGCAGTTTTATAAGCATTGGCATTTCTCATTTCCTTGGAGGTTATTTGGCCCTGCGCCTTCAGTCATGGTTCATTGACTTTGAATGTTTTGCATAGTTTACATGTTTAATTATTGCCATTTAGACACAACATTTGCATTTTACGATCAAAACTACAAAAAGGCGAGACATATCTCTGTGACATTAGTTTATTTTATTAAATACAGTACCGGTAAATATTTGTAGATCTATGCATAATTTATTTTTTTTATTTAAAAAACAAATTGTTAATTTTGTCAAAGATATGCTTTTACTTTAATATTTTAATAATCAATTTTAGTAAAACATTATACATATATTAAACTTATATTTAGGGAGAATCATGTCAAACTCTGGTTGTGTATTACACGAAGAAAGCTATCATTACAAAGAAGTGTGCCAATTTGTGTGAAGCTAGTCTGAATGCATGCGACCCTACTGATTATCAAACCACATGTATTTATTGTTGTTCTGACAATCTGTGCAATGAGGAAACATCTTTCCTTAACTGGCAAGGTATTGCCTCACAAAAATATATTCAGCTTTATAGGGTTAACCAAAAAAGCTAGTATTATCTAACAAATTTAAACTCAACTATTTATGTAGATTGTATTTTAATGGCATAAATTCACTACATACATAGTTCTACAATTAATTGTTAAAAGTGTAATATAATTAAAATTATGTAAAGATACTGACTGTTTATGAAAAGTAACCAAACTAAGAATAAAAAATCAACCAAACTTGGCACAAACATCTGCAAGGACTTGTATGCGACATATTTATTTTCTTGATTAGACAGATCTGAGTAAAAACTAAAGATACGCCAGTTCTGCAGCACAAAAAAAAAACCAGCTAACAAACTGTGTCCCCTTATCAAGTGAAGTCTCAGAGGGTATAATTTTTTTTGTTCACTGGTTAGTTACAATTGTTTGTCTGTTTGTGTATTCACTCCATAGTGTTTTTTTTTTTTCCCATTGAGGTCCTGATCAAAGCAGCTACAAATGGCAGAGCAATTATAATTAACAATTTCAAATATCATAAATATTTACTAAGATCAATGAAAAATTAAGTTACCTTGACCTACATTGTATGCTGGAACAATTATTAAAGATTTGAATAAAGGTCCAGATCATGCCAACAATATTTGTCAATGGGATATCCTTGATTGTAATTAAAGTCTATATCATTATTAGATCATCTAACCTGTATCTTATGCATGAATGACTTAGAGGTTTTATTGTTAATTTTATGTTAAAGCTAAAATTTAATCCAGTCATAGAGGATTGGTATTTTAGCATTGGACACATCTTGAACAGTTATATTCTAATTCACCAATTCTTCCTGTCTTAATATCGATGACAATGTTACAGGTTTTTATACTTGAAAATTTTACTTCCCTTATCTTTTTTTACATTCCTTTCAGTTAACTTTCTTTTATCTCTTTCAAATGATGATGATGGGAGTTTTTAACGACCTTGACTGGCTATACAGCCCTCGCACGGTCGGTTTTCAAATTAACTTGTTCTTTTTAATTTAAAAATTTGAAGCTTTGCAATCTACGGTAAATCTCTCTTGATACATTTATCCAATGATTATGGTCAATTTTTGACAGCTTTAAATCATTCCTTATCTAGACATTATTCCGTAAATGTTAAAATTTATTCTAGTACAACTTTATATCTGTGGTTTGAATTCAATTGAACTAGTGATAGCAAATCAATATAAGTATGTCTTGTCAATTTTTTTTCATTACTCACATGTATGAGAAATAAAGATTCAAGAAAGAACCTTTTATAAAATCTTTCTTTATTTCAGATGACAGAATATGTTCTCCTACTATATAATAACAAACCCTCAGACCTGATGAAAAAATGTATATGATTTAATGAATGCTATTATTTACAACTTCCTGAAAAATGTGTGTTTATTGAATTGAAGTTGGGAATATGAAATCAGATGCATCTTTTTAGCTTATCTGTAATGCCTCAATAATATATACTAACATGTACTGGTAGAAATTATTATTTATTTATTATTATAGACCAGTTACTGGTGTCTGTTTGCTTTTTTTCATTTAAACTTAGTCGTCATGGAAATCATATTCTGTTTAGATATAATTTAGTGCAGAATCTCATCTTATAATTGTGGTCTATGGAATTATATAAGTAAATGAAAGAACTGCTTTTCTGATTTAATTTGTTAATTTTTTATTATATACTGAGAAATGCTGATTGTGAGGACAAATCACAAAGCTTATCATTATCGTTAAAAAAAAACTAAGATCTTTGATATGAAGGCTATACTTTTTTAGACTTAAAACGGGATGTTTGCACAAAATCTATTCTGTTTAAGTAAATCAAATCTATTTTTTTTGGCAGATGGAAGGAAGAAAAGAAAGAAAAGATCAGCTTTACTTACTGAAATGAATAGAGAAAAGAGATCTGTGGAAGTACTAACAACAACAACAGCATTCTGGAATTCATCTGTCCCTAATTGTTTAGGTGAATAGTCCCTGATTATATTTCACATTGTTATAAATCATATTTGCTTCAAATGATCAGATTATGTAAAACAGAAAGAAAATGTTACTAGTAAATAAATATTGAGTATAATAGGGCTTGGACAATGAATAAATTAATTGTGTTAATTTGCTGTACAAGCAAAACAAGAATATTTGCCTAAATGAGAGATTGATTGATTGATTGGTGTTTAACGCCAATTTCAACACTATTGTGCTATTTCGTGGCGGTCAGTTTTTAATGGTAGAGGAAGCCGAAGTGCCAGATGAGAACCACCAACCTTTGGTAGGAAAATTGACAACCCTAGTCAATTAAGATAGGAATCGAGCGAACCTGCCACGTGCGGGATTCCAACTCACAACCTCAGTGTTGACTGGCTAGTGATACAGTAGTTCGACTACTTAGACCACTCGGCCACCGAGGCCCCCCCTAAATGAGAGATAAGACTAGACCAACTATTTACATTCAACCAATGTAATTAATAGAAATATTTTCTTTTTTTGACAGATGTAGAACCACCCGTATTCCAGAACTGTCCAACAAAAGATATCATAGTTCACAAGGAACTGTGGGGACCAGTATTTGTGAACATAAGTCAACCAACAGCAGTAGATAACTCTGGTATCAGTCCAAAGATAACAGTAACGCCTGAAGATTTAAGACAGCCCTATCTGTTCAGAGAGGTAAAATTCAAAAAGAAATAATTCTGTCTGACTTTAAACCACGATATTTATGGATGTCATCATTTTTGTTGCCTTGAAATATATCTTAAGATAAAGGACTAATTTGTGCAAGTCATCATATCACTGAGGTGAAAAATGAAAATAACTTGAATGAAATCACGACAGAAACAGTGGAAGTAATAACCAATGTTTTTGCAGTCGGTCCGTTATATTGTTAATTCAACAAAGAACTGTATATAAAGCTTGGAAGGGGGCACTTCAATACTTAATTGACAGGTGGTGCCGCTGGGGTTCTGTTACCCCACCCTTTGCATATAATTTAGATATTAAAAATGTATACCTTTTCATATATTGCGTAGGTAAAAATGTATAAACCATTCCCTTATTGGTTGGGTTAAGTGCTAAGTTACGTGACGTCATTGATACGTGATAATTTTGAGTAATGAGTCCAGGAGCAGACGAAAATCACATTCTGGCATAATTAAGAAAATATCACCTTTGCTCGAAGCTCAGATCTAAGGCTCAGATTCATTATGTAATGTTTTCTTACGGCGAGACTTTTGGTTGTGAAAAATTACAGGGCTTTTCATATTACAAGTAATGGGAATCTTATTGGCCTTATCATATATTTCTGATAGTTTTCCCTATCTATTCACACTTTTTCAAGCTGAAAAATGTTACCTATTCCAGCGGCACGTCCGTCCTATCACCTTGTACATAGGAAGTAGTCCCCCCGAGATATAAGGTCTTCAATACAAAATTACTGAAATTTAAGAGCAATATTAATTTCAGTATCTTACTCTTGATAAAGTTGAAACTAACCAGTTGCAAGAAAATTTTTTGTTAGTTTGGATGTAAAATATGTGCTCATCTTTATTTATCTTTAGGTGTTAAAATATAACTTATATAAAACAGTTCATGGCACTGATGAAAAATATTGTATTTTTTATACAGAGAATTTCATGAGTTCTGTTGTATTACTAAACTAGCAGATGTATTTATACTTATATAAATTTGATATTTTAGAACACCACTGTAACATTTACTGCTGAAGATGGGTCAGGAAATTCTGAACAGTGTGAAATCCATGTAATATTGATAGGTAAGGCTTAAACATATTTTCCTTTAAACCAGTAACAGTTTGTGATTCTGGTGCTCATGCTACTGTTTTCTGTAAATTGATCTATTGTGTTTTTTGGTACAGGATATTTTTCAAATATTATGGTAACTTTGTTTTAAGGTTTTTAGAAACATTGATATTTTTTTCATTACTTTTAATTTAAAAGATATTTTATTGGCTTAGGTCCAAATACATTTGTACAATGGTGTATTTTAAGGTAAAAATATAGGTATGCTATTACATATACATAAAATCAAAGCTATTGTACTCTTTCTTTATATTGTCAATATGAGATATAAGGAATAAATGAGTTTTAACTTCATAAAAAAGCTGTAAAAAAGTTTTAACTGAAAATCACTCTCAATCAAGAGAGGGACTATTACTATGTAGAAATTGTCTGAAGGTACATCAATTTTTGGTTGTAGTAAGTTCTAATAGTATTAACATAATGACAAAAAAATGTTCATCGATCTTTTGTTTTTTTGTAATAATAGCCACTGGATTGGACAAACGTGTGAATAGAAATGATCTTGGGTTCTCAATTCCAGAAACTACTCCCCTTCTATAGAATTTTTATATTGCATTCAGTAGTTCTATTTATTTGTTTTAGACATACATCCTCTCACAATCAGATGTCCTGTAGATGTGGTCTATGTACCATATGCTACTAACAGTGATATGGTCAATATAACATACAACAGTGTAAATGTTGTGGCCTCTAGTAGTGCCACACATATAACCTACCAGCCAGCCATCAGTACCAGTATCAGGATAAAAGAACATGTAGAAGTCAAAGCTACAGCACATGATTCCAATGGCAACACTGCATCATGTAACTTTACTTATGAAGCTACTAGTAAGTTCTTTTTATTAGCATTCTTAGGAAAGCAAAAACCTGATTTAATTATAGTTCAGAAAGTTGCTTTCCCTGTCCTATATTTTTATTGAAAAATTCCCCATAATTTGAATATCTTTTATGCATTATTTTCCCCCAGTTTTTCTAGAAATACACAATGTGCACTAGTTTATATGTTTTATAATGTTTGCAAAAATTTATTATATTATATAATCTGAATATTGATCATGATTTATGTAACCCTTTGAGAAATGTTAGGATATGTAAGAATATCAGGATAAGTGTAATTGATGCCATATTTTATGCTATGTATTGTAAAATAAATATAAATCAATGACTTTATTATAGAAAAACAATGGATATGGGGTATCCATTCATGACACAAAATCAGTACATGCAAAGCAAAAAAATACACAATAAGCACAGGCACTTGTCTCAGAAAAAAATTTCCTATATACCTTAATATAACACAAGGTAATTAACTTGCATTTTTGAAAAATGTCAGCCAGTCGCGAAATTTCGTTATATGCCGATTTCTCAGTTGTCAACCCCACTAAAACTTGTTATGCCATAAATCTAAATTGATTTTTCTACACAATGGTGTATAACACGCCTACTTTTGTTGTCGGAATCATCCGTAGCAGACCTACCCAAGTATGACAATCGTAATTATTTCGTCTACCGACGCCAAATTGGAAACATAAAACTCGCAGTAAAGGATTAATTATAAAAATGATTTTAAAAAAAAACTGTTAGTTTTTGTCTGAATAGAACTTTTCACCCAGTTAGTAAAATTATATAAAATCCCATGAAAAAAAACTAACAAGTGTTATTTGTGGTATTTCTAATAAGTTATGAGTTTCTTTTTTTAGACTCAAATTTTCCCATTACATCAATGTCATTCAGACTCTCTCTGGACTTTACGTATGAAATGAAATAAGATCAGATAACTCCGAGAAACATTTAGACCTTCCCATAAAATTTGACCAATCGGAAACCGAGATATATAAAGAGAGTGGGAAGATACCTTTTACTGCGAGTTGTATGTTTCCAATTTGGCGTCGGTAGTGGAAATAATTACGATTGTCATACTTGGGTAGGTCTGCTATGGATGATTCCGACAACAAAAGTAGGCGTGTTATACACCATTGTGTAGAAAAATCAATTTAGATTTACGACATAACAAGTTTTAGTGGGGTTGACAACTGAGAAATCGGCATATAACGGAATTTCGCGACTGGCTGACATTTTTCAAAAATGCGAGTTAAGTACCTTGTGTTATATTAAGGTATATAGGGAAAAAAAAATTTCTGAGACAAGTGCCTGTGACAATAAGCAAAGGAACAGTGCTTTTATTGCTGTTTTTCATCTCAAAGCCACAGTGAGCCCTTCAACACGGAGCAAAAAAAAACTCTCACCTCACTGCAAATTTCAGACGGCTCTTAGCACCGGCTTGAGCGGAATTCTTTGCAAAAAAAAAATTTGGATAGACTTTGTAAGATGGTCACATGTCTTTAGCTGTAAGAAAATACCCTGACTGTCTAGTAAGTGGAGGATGTTCTGTAGGTAGAGAACAAAAGATTTAACAGACACCAAAAACTTACTATATGAGAGCTTATAAACATGTTCTGTTATAAATAAAGTATTGTGTTTTATTTAGGAGACGACCAGATTCCACTATACAAAATTAAAGTAGTTTACAGTGTTACAAATGTGCATTCAAATCCAGATGATTGTCCGAAGAAGTACGGAAAAGAACTTTTTAATAAAATACAGAATTTATCAGTTACAGAATGTAATGACAGTTTTATGCTTCTGCCAAGCATTACTGTTCATCAGGTAATAACTGTATTTTGGGAAAAAAACACACACAGTACACTGCATATGTCTCATTCCTACAGAATACATGTTACAAAAACTTTTGCTAATTGATTTAAACTTTAATTTAACCGATCTCTACATTATGCCTACCTGGTTTGGGCAAGTGTTTGGAGCACCATAGACTTATCAGTGAATTGATATTTGGGAAACAATTGACTTTTTATGATTCTTTCATTGTTCATTGGCTTTTTTTATTATATAATGAAAGAAATTAATAAAACTGTGGTTAGTTTGCCCCAACAAGTATTTTGTCTCATTTCAAATTATGTTTGTTTATCTGGTCTAGCCTGTGCATGATGGTTAAAGTACCAGATTCTTTTTGGCTTGGAAAACATGAGCTCTTCAGGGTCTGGTCTTATATACAATTGTGTGATGGTAAATAAATCAAGTGCACCTTGCTTTATCTGCAAATGATAGGAGTGGGTCTAAAATCAGTACCATAGTAGTATTAGTATGATGTAATCTATACAGGAAGATGTGGACATACTGTTAATAGTACAAACTAATTAAACCTTATTGCTGAAGATAACTTTTATATAAGAATTGTTCCAGTGTAGATATATAATTATTTAGTAAGGTGTTTCAGCCAAACAACATCAATCTTCAGGTGAAATTTATTCAGACAAATACAGGATTTTATTTTTTGGAAACTACAAGAATATTTTAATTCTTAAAACATCTCCAATATTGAACTCAGGGCCCTCGGTCATAAAACTTTACTCAGTATTGGAGTACAAAATTTATGCTCGAAACACCAAATCCAGTATTTTGATTGGTTGATTTCTGAGTCTGAGTAAGATAAATGTGCTCAAAAGTGTTAACACCCCCTGCAAGGCCAGAAGTCTGTTGCATTGATATACAGCCTAAAACTTTACAAAACTTGACTTTTTTTTTTTTTTTTTTCAGGACAAATTGGTTGTGGATATATCTGTCATGTTTATGAATTTTAAGACATTGGATTTTGATTCTATGAAATACTGTGGTAATTTAAGTGCACAAAAGATGATAGATGCTGGAAACCTTACATTGGCTCCCTCTGGTTGTGAACAGTTAGAACTTATATTCATTGATGAGGAGACAACTCAGAACTATCTTTGTGAGAGTAATTTCACTGTCCTGAATAGAACCAGTAAATATTGTAGTATGTATTCTTATTTATTCATTTTAATCATATCTTCCTGTCTTTATTCAATTTTTCCTAAAATACAAGTATAAATTAATAAGCATCTCTTGTAAATTTGGATTGTCCTACTGGCTAAATATTTGACAGTTGATGTTCACTTCATCTTGTCAATTGTTTAAATTGAATAATGCTTACATGTGAGTCTGTGCTAGTCAACTGCAGAGAAGAATGAGTTTAAAACAGTTTAATAAATTATATGTGTATTGTTCTGTCATACACCATACAATGCTTCACATTAATTACAATGTTATTTATTGTAACTTTCATTACAGCATACTGCAATAAAGGTACCTTCAGTAATCAGACAAGTGGACAGTGTGAGGTTTGCCCAGTAACACAGGACTCCATACCCACAGAATGTATGGCTTGTTCTCAAGATAGTTCAGTTTGTCTAGGTATATATAATTCTACGTGTCAGTTTTTACACTTCTTAACAGTCATTCCCAATTTGATCCATTAAAAAGAATCATTTCAAATAACTTGTGAACGATCTTCATGTAGCCTACATAATATATATATTTTAACCCGTCATTTCAAGGAAACAGGGGATATTCTATACCCATTCCTACTAGTAAAACCATTTCAGATCTTTTTAACGCAATTGTTGATCAATTTGGACAGTTACAAAGAAAATACTTACCTCTGGGTTTTTTTATGTGGACAAATAAAATAAGTCAATTTAGGCTTGAATAAAACCATTTCAGTTCTGTTATTTCATAGACATACTAAATACTAAGTTTCACTCAAGTTACAGTGGGACTAAGTTATCAACTTGAGAAGTACAAAAACGATTGACACATTTATACAGTTTAATGGTAACCTTACATAATTGGTTGAAGGGTTTATCGGCAGATAATCTGAATATATCTGACGAAGTTGAAGGGGACTTTATGTTTGCACTCTGTCTGTCAGTCCGGCAAATCAGTTTTCCACACTTTTTTTCTTCATGCTTGAAGATATTGATTTGATATTTGGTGTATTGTTTTATCATGACAAGTTACAGATCAAGTTCGAATTTTGTTCCGGTCTGATGATTTTGTGCAGAGTTATGGTACTTGGACTTAGAAAATTCACTTAAATAATCAGTTTTCCACACTTTTTTTCATCATGCTTGAAGATATTGACTTGATATTTGTTATATAGTTTACACCATGACAAGTTATAGATCAAGTTAGCATTTTGTTCCAGAACTGAATTTTTAACCGGTAGGGGACTATGTATTGCCATGCAATACTCTCAGAATGCTTGTTACACTGAAAATCTTGAACATTTGAAAAGAAAAAGATCTTGAAAACATTGCAGTAAATCAAACAATGATTTGAATTTTGTCTTACATTTTCAGATCTTTGTAAACCAGGAGAATATTCCCCAACTGGATTACAGCCATGTACCAAATGTTCTGTTGGTACCTACACAGATACTTACAATTCTACTATATGCCAGTCTTGTACACCAGGGAACTCAACCTTAAGTACAGGGACAAACAGTCTACATGGTTGTATTGGTAAGTTTTACAGACATCGAAAGACAACTCTTTGTTATACCCCAACGGAACTTGTTCCGTAGGGTAAAATATTTTTTACCTGTCCATCTGTCTGTCAGTCTGTCAGTCCTGTTCTTGTCATCACAACTCCTCTGAAACCACACTACAGAATTTCATGAAACTAAGGACAGACTATTTAGATGTGCATATCGACAGGAAAATTTGATTCAATTTTTGTCCCCGCGTAACGCATTGCGGGGGACATGAAAATACCGGGCGTGTGTCCGTCCCTCCGTCCGTCTTGTTAGCGCTCTCACAGGTACAATTCTTGCAAGATTTTTATAAAACTTATACTATAGGTTAATATCAGCAATATCTCAGACAAGTTTTATAATGGTTGCTAATCGATTTTTTTAAAAGAGTTATGCCCCTTGGAAATATTAAATTTATGGAAAATGGCCTCGTTTGTGTTCGCACAGTTACAATTCTTACCAGATTTTTATAAAACTTATACTATAGGTTAATATCAGCAATATCTCGGACAAGTTCTATAATGGTGGACGATCGACTTTTTTTTTATAAAGTTATGCCCCTTGGAAATATAAAATATAAGCAACACGTGGGGACATTGGAACTCTGTTCTTTTATTTACTAGGAGTTATGCCCTTTGAACATTTTGATGTAAATATACTACTGCAACAGTTTGTCATCGCAACTCCTCTGAAACCACACAACAGAATTTCATGCAACTTTGTAGATAATAAGGACATACTATATAGATGTGCATATCAACAGGAAATTATGATTCTTTTTTTTTTTAGGAGTAATGCCCCGTTGAACTTAGAATTTTGGCCTATATATACTACTGCTAACAGTTTGTCATCACAACTCCTCTGAATCCACACAACAGAATTTCATGAAGCTTTGTAGATAATAAGGACTTAATATGTAAATGTGCATATCCACAAAAAAAATTTATCAGTTGACTTTTGTATGAGTTATGAGTCTTTGAAATAGGAATGTAGTGATATTTTGTGTGCCCATTGACAATGTGGGGGCATGGGATAAGTGAGCATGCTCACAAAGGTTCTTTAATTGAATATTGTATAGTTATGGTTATTCTCTTTATTGTGATATATTTGCCTACTTTTCACAAAAGGTGGTACAATTTATGAACAGTAATATTTTGAATGAGCAATCAAAGTTTTGGAATATCTAAATGCTGTTAATTAAGAAATTATTGTGATGTTTTCATTATTGCCAAAAATTGCGACAGGATAGGTTTTGCAAAAATAAAAACTTGCATTTTGAATTTTGACATCATTATTTGTTTAAATACTTCCTGAAATCGCCATTATTTATCTCAAATTTTGTGTTTGGGCAACAATCGCAATAATAAATGCACACAGAAATTTGTGAATTAACAGTACATCAAAATTTCAATTAAGATATATATATATGTGAATTTTTCAGAATAAAATTATGAATGCAATGATATTTACAGATGCTATATATATATATATATGTGAATTTTTGATAGAATATTTATGAATGTTATGATATCTACAGATGAATGTCCAAAGGGGAGCTACAGTCAGACAGGTCTTGTCCCATGTCAGCCATGTCCACAGTTGTTTTATTCTGATAAAACAAGGTCTCAGTCATGTACAGAATGTCCACCTGGTCAAGTAACACCTTCAATAGGAAGTTCTTCAGTTAATCAGTGTAACGGTAATTTACTTCCTTATTTACATTTAACAAGTACACTTAATATAATGAATAGAAGGAGATTTGAGTATATGTGTAAATGAAACAGCAATGATTATTTTGTTTAGGTAATGATCAAACCTGCTGACTAATAAATAAGAATTAAGTATTTTTAATTCTTAAAAGCATATAAAATGTTCACTCATTTTAAAAAAAAGCTTATCATAGGCATCTTCTAATTCAGATACAAAACTTTGTCTTTATTATAACTGATAACATGTTTGGTCAAGTTATCTACATGTAGTTACCAACTTTCTCACTGTGAAAACATAATTTATCATTAGATTATATTGGATTTTAAGGAATATATTTTTATGCCCATCTTCACTAGTAGCGTGCATTATATTTCCTGTTCTGTGTACCCATCTGTCTGTTTGATATTCGTCTCATATAAGGTTAAGTTTTGGTTTGTTATTGGTTAATGCCAAATTATGGTTTTGACATTGATGACTCAGTTCACTGAACATGGAAATGTGATGGTGTGATCAGGGCATGGTGTTCTATGTATACACATTCTTGTTATTTTAAAATATTGAAGATGCCTTCTGGTAGTTTTTTGAAATTTGTTATTTTTACATATTACAGATCCTAAAGTATGTTCTGATGGTATTTGTAATCATGGTAGCTGTGTGACAAAGGACAATGGGAGACATTTTGTTTGTGACTGTTTGCCTGGATTTGCTGGTTAGTATTTATTAAAGTAAAATTAAATGGTGGAGAACTCTTTGCTTTACAATTATATTCTTATTATCCTTTTGATGACCATAATTTTCTAGGTTAGGGTTAAATAAAAGTTTATTAGAGCCAAGTTTATGACAAAAGCGACTATAAGACACCTTCAGTGCCCATGTCTACATAGATCTAAAGTTCTATCTATTGTAAGAAGAAATAATTGTATCATTTATATTTTAGTTTGTACTACCCTTGTATCTTATAAATTATAATTTGAAGCATTGATAACTTTTGCAGGTGCTGTTTGTGATGTAGATATACAAGAATGTGACAGTAACCCATGTTTTAATGGGGAATGCGTAGATGAAGAAAACAATTACAGCTGTTTGTGTTATCAAGGTAAATTCAGATAAAAATTCAAAATACCATGTCATTATGCAAGATTGCTTGGTTAAAGACATTATTTATTGTTTATGAATAATGAAAAAACCATGCTATCAGCATTTGAAATCAATCCACATTCTAACACTTAAAAATAGATATACGGGGGGTATGTCAGTAAGGCTATAACTATGGAAAATTGTCTTTACGGTGACCTGTTGTTGTTTACATCCTCAACTTTTTGTCTCTAGTGGATAGTTGTCTCATTGGAAATCATACCACATCTCCCTATTGTATACTTATCTAAATTTTAAGGATATATTTATTTATATATTTCATTAGAAACATGTTAACTTTTTCACGTAATTTTTCAATGGGAAGAAACTGATATTGAATAAAAAATTATATCCTTCATTATTTGGACTTTTTTACTTAACTGGAATTTATTATCTGGATATTCAATAGCTTCTTACAGACTAGATTCTTCATTTTGCCATTTTTTTTACTTTTTTATAGGTTATACAGGACATGATTGTGAAACCAGTATAAATGACTGCTCCCTGAATACCTGTAGCAATGGTACTTGTATTGATGGTGTCAATTCCTCTACTTGTCTATGTTATGATGGGTTTACTGGGGACAGGTATGTATAAATGACTTCTCCCTGAATACCTGTAGCACTGGTACTTGCATTGATGGTGTTATGTGCCAGTCTTTGTAACAATCAGGCAATTTAGAAAAATTTTAAAATATGGCCGAAAAAACCCACCGACCTAACCACCCTATTTTGAAGGTACCCTCATCCTGAGGTAGAAATGGTAGGTCTTTCATTTCTGCATGTCTGGTAATTCAAGAAATATCAAGATACATTTTGGTTAGAATGATAGCAAATTACAGAGTTATCTCCCCTTAATTGTTAATTTCTAGTGCATTTCAACCAAATTATATCTTGAATTACTAGATCAGGGAAAGGAAACACATATTATTTTCATGCATTCTAAACATAATTTAATGTTGACTTGAGCGGGTTTTTGTTTGTCATGTTTTTACCACTGCCTGATTCTTAGGCAGATTGGCACTTAATTCCTCTACTTTGACTGCTCCCTATATACACCTGTTTTCACATTTTTGTCTAAGCAGTGATGGATTGTCAGATGATAAGTAAATGTTAATAACAGATGCTTCATTTATTGATGTATTTGTCTCTGCTGTTTATATACTGGTGATCATAAATATGTATTCATGACTGTTCCCTAAGAGCTTGAAATATGATAAACATGTTGGTTGTCTTTATTGATGTATTTGTCTCTGCTATTTATTTACTGGTGATCATAAATATGTATTCATGACTGTTCCCTAGGAGCTTGAAATATGATAAACATGTTGGTTGTCTTTGCTCTGAGTTGCAGTTTTTTTAATAAAGTCATGTGGTTTTGGTTAGTAAAGTGAAAATAAGTTATTAAACTCATTTGAAAATCTATTTTTAATGGGATAAGGAACTTTTCTTTTTTTAATAATATATTCATATCAGAATATTTAATTGTGATGTTTGAAACAAAAATGACTGAAATCATGTTGTATTAGACAATATTTCTGTGCATAAACATATTTTGATTTATCACTTCATGCAGGTTGTGACAAGTTTAAATAATCCACTTTACTAGGACTTCATGATATATTGAATGAAAGTCAGTTTGAATTATTAAGTATATATTACTGCAAGTGCATATGGCCATGGAGAGCTTGAAGGTTTTCATTTCTCATAAATTAGTGCAGTATCACAGGTGATTGACATTTTCTAAAATGAAACAAAATATATATTGAGTACATAATGTTGGAAAATATAATTGATAACGTTATATACACTATTCTTGTGTATAGATTTATAAATGAAATCATTTTATTGCAGTTCTTGTGTAGAGAAGACTGAATGTGATCCAAATCCCTGTGAACATGGTGGTCTGTGTATAGATTTGATAGATGACTTTATCTGTAACTGTTCAGTAAGTGTTTACTCATGTTAGAGCTTGTGTATAGAGATCTTTATGGTGGTCTGTGTATAGATTTGATAGATGACTTTATCTGCAACTGTTCAGTAAGTGTTTACTCATGTTAAGAGCTTGTGTATAGAGATCTTTATGGTGGTCTGTTTATAAATTTGATAGATGACTTTATCTGTAACTGTATGGTAAGTGTTTACTCATGTTAAGAGCTTGTGTATAGAGATCTTTACGGTGGTCTGTGTATAGATTTGATAGATCTTTTTATCTGTAACTGTTCTGTAAGTGTTTACTCATGTTAGAGCTTGTGTATAGAGATCTTTATGGTGGTCTGTGTATAGATTTGATAGATGACTTTATCTGTAACTGTTCTGTAAGTGTTTACTCATGTTAGAGCTTGTGTATAGAGATCTTTATGGTGGTCTGTGTATAGATTTGATAGATGACTTTATCTGTAACTGTTCTGTAAGTGTTTACTCATGTTAGAGCTTGTGTATAGAGATCTTTATGGTGGTCTGTGTATAAATTTGATAGATGACTTTATCTGTAACTGTTCAGTAAGTGTTTACTCATGTTAAGAGCTTGTGTATAGACATCTTTATGGTGGTCTGTGTATAGATTTGATAGATGACTTTATCTGTAACTGTTCAGTAAGTGTTTACTCATGTTAAGAGCTTGTGTATAGAGATCTTTATGGTGGTCTGTGTATAAATTTGATAGATGACTTTATCTGTAACTGTTCGGTAAGTATTTACTCATGTTAAGAGCTTGTGTATAGAGATCTTTACGGTGGTCTGTGTATAGATTTGATAGATGTTTTTATCTGTAACTGTTCTGTAAGTGTTTACTCATGTTAGAGCTTGTGTGTAGAGATCTTTATGGTGGTCTGTGTAAAGATTTGATAGATGATTTTATCTGTAACTGTTCTGTAAGTGTTTACTCATGTTAGAGCTTGTGTATAGAGATCTTTATGGTGGTCTGTGTATAGATTTGATAGATGACTTTATCTGTAACTGTTCTGTAAGTGTTTACTCATGTTAGAGCTTGTGTATAGAGATCTTTATGGTGGTCTGTGTATTGATTTGATAGATGACTTTATCTGTAACTGTTCTGTAAGTGTTTACTCATGTTAGAGTTTGTGTACAGAGATCTGTATTATATACTTAGAAGTAAATACAGTTAAATTGTATGTGTAATACAAGGGCATGTTTTTTTGTTCTTCGGTAGTGAGCCAGAAGAGGTCCATTTCTATTTTTTTGCATTGGGAAGATCTTCTGTTCTTCTCCTATCTCTTATTTTTAAATAGGTGGTTTAGACGGCAGAGGCATATAACAAACATGGCGTCGTTTAGTCTAAATGACATTAATAAATTTATGAATTCAGATATAATAGATTGTGTGCTGTGTGATTAACGTTTTATGGTATTGCAGCCTTAGAACATCCCTGTAGGGACGATAACCTGGATAAATATAAAAACTACATGAACAATCAAAGTAAGGGGACGACTTTTTGATATTCTGGGAAGGGGGGGGGGGGGGGAGCAGGATAATTTTTTTTGCAGATTTATTATACATTTTAATATGTACCTAAGCATGCCATGCCTATTTTCAGCTCTCACTAGGCCTCCATATTCCTTTTCGAAATCCTCATGTCCCCCACCCCTACCAAAAAAAAAAAATAGCAAATGGTTTTCTCTTATTCAACACGAGTTTAAAATGATTGGTAGTTTGTTGCTTAATTTTAACGTCCAGGGACAGATATTTCATGCATTTTCTGGAAAAACACGAGTTTAAAAGTCAGGTATATAATATAAAAATTAGGAGATGTGGTATGATTGCCAATGAGAAAACTATCCATTGGAGTCATGTAAAACAATTGAATCGAAAAAACTAACGGCCTTATTATATATAAGAAAAACAATTTACAAATATCAAATATGAGGCAACACTGAGGGCAACACACATAAACCAACGACAACCACTGAAGTACATGCACCTGACTTGGCACAGGCACATTAAGAATATGGCAGGGTTAAACATGTTTATGATCGATCAATTCTTCCCTAAATTGGGACAGTGGTGTAACTGTACAACATAAGAACAAACTGTAAAAATCAGTTGTAATAGTAATAACTCAAAACATAAGAGACACAAAAAAATAAAACCCAACTAACATTATGACAATAGACACAAAGCACCGAAATAAGAGTATTTTCAGTTACTGAAAGTTTGTTCAAAGCCAATTACAACTAACAAATAAATCTTGTTCCCCAAACTAATGTATCAATCATTACACAATCAACGGATATAGTAATAAACAGTCTGAGAAACGCCATGACCATATATACCTTGTATACATATACAATCAAAAAGTCGTGGTCCGAAGGTTTTGACCATCGAAATTTTACAATAGAAATAATAGTTAGGACCAGCAGGTTTTCTTCAAGGGCCACCAGGGAAAAAGATTTTGAGAACTCTGCAATATCATTTATATATGCAAAAATAATCCAGTTCTTTACTTAAAAAAATTTCATAGAGAATATTTCCAAACAAACATTGAAAAATTCTTGTACAGTTTAAGATTATTCCTTAAAATCACATGGTCGGCGCTTCAAGTCAGATTTTAGTTAGTAAAGTATAAAGAAAAAATTTCACAAACACAGCGATTTCTTCCAACCAATTTTCTTTGTTTTTACACTTATTGTATAATTACACCAATGCTGAAACATAGCACACTATTACAATCATGTCTACCAAATAAATTGAAGTATCTTAATTTTCTAATAAATCATCGTAAACTTCATTTATGTCATCCAACATAAAAAAAATCTGATATATTCGACGGCAAATAGATTTTTTGTGTTATTGCTTCTTCTACAGAACATCTCCAGAAGAGGTCCAGATTCATTTTTTTGGACTCTTCACCAGAAGACATTCTGGAGATGTACAGAAGATACCAATGAAACACGCCCCAATTGATGACAATCGTTATGTATCAGCTATCCGTGATGATATCGATATCAGTCATGGTTGGAACGGCTTTATCGAACCCCTAATCTGTATGACATCATGTAGTCTATATCAGTCATGGTGTCAAAATCTTTATCAAACCCCTGATATGTATTACGTCATGTCTCTTGAAAAATACCGAAGAGAGATTAGGTGTACTTAATGTACATGTATATAATAAAGTGTATATGATATGGCCTTTTCAATATCACACACCGTATCAACCTTCAACCAATATAATCCCTCGAGCAGAGCTCTTGAGATTATATTGGTGTCTCGGGTTGATACAGGTGTGGTATTGAAAAAAATATATGATATTCTCTATTTATAAAGATGACTGCAAAGATTTGATATCTGATACTAATGTCTGTAAAGATCACTTAAACACATGGTATATATTGTGGATGGAGTTCTCTTTGGCCACAAGTCTGTATGACTATGATTAATAATTTCATTTTTTTTTTCAAATTTGGGCTATAATGAGGCTGGAAACTGAAATAATGACTTAATCCAAAACCTTAAATTTATTATTTAAACAGCCAGTAGTTATATATCTACAAGGCAGAATCTTTTTGGACATTTTAGACCTCTATATTGTTTATGCAAGATGTAAATTGCAGCACACCCTTCCAAATAAACCATTTTCTTCATTCAAAATTTTTAGTCTGAATTCTGTTTCAAACTTTTCCTAAAGTTCATGTATTATATCTTGATTTTAAAATCGAAATTAGCAAACTAAATGTCTGAAAGTATGAAACACAATTGGAACTACAACAACAAACTGATTTGGTATCCAGGCCATATATTTGTGGTTCCTATATGATGAAGATTACACATTTTGCTATAAGTAATATTACTATTGATTATTATTGTATTCCCTTTAGGGTACAGGTTATGTTGGAAAGAATTGTAGTATGTTACCAGAGAGATGTTATAATGGATCATGTTTGAATGATGGAGTGTGTCATCCACATGTCAATGGTTATAGCTGTTCCTGTGCTCAAGGTAAGACATGTGGTGTGCTAAAATATAAAACAGCACATGTAAATATGTTGGGTTTATTATTTGAAAGATATATATTTTATGGATTATTTTTAAGAGAGCAAAGATGAAATTTCAACTACTTGTGTTTAAATGTCTCTTCTATGGATGCAAGAACTGTATAAAAAAATATTTGGGATTGCAGTTTTAATTGGATAATCAAGTTTACCAACAAAAAATTAACTACCGGTACTCAGTTTTGTTGAAATAGAATAAACAATATAAATGAAAGATCTTTTCACTTGTATAACCTAATTGATAATGAATTGACATTTTATATCACAGGGTATACAGGAGAATACTGTCAGATCAACATTGATGAATGTCAAGGTCACTATTGTCGAAATCAAGCTGTCTGTATCGATGGGGTCAACTCTTATACTTGTCTTTGTCAGGTAGGTTACTATTGTAGAAATCAAGCTGTCTGTGTCGATGGGGTCAACTCTTATACTTGTCTGTGTCAGTTAGGTCACTGTTGTAGAAATCAAGCTGTCTGTGTTGATGGGGTCAACTCTTATACTTGTCTTTGCCAGGTAGGTTACTATTGTAGAAATCAAGCTGTCTGTGTGGATGGGGTCAACTCTTATACTTGTCTGTGTCAGTTAGGTCACTATTGTAGAAATCAAGCTGTCTTTGTAGATGGGGTCAACTCTTATACTTGTCTTTGCCAGGTAGGTTACTATTGTAGAAATCAAGCTGTCTGTGTGGATGGGGTCAACTCTTATACTTGTCTTTGCCAAGTAGGTTATAATTGTAGAAATCAGGCTTTGAATGGGTGGGGTCATTTCTTTGTATTGTCTTGTCAGTTGAGTTCTTAATTTTATTGTAGAAATGTTAAAAAAAAACAGACTATATTTGTACTTTTCCTTGTTTTGTCAGGAAGGTAGATTAAAGTGGATTCAGTATGGCTGTCAACCATTATTATACCCCACGCAACGAGTTGCGGAGGGTATAATGTTTTTGACCCGTCCGTCAGTCCGTCAGTCCTGTTTCTTGTCATCGCAACTCCTCTCAAACCACACAACAGAATTTCACGAAACCTTTTTAGATAATAAGGACATACTATGTAGTTGTGCATATCGACAGGAAATTACGATTCAATTTTTTTTCTAGGAGTTACCCCCCTTTGAACTTATTTGCTTCAATATACCTCTGCAATAGTATGATTCAATTTTTTTTTCTTATACAATTTTTTTTTCTTACAGTTATTTTATTTCTCCAGTGACAATGTGGAGACGTGGGGTATGTGAGCACGCTCACTAAGGTTCTTTAATTTGTATTTGTAAGAGATGTAACTGTTGATTGCTTAATTGATTTAGTAATATATCCATATTGTCACACAAAAAAGGTCAGTGTTAATCATAAACGAAAGAAGATAAATGTAAATAATAATGGTAATTGTACCCAAACAAAATTATTAACAAAAATACTGAAGTAAATAAAAAAAAAAGTGAAATCCATAAAACCTGACAAAATCAAACGTTAGGCTATACCAATCAATGTAACCAATAGAAATCAACTGTCATACTTCTGATTACTAGTAGTATAGGCATATTCTGAAGAAAATGGCGGGTTAAACCAGTTTGACCAAAAGTGATAATATTGCTTGTCAGAGTAAAAGCAAAATTTATAGAGAAATTAGTTTGAGTCACCACATATTAAAAGACAATTTATTTTTGACTTACAGCCAGGTTACAATGGATCCTACTGTGATTACAACATTATGTGTGATACCAACCCTTGTGTGAATGGAGCATCATGTCAGACTACATTAACTGCTTTTATGTGTGATTGTCTTCCAGGTAAGAATTAGTTTTTTTTTAGGAACAAGTCTATATTCCTTAGAATCTCCACATAGCTTGAAAACTACTTTTGATTTTAATTTGACAATGATAAGACCAAGCTTTAATGAAAAGTAACATCATTACATATTCTGTCAATTATTTGATATTTTATTAAAAATTCTGAATTGCTCTGCTTTCATTATATGCCAAGAACCGATTAGAAACCTAATTGACTGTAAGAAAACACTTTAAAATTGCATATCTGAAGAAAGAAATGAATAAAACTGCCTGTTTTTTGTGTTACAGGTTACTCAGGAGTTTTATGTGAAGTTAATATAGATGAGTGTAAACAGAATAATTGTAATCCAGACACATCACAGTGTGTAGATCAGATAAATGGTTACACCTGTAATTGTCTACCTGGATGGACAGGTAAGAATTCATTTAATGATTGATTAGTCTTCGCTCTTAGTCCAGGCACAATTAGTTCATATACATTCTTGATTAAAACAAATAAACAATAAAGCTAAAGGTAATTTTTTGAAGTGAGTCATAGAAAAAAGTGCAATAAAAATAAGTTTAGAAAAAGCAGATGATCGAAAAACTGGTAAAAGAAAATAGATCCATATTATGAAATGTACAATCTGTGAATGCAAGCTTTCAGTACAAGATCGTCTGATATTGATAATTGTATATGTATTAAATTTTCTTATGTACTTTTTCTACCAACTATTAATTGGAGCTTCTTGATGTTTGGTACCAAACTTATAATGCTATACCATATGGTTCATTTTCTACAGAAGAGTGTTTGTATACATTTTTTAGAAGTAATGCAAAGTACATCTTGTCATATATATCTGACAGTTTTTTGGGCAAGCATAATTGTCTTTTCAAGTAATAAATTATGTGTGATATTTTTGTTTAAGTTCATTTATGTAAAAATGTTGAACATTTTAGGTGAATATTGTGATGAGCCTACAAAGGAATGCTTATCAAGTCCATGTGCTCATAGAAGTCAGTGTTTTGACCATGAAAACCAGTTCTCCTGTTCTTGTGTTGATGGATATACTGGTCACAACTGTTCAGTAAGTATTCAATTTTATGCTTCAGTATATATACCAATAAGTTTGTATAGTTTTAGACTGCCAAAATATGCAATAATATTGGTACGGTAAAAGTTGCTTATCTCATACATTTGCTTTGTTTTGTTGTTTATTAAAAAGACAATGTGATTTTAAAATTTATGAAACTGAACTTCTGTAAGGTGGAGATTTTTTTGACAAAATGGTTATTATATGTTAGTATTGAATTTGTATGAATGCTTGTGAAATGATAATGATGTCCAAATTCTAAATATTTATCAGTATGACTATAATTATGGTATGGGTTGTAATTATTGAAACTTTTCTTTTAAGACCCAGGTAATTGAGTGTGATTCACATCCCTGTTATAATGATGGCCAGTGTTTAGACCAAGTAAATGGCTATAAGTGTACATGTAAGGGGAGTTTTACTGGAAGTCAGTGTGAGAAACATGTAGACTTGTGTGTAGGATCTCCATGTTTGCATAATGGTACATGTCAAAATCTTGTGGACACCTTTATATGCAAGTAAGTGTATTTTAAATGTGTTATGTTTGCCTCGATTTGACAATTTTAAAATTATTTGCATCTTTCTAATTTTATTATTTTCACATCTATTGTTTCAAATGTTAATGAAATTTTTGTGTCCCCCGCACAATGCATTGCTGGGGACATAGAAATACCGGGCATCCGCCTGTATGTCCGTTCAGTCTTATTAGTGCTCTCTTGTGTACAATTCTTGCCAGATTTTTATGAAACTTATATCGTAGGTTTATATCAGCAATGTATGCTGATCATTTATTTTTAAAAGAGTTATGCCCCATGGAAACAATAATTATATGGAAAATTGAATCGTTAGCGCACTCATTTGTACAATTCTTGCCAGATTTTTTATTAAACTTATATCATAGGTTTATATGAGCAATGTCTTGGACGAGTTCCAAAATCAGTGCTGATCAATTATTTTTAAAAGAGTTATAGCCCTTGGAAACATTAATTATATGGAAAATTACATTGTTAGCGCTCTCATGTGTTCAATTCTTGCCAGATTTTTATGAAACTTTTATCATAGGTTTATATCAGTAATGTCTTTGAAGAGTTCGATAATCAGTGTTGATCAATTATATTTAAAAGAGTTATGTCCCTTGGAAACATTATTTAATGGAAAATTGCATTGTTAGCACTCTCATGTGTACAATTCTTGCCAGAATTTTATGAAACTTAAATCATAGGTTAATATTAGTAATGTCTTTGACAAGTTCGAAAATCAGTGATGATCAATAATTTCTAAAAGAGCTATGCCCCTTGGAAATATTAATTATATGGAAAATTGCCTTATTAGTGCTCTAATGTGTACAATTCTTGCCAGATTTTTAGGAAATTTATGTTATTGGGTCATATCATCAATGTCTTTGACAAGTTTAAAAATCAGTGCCGATCAATTATTTTTAAACAGTTAGGCCCCTTGGAAATATTGATTATATGGAAAATTACATTGCATTTGCTCTGAAGCCTTCATATCTCTAGATATTAATAAAAAGTTTTAAAGAACAAAAAAAATTGCTTTTTTTAGTTATTGCCCTTGTACCTTGGACAGATAAAATATGTGCAACATGGGGGACATTGGAACTCTGTTCTTTTATATAAAAAAAAGGGGAGACAATAACAACAGGACAATCAAAAACAACAAGTGGAAGAAAGACAGACCATACTAAGGCCAAAAGAAAAGACATCGGACATACACTAATTCACAAAACAAAACACCAAAAACTTGAGATAGTGATACACAAACCCAACCAAAAATTTGGTGTGATCTTAGAGCATGGCCATATATCTAACTTGAACAATGATTATATGTATGACTTGTTACAGATGTGAAGTTGGATGGACTGGCAGTAGATGTGAATCATTAATAGATAACTGTGTGAGCTTACCATGTTACAACAATGCTGTCTGCATCAATAATATTAACCAATACACTTGTGTTTGCAAACCAGGTCAGTATATTGTGCAGATGCATGATAAGCCTATGTTGAAATGTTAGTTCTTCTGCCCAAACAGGACAAATATGTATTTTCATCAGTTAGTGAACAGAATCTTAGCAGTTGGGATGATGATTAGCAATTGGTCTAAAGGGTTTAAAGGGCAACCCTGAAAAAGGTTTATTTTGTGACCTGGTTGACCAACCAAAATTGTATAGTAGGCATTACTATATATTTGAGATAAATGTTGATGTTGGGTTTTTTTTAAATGGTAATTGATACTTGACAGCAAGCCAAAAACACAATAAAAGAAAAAAGACATCTAGAGATCGACATAGGTACCTTGTGTTTTATAAAAACATTTACATTTTATATGCTACTTTTCATATGGCCTACAGCACTGCAGTTTAGAACATTTAAATGATGATGACGGATGGCTGCTAAAGGTCCAGTGGCAAACTAATATGCATATTCAGTACGAGAACATGTTATTGTAATATGAATATTAACCTGGCTTTGTACCAGACCGACACGCTGAGCCGGATTTTTAACATGCTGATCACAAGGTAACAGTTTGCAGGTAGACATGTCACCTTACCCGGACATTTTATTCTGACTCCGAGTGATCGGTCTTTGCTCTTACTCATTAATGCTGCGTGCTTAGTGGAGAAGCAGCAAATACCATTTTTAAAGTCTTTGGTTTAAACAGGCCTGGGTTCGAACCCACGACCTCCGGCATTTAGATCATTTAAAGCAGTATTGATGTTCTGGCATAACCTGAAATGAATCCTCGTAACAAATAAGAAAAAAAGTTTACTTGTTTTAATTCTTCATATAATTTCAGGTTATACTGGAAGTCACTGCCAGAAGGACATTGATGAATGTGTTACTGATCCATGTCTTCATGCAGGAGTTTGTACAAATCTGATTGGTGGATATTATTGCACATGCCCAGATGGATATACAGGAACAGATTGTGCTGACCTTGATATTCCATGTCCTTCATGTCAAAATGGGGCTAACAAATGTTTTAATGGAGAATGTGTCTGTCTACCAGGCTATATTGGTCCTGATTGTGGTAAAGGTAAAAATAAGATAACTATCAATTTCCAAGAATTCATGATCTAAATATATTTTTAATATTGATATAAACATATGTTATATTTAAAGTCCATCAGTATAGTATGTTTTAACTGACACAATTTTTAAAAGTTTGAGGTTTTTGCAATGAAAATTTCATGATGATCTGATAAGAAAAATGAATGAAATATATTTTTATGCCCCCACCATAGGCGACAGGGGCATTAAGTGTTACCCTTGACCATTCATCTTTCCGTCCTTCCGTCTTTCTGTTCATCCCATTTTCGTTGCAAAGCTTGAGCCGGGGCATTCGTGTCCTCAGACACATTCTCCTTGATTTAGGTAAGAGCTTATACAAAGTAAAAGGGGACCCAAATGATTAAGATATATGTTTTAAGATAAAAGATTTATACAAAGTAAAAGGGGACCCAAATGATTTAGATATATTTTTTAAGATAAAAGATTTATACAAAGTAAAAGGGGACCCAAATGATTAAGATATATTTTTTTAGATAAAAGATTTATACAAAGTAATAGGGGACCCAAATGATTAAGATATATTTTTTAGATAAAAGATTTATACAAAGTAATAAGGGATTGAAAACAGAAATAAGTTTTGTTCTCTTGCTGAAAGTTTGCCTATCTAAGACTTAATTTTACAAAGTTGGAAGAGTTTGTTATAAAATGATTTTTTACTCAATCTTATGCATTTCTTATTCTACATTTCAGAGGTAAACTCTGACTATGATTTGTATTTCCATGGTAACAGTAGGATAGAGACTGGAGTTAAAAGAATAAAAAATAGAAACCAGTTTAGTTTGTGTCTGTGGTTGAAGACTTTTGGTCTGGTGTCATCTATGCCTGTTCTAACTTTAGTGGCTGATAATGGGTAAATTAATTTTGTTTAAGTTAGAAAATGAACACCTTTTACTGTGAAAACCAGAGCCTATATTTGAAATGACTGATTGGTATAGCTTTTGAGTAATGCAGATTTTGCTTAGCCCTCAGAAGCTCTCAAGTTCACCTTCAGTTTTTGTAGGGATGAATATGAATAAAATAAGATGAAGGATATACAAATATGAGACAACAGCTCAACAGTTTTGTTTTGTTTGTTTGTCACTTTCAGAAGTTTGCCCTACCCACTTTTCAGTCTACTCCTACACTTCTGTTGTTTTAAAAATGCAAAGTCTATTAAATGATAAAAGTCGGGAAGAGTGTTATGAAAATGAGATTTTATCCTTCATGAAGATGAAGTTTAATTTGGTATTTTTCAGTAACAGTGAACATGAAGTTTTAAGTATATACAACGATAGTATACACCTGTCCTACTTCAGTCAGACAGAATTTAACTTATCAATGACACCTTGGTCATGGAATCATCTATGTGTAACTTGGGATAGCCACATGCGTGGACACTGGTCTGTTTATATCAATGGTCAGATACAGATGGAGGGCATTGAATTTGGTAATGGTCAAGAACTACCACAAAGGTAAATTACCTCTTTACTTATAACAGATTCCGCAGGCAGTCTAAACAAATTTCTACAGACTTGATTTCATCAAAGATGTAAATAATGATGGTTCAATATTTCTCATTTCATGATTTTATGTTAGAGAAGAACTCAGTGTTATTCAATGAAAAAAATAGTGTATTGACAGTATGATTTACCTTATAAATTCCTATTGAAAATATTTTTATCAGGTAACTCTGCATGGAGTTCTGGTGATATCTTAAAGAATTTTCAGAATTTTAAAAAATGTTTTCCTGTTGAAAGACTGAAAATTCAGAAACTGTTGAGATGACGGATGTTGGTATTTGGGATTTTTGTCGGTCATAAAATGGGACAGCATTCATGATTATTATATCAATTAAAACTTGTTCTTTAACACGGATTGCATTATTTCAGCTGTTAGTTTTCACTACAATACTCTCCACCCTTAGAGGAGTGTAGCATATCACATCGGATTTTTATGAGATTGCATTATTTGTATGCAGCATTCCCTGAAATCACATTTATTATTCTCACATTGGCATCCAATAATTATCAGTTAATGCATACAATTATCTACATTTTACAATACTTCCAAAATTTTACCTAATCTTTAATCTGTGTTTAACTTTTAGACAAAGAATTGTACTTGGGCAAGTAACAGCAGATTATAATAGTACATTTCATGGTATGATAAGTCAAGTGAATTTATATGATAGTGTACTGAATGAGTCTGAGATAACTACAGGAGGTAACAACTGCTCCATCAGTATGCCAACAGGGACAGTATTTAGGTGGCAAGAATTTGCAAGTTATGTCAACTCCGAAACTGCAGGTGTGGATGTTATTGAACCATCTTTATGCGGCAGTGAGGCATGTCCTTTAGGTTATGAAGGAGAATGGTGTAACGCAACTGAAGGTAAGCATCATGTTTTGTATCTGTAAATCCCATAATATAAATAATTGTGACCAATATGGTCTTTTTTCTTTGGTCTCTGGTCTAAAGGTATAGAACCACTAATTCAGGCCCGGTCGGAAAGAACATACAAGAAACTAGTACATATTTTAAACAAAATAGTTCCTACGATACTGCTGTATCTTTGTCAATAGTGGGAATATTTGGGTAGTTTTAGTATCAAATGAAAGCTTGGGGACTTGGGATCACTGTAGAACCCTTGTTGAAAGTTTTATTTGAATAATAAAGAAGTATATGAAATTTTAATAGGAGGGCTCATTTGGCCTGTTGTTCAGATCAGAAGTTTCTGTTTTTGTACTATCAAACTTCCGGGAACCAGTACGCTCTAATATACAATTAAAGGTATGTTGATTTTTTCAGCACAAGTCAGCATAAGGTACAGTTTTGACATGAAATAACTGCCACTTTATTTGAACTTAAGACAAAGTAGCCATTTACGCTTGAAATTGCAGAATTTAACATAGAAAGCAATGGGGCTATGAATTAGTGGTTTTATACCTAAAGGGTATTTTTGCTGTTTATCATATAGATGTTTAGAGTTGGACAACACAAGAGCTATAGCATCCAAAGTATAGTCTTATGGACATCTGATGAATACTTTATTCATTTCTATTACAGATACAGAGGCACCAACAGTTGCCTACTGCCCAGACGAACTTTATTGACCTAATTATATATTTTTGATAGTTTTCCCCACTTATTCACATATTTTTTAAGCTGGAAAATGTAACCTATTCCAGCAGCACATCCTATCACCTTGTATATAAGAAGTGGACCCCCGAGCTGCTAATAGACTTAATATTGTCATTTCTATTATAGATACAGAGGCACCAACTGTTATATACTGTCCGGAACATATACAAGTTGTTACTGCTAACAGACTTAATATTGTGAACTGGACAGAACCTCAGTTTACAGATAATGTAGGGATCATTAATATAGTACAGACACACAGATCAGGTATGTTAACACATTTATTGGGATTTTAGGCCAATTGGCTGCAAGTTCATGATTAGGGTGGGTAAGATTATTTTTTTTCAACATTACAGTATAAATCAATACCAGATTCAGCATTTCTAAGAAAATTTATTCTGACTATGGGTTATGAAATGAAATCTTATTTTAAGCATTGAGACAAAATAAAAAGTGGGTCTGATAATAAAACAATGGTTGACTTTAAATTCAGTATGTATAAGGTTAAATAACACAAGAAAAATTGCTTTTCATATTATTTTCTATTCAGCTTTTAAAATAACGTTATGTATTTATATTGTCTTAACATCAAAACTTACCTTTAACTTGTAGGGCAAGTGTTTGCCTATGGAGAATATGATATAATGTATATTGCCTATGACACAGAAAATAACACAGCTATCTGTAGTTTTACAGTTTATGTTATACGTAAGTATTGTTTCTATTCTGCACTTTTTATATTTTTAATGTTAGTTGGTAAAGTGCAATTTCTTTTTTGTAATTTTATTTTACTGGAAAAATGTAGGTATAAGAAATAATGAATACCTCGGAGAACATGCAATGATAAACAACCTTGACTTTTCCAAAATAATTGGGATGTCTGTTTTTAAAAATTACTAAATACTTTTATTCTGTATATGTTATTTTATAAGAACAGATTTAAAATGATATTTGACCATTGAAATGACAGAAAACTTCAAAATAAATTCATTGATTGTATTTTGCTTAATGTCAAGTGGCAAAAAGTAAAGCATATATAAAAGCTGTATATTATTAGGAGAAAACCAGTCCAAAGAAAAAGTATATAAAAAGTCCGGATGACAACTGGAGCATTGTTTATGTTGTGTTTATTTATTTTTAGCATTTAATTGTTCCTTGCCACCACCACCATCTAATGTGATCTTGACATGCTCTAGCTGGTCTGAGGGTTTACAATGTTCTGTTAAATGTCAAGATCCCAGAATTCAAAGTTTTGTCGAGGAAGTACCACCATTTTATAAATGTGGTCGTGAAGGATTCTGGGACCCACCTAGAGGTGAAGAATTCAACTTTCCTATTTGTGCTGGTAAGTGATAGTATTTGTTTCTTCTATCATATAGGAAGCAGATGGCCTTTTATACTTTTCTTGACGTGGAAGTAGCTTGAATACACGTTTCTCTTTTGGTTGGGTCCTGTATAAAAATCTATTTCCCATATAAAGATATACAATCTAATTAGAATTACATCTCTCACTGGCTGTTGTTTAAATATATGTCACGATGTGTGCACGTATGCAATGCCACAAAGACCAATAATTGGGAAAACATTAAATTGAATATTTCATCTGCTATTTTATTCATAGGAACTGTACTTATCATTACTGCATGTCAAATGTTAAAGAAAAATCCTTTATTACGAAAATATCTAGTGATATATATAATACAGTTCCTAAAGCTAACAATAATCTATTATTGCTTACAAAACTCGTTTCTGCCTTGAAATTTATTTTTATTTCGATTGTCTGGATCCCTTTATAAGTGGTCTATTAATAAATCACCTTTTCCTTTCATAAATATGTGATCAACTAGCCCTTCATACATATTTACTGCCCATGGGCGGATTTACCGGACAAACACATTTCCGATAAAAACACAGATGACCCACTTGTTTTGTTGATTTAAAAAATTATTTCAGATATTTTTTGGGAAATGAGATAAACTGCTCAAAATTGATTTGTCAGTGAATCGATTTATGTTAAATTTGATACAATTTGTATATAATTAAGCAGAAATACATACGACCAAAGCCTTATGTGGGCAGATTTACCGGACTGCATCGTATACCGGTACTTATATAAAACCTTGTTTGAAATAACTCATTTAATAATTTTGTAGAAGCCTCATCACCAGATGGAACAATAAAAGGAGAGTTAGTATATCTAGGACCTCCCTGTACACTCAGTTCTAAACAGATACTTAATGAGAGCTTTGTTAAAAATATGAACAATTGGAACATGGAATTTGGACTTTGTCCTGAGATTGGTTGTAATTTTTCCAACATAACCATATTATGTATGTCATCAGGAAAAAGACGGAGAAGATCAACGAAGTCAACATATAATGTTACATTTGACATTCCAGTAAATGGGTAAGAGATTACAATTGCTTGACCTTTAAAAAAAACAAATTAGAATCTTCTCCTTTAGTTGACTCTTTATCCATACTGAACTTAATTTAACTAAAAGAGAAAGTATGGTCAAGTGGTCCTAGATATTTGAATAAGGGCTTTAAACTTCTTGCAATAAATGCAAAACTGCAAAAAAGTTAGCCAAGGTGTTACTCAAAAAGATATTTTGGTTCATGATTACTTATTCAAAGAATGCTTATGCGGGTAAAACATCTTTTTAGGAAAGGCCTTGGTTCACAACTTATTTGTCCCAAAACTTCATGTAAAATGGCCATTTTAGGTCATAATGGTATCACAAGGGACATATCTGCACTAAAGTGTACAGATTATACCAATCTTTTATTTTATCAATGAATTTGAAAAAACAGTTATGAATAGCTTAGTAAAATTACTGTAGTTGCAGTTTCAGTAGCCAAGTATTGGCTGTTATCATATTCTATTACCATTAAGGTAGATTCATGGTATACCGCCATCTTGCATTTTACAATCGCAGTACACAATAGGTCTAGTTATTTGCCCAAATCTGCAAATTAGGAGACAGATTTGCAATTTATTTGTCACACTGTTTATTTATTTAAAGAAAACTTGGTGATTAATTGTATTATTCAAAATATTCCAACAAATATTAAATTTTGTGTTTTGGAATCATTTTTTTCCAACTAAGCCATTTAAGGGGAGATAACTCATTTAGTAAAAAATTACACTGGCTTGATAGGGAAATTTTTAATTTTTACTTGTAGCAAGAAAACAAGTTCGGTGACACCATTTTTTCTTTTTATTTTCTTAAAACATGTTACAAAACCTATCTTCTCACAATTTATTTCAAAATTCTATCTCATAGATTTCTTTTTATGCATACAAATGTGTTTTTTCATGAACAATCTAACCAGATTTAGGCAATTTTCAACGACTCATAGCTTGAAAAATAGCACGGTGACCCATACTTTTTATTATATTTTTGAAAAAAGCATAGTAAAATCTTCATTTTGGCAAAGTATAAGAAAATTCTATCTCAAAAAATATATACCGATGATCTACCTTAAAACAAAAAAGTAAATTTACCTGCGCTAAAAACAACTTGTGTAGTACTAATTATGTGGTATTGTGTTCAAATTATTCAAACAATGTTTTTATATTAAAGCCGTGACTATAAAGTGATGCATTGATCCAGGATTTTCTGATCATCTCTAATCTAAGTTTTACTCCTTTCTTTTCTCTCTCAGGAGTTTAATGAGTGACGGAGTAAATGCCCTGCCATTGACCCAGTTAGAGACCATGATTAAGAATGAGGAATTCAACACAGATGATTTCTCCTGTGATGCTGAGAAACTGGTGGTTAAACCATACATCAAATGTCAGACAGGACAGATACTGGTTGACACTTACTGTGGTAAATATCATAATAGGTCTTACCTGGTGAAAAACAATACGTCAAACATCAAACTTGACACATACTGTGCTAAATATCAAACACTACCAGGTCATATCTCGGGGATTAACAATATGGCAAATGTCAGACAGGACAGATACTACTTGACACAAACCATGGTGAAAAATCATGCAAGGTCTCTCCAGCAGTTAAATATGTTTTGTCTTCTGATCAGTTAGCTTGGTGTAAGACCATGCATGTCATAGTTGCTTACATCCATGTCCTTTCTGGTAGATAGTTGTCTCATTGGCAATCATTCTACATCTCCTTATTTTATATATGTCCTATGTCTTACATTGTAAATCTAAGAGTGGTAACTATTAGAAAAGACCTGCTTGAAACAAATTTCTTAAATTAAAGTGTGGGAGTTACTTATGGGTTTATACCAAGACATATCAGTATCTTTAAATGATATCATAAGTTATATACAAAACAAAAAAGACAATTTGGGGATTTGTAAGCTAAGTCTCCTGACATTATGCGAGTATTATATGAATTCTTACCGTAAAACATATAACTAAATATGTATTGCTATAAAGTTATCATCGTCAACACTTATGGTCATACATCCTGTCAAGATTAGGTAATTATAGTTTGTCATTGCACATGGTCATGCTTATCTCATACTGTTAATGAAATCTTTACACTAAATATGTTGGATGTGTATTGAATGATATTATAACATGGGAAACATGAAGTTATATAATATTTTAGTGATAACTGGCTATGAACTTTCAGTGACTTCAAGAACTCTTAGATCGGTACTTTGTGTCTTTTGTCTTTTCGTTATTTGTTTTTGTGCTTTGTGTCTAACTGAAGAGTCAGGCCCCAACTGAGTTTTTCAGTTCACTTGAGAAAAATATTCAGAATGTATTCAGTTTAAAATACAGGTTTGCTTGATTATGTACTAAAATGATGTAAATTCAGAAAATATTGTAGAAAATCTGTGTTCTTTTCAATTGTAGTGAATTGTGTAAGAGGAACATATTATGATAACACCAATGAATTGTGTGGAGTATGTCCTAGAGGCCAGTATACAGACCAGGGAAGGCAGACAGCATGTAAATCATGTGATGTAGGATATACAACAGAAAGTTCAGGGACAACCAGTTCAACACTTTGTTATAGTAAGTTCTCTTGTTATATGTAAGTCACATGTAAATCATGTGATGTAGGATATACAACAGAAATTTCACGGAAAACCAGTTCAACACTATGTTATAGTAAGTTCTCTTGTTATATGTAAGTCACAGGTAAATCATGTGATGTAGGATATACAACAGAAAGTTCAGGGACAACCAGTTCAACACTATGTTATAGTAAGTTCTCTTGTTATATGTAAGTCACAGGTAAATCATTTGATGTAGGATATACAACAGAAAGTTCACGGACAACCAGCTCCACACTTTGTTATAGTAAATTCCCTTGTTATATGTAAGTCACATGTAAATCATATTCTTAAAATAATTTCTGTTGTCACATGTCAGCAATGTCTGGAATGTTTATACTCTCCTACCTAGAAGCCTAATCCTGTATCCAGAAGAAGGAGAATGTGGTAAAGTAAATCAGTTCATTATTTTAACATTTTTTGGAAAATTTATAGATTTTAATTCTTCTGGACGGATGGCCATGTGAGCTAAACTGCTATTATTTGGTATCCATCGTATTCTTCCCCGTCAATGGATGTAAACATTTTCAAAATTCCTCTCTAAATGTAAAGTTTATTTGAATTATAAAGGATGATGTTAAAATAATTTAGTAAAAATTGAACTAATTTTTCAATTACAGAATCTTGTAACATTGGAAATTATTATGACAAGACACTCTCCAACTGTAAACCCTGTGAGAGAGGCTACTACCAAGATGAGACAGGAAAGACAACTTGTAAATCATGTGGGAATGGGAAGACAACTGAAAATACAGGATCTACTTCAGTGACAAACTGCCAGAGTAAGAATATTTATTGGTTTTTTTTATATAAAATGGGCCACTTTTTCTGTCTGAAAGTTATATCTTAACATTCGATAGTGAATTTAAATAAACAAATTAGTGTTGAAAAAATAAAACCAGCTTTATTTTTATGCCCCACCTAGGGGCATTATGTTTTTCGGTCTGTGCGTTCGTTCGTCCTTTCCGTTCGTCCGTCTGTCCCGCTTCAGGTTAAAGTTTTTGGTCAAGGTAGTTTTTGATGAAGTTGAAGTCCAATCAACTTGAAACTTAATACACATGTTCCCTATGATATGATCTTTCTAATTTTAATGCCAAATTAGAGTTTTGACCCCAATTTCACGGTCCACTGAACATAGAAAATGATAGTGCGAGTGGGGCATCCCTGTTCTATGGACACATTCTTGTTAAAACAATGAAATGTATGATAGTTTGTTATTACAAAAATTTCTCAGAATAAATAACGTGCATCAATTCATACAAGTGCATATTCAATTTCCATTGAAATATGAAAATTATATTAGGATCTACAGGATTTTGGGTAATTTCATTGTTTGTACCATTGTTTAAGAAGTTGTCAACATTTTATAAATGTTTGCTGTTAAAAATAATACCCAGAATTCAATTCATTTGAAAAAAGTTAACTTTGTCTCATGAACATTCACCTTACATGTAATGAACTGTGAAACTCAGATCAGGAGATAAGAAAATTTTGGTCAGGAGCTTAGACCTCAGATTAGGTTTTTTATCGACATAATTTTGTCTTAAATGTAACCGTCTGATGTAAAATTAGTTTTTTAAAGTGTTTTTTTCTTCAATTTTCCACCAGAATGTAATGTGTTTACAGTACCCATGTAGCCTTTCTGTTTGAATGATATCACTTGAAAGAAATATTAAGAAGATTTTGATTGTTGACTGCTCATAAATAAAGTACTATGATTTAACCTTTTCTTTGAGTACTAAGAGAAAATCAAAGTATAGTGTTTTATTCATGCCTCCATTTTATTTATTTGTATTCAATGTCATTGGCATAGATATGTAGGAATGAAATATGCTATACATTTATAAAATGATAAATAGATGAAAAATTAACAAACAATAGTTATGCATGGTTTTTAAGCATTAAGAAAGTCATTTTGCTAGAAAACTCAAGACTCATTGTTTCAAACGCTGTAAAATGTATTAGCTAAAGCACTGTCTATATTACAGTGACAAGTGTTATTTAAGAACTGAAGCACAGGTCTTGGAACACTGGGTCATGTTAGATAGTACAAGCTGACTTGGCTACCATTAGTTTAATACACTTGACTCTGTACTAAAGTAATCCTGATGCTGGTAACAGTTTATTGTAGTTGTTAGGAGGCTGTGAATTGTCTTTGAGTCAATGTTTGTCTGCTGTCAGTTAGGACTGAAACTATTATATAATGTCCCAGGTTTGGATCTTCTTTAGCATGCTGAAGGTCCTTCATGTCCGCATTGGAGTGTGAAATAGCTAGTATTTCTTTGCTGAGTTGAAAGTTTATTAAATGTTTTTTTGGCACCAAAATCTCCGATCGATGTTTTGAAAACAACTTTCCATTTCTCTATCAATGCCGGTATTTATCGGCGTGTGCCATAGACAGAAGCCATATCGAGTATTTAATATCCTATTACCTGTTTATTGTTCAATCAAACTATTTTCACTTGATAATTAGCAGCTGGCCAGTTCAAAATCCCCACATGTTGCATAATCAGGTAATGTCAGTTACACCGGATACGTTTGATACACTCTGGTTTTTACGTCTTCAATAACAAACATTTGTAAACATCATTGTAAAAAATTGGTGCCTGAAATTTTTTCATTCATGATATTTTTTGTACACGGGATTTTGAAAACTGAAAACGGGAATATTGTACTCCCGTCGTGAGGTTCACATGTATGATTCACTCAATGCCCTTTTCCTCACTGATTGATAACTTACTTTTTATTAACTTTTTTTCCAGATTCCTGTAAAGCGGGAACAGAGTTGTCAGTGTCAGGTACATGTGAACTTTGTGCTCAAGGTACATATAAATCAGAAGACAGTCAAGACACTTGTCAGCCTTGTCCTTATGGTTATAGTACACACAAAAAAGGTGCTACATCAGTTCAACAATGTTCAGTTGGTAAGTTTCCTATTAAATTTCTTAATATGAAAATAAGGAGGCATTAAAGATCTTAAATTATGTGAAACCCAATACCACTTTTTTCTCACTTGCTGTGCAAGTGGAATGTGCAGGTGATCTTGCCATTCAGATTCAGTGATATTTGGCAGTGCCTGGGACTATTATACTTATAGTCCCAGGCAGCACTAATATCATTTTACATATTCATGTCTGAAGAAATATTGATGCCATTTGAGGGTAAATCTTTGATTGGTTGTTACTTCATATAATGTAGAGTGTTTTTCATGAAGCAGTGAAAAACATTGTTTTACTATGCATACATTTTGATTTGAAGGTATTTTGGTGGAAATAATGTCCTAAATAATTATATATATAATGTGAACACTTGATAGCATTTTATTACATTAATTAATCTTTGGCTTTTTTTGTTATTTCTTTTTTATATTTTGAATATACAATTTTTAGTGTCATTATATAAATTTTGCTATATTTTGACAGTTTCCTGTCCACCAGATTATAAATACGACAGTTCAACACAGAAATGTATAGTTTGTCCTCCTGGTTACCATCAACCTTATCAAGGTCAAAGTTCATGTATACCATGTACCTATTCTAAATTTGATATCAATATAAAGAAATGTTTATCTGGGGAGATTGATGAATGTGCCATTCATCAGGATAATTGTGATGATAATGCGGATTGTAGGGATACTAAAGACTCATTTGAATGTCAATGTAAATTTGGCTTCAAAGGCAATGGCACAACATGTATTGGTGAGTTTTGTTATTTGATTTATCAATTATTCTCTTAACTAAGAACAATGTTTTAGCTTCAGATGTAAATTTTAATTTATGTACAAAAGTTGTCCCAAGTCAGGAGCCTGATATTCAGTGATTATTTTTGTTTCATATCTGTCATATTTGGTTTTTTTCATAAATTGTTTTGTTATAGATTAGGTTGTTAGTTTTCTTGTTTGAATTGTTTCACATTGTTTCATATCTGGGCCTTTTATAACTTTACAGTATTGGATTTTCTCATTGTTGAAGGCCGTACAGTGACCTATAATTCTTCATCCATATCATTTGAACTCTGGTGACTAGTTGTTTCTTTTGCAATAATACCACACCTATTTTTAGTCCCCTACCGACGAAGTCGAAGGGGACTTTAGGTTTGCACTCCGTCCGTCCGTCTGTCAGTCCGGCAAATCAGCTTTCCACACTTTTTTTCTTCATTCTTGAAGATATTAATTTGATATTTGGTATATACATGTAGTTTTATCATGACAAGTTATAGATCAAGTTCAAATTTTGTTCCGGTCTGATGATTTAATCCAGAGTTATGGACCATAACTCTGGACCATATCTAATGTTAGAGTACTATGTTAAACCATACTTCTGTACAAAGGGAGATAACTGATTTTTTAAAAGCCATTCTTTGTTCAATTATTTGAAGAATTTTTTTGGCAGGTTTGTTAGTTATTTAGTATAAACTAATTTTCTGAATGCTATATATATAAAAAAAAATTATGAAGAGAAATCCTTTAATTAGATAATAATCTATTTTTATTATGTATATATTTCAATACATTACATTGTGTAGATAAAAGTTGTTGACAATTTATAGATAAGTTACAAATCTATATTAGTTTGTGACAAATGAAAGAAAAAATATTTGGAACTATTAATTATATTTGATTATAATTTGAAAATAGATATACACTGTATTACATCATATCTAATTTTAGAGAACTATTAATCATATCTAATGTTTTTTTCATCATGCTTATACGATATTGATTGATAATTGGTATATAGTTTTATAATGACAAGTTACAGATCAAGTTCAAATTTTTGTTTCGGTCTAATAATTTTGTGCAGAGTTATGGTCCTTTGACTTGAAAAATTCACTCATATAATCAGTTTTCCACACTGTTTTTAGTCATGCTTGAAGATATTGACATGATATTTACTTTTGTTTACACCATGGCAAGTTATATATCAAGTTAGCATTTTGTTCCAGTATAATGAATTTTTACCCGGTAGGGGACTATGTAATGCCATACAATGCTCTCAGAATGCTTGTTTATTTTTATTTTTATTTTAAGTGTATGCTTATTATGCCTCAACATCTTGAGAGTATGAATTGTATTTTATCACATGCATCAACTTCAAGATAATATAACATACCGGGTAGACAGATTTATGGCATGTACTGCTTTAAGGGGATACGATACAGTTTTGATCCCAAAGTGAATTTTTGACAAAAGTTTGCATACAAGCTATTTTTCACCTATTCAATTCAAATATGTTATAAAAAATATACCTTCAAGTGCTACTTTTAGAGATAAACAGGTTGGAAATTTAAGACATTTACTGGAAATTTCGGTTTCTTGGACATTTCTAAACTTTGGAAAGACATGCCTAACTTTTTTGTTTTTGAAGATAAACGCAAATGGATTTTTGTAAAAAACATTTGGAATATATTCTCTACATAAGTGTGCTTTGAATTTGTTTAACATTTTTTTGGAAATTTTTTTCCTGATTTTATATTAAAAAAAAACTGCATTTTTTGTTGTATATTTATCTAATATTAAAAAATTGGCACAAATAATCTTCATACATAATCAAGCCAAATGTCATTTTTAGCTCACCGGGGCCCAAAGGGCCCCATGTGAGCTTATGCCATCACTTGGCGTCCGTCGTCGTCGTCTGTCGTTGTAAACTATTTCAAAAATCTTCTCCTCTAGAACTACTGGGCCAATTACCTTCAAACTTTAACTAAATGTTCCTTAGGGTATCTAGTTTATAAATTGTATCCGAAGTTTTGATCCATCAACAAACATAGCCGCCATGGCTAAAAATAGAACATAGGGGTAAAATGCAGTTTTTGGCATATATCTCAAAAACTAAAGCTTTTAGAGCAAATCTGACATGGGGTAAAATTGTTTAATTGGTCAAGATCTATCAGCTCTGAAATTTTCAGACGAATCGAACAACCCATTGTTGGGTTGCTGCCACCGAATTGGTAGTTTTAACAAAATTTTGCAGTTTTTTGTTATTATTTTGAATATTATTATAGATATATATAAACTGTAAGCAGCAATAATGTTCAGTAAAGTAAGATCTACAAAAAAGTTAATATGACCATAATTGTCAATTGACCCCTTAAGGAGTTATTGCCCTTTAAAGACAATTTTGAACAATTTGTTCAACAAGTTTGCTAACATTTAAAAATCTTCTCCTCTGAAATACAGGTGAGCGATTCAGGCTCTTGAGAGCCTCTTGTTAAAAAGAGAGGTCAATGTTCTCCTTTTCAGGTTAAATCAGTCTGAATGATAAAAATCAGTCGCAAAATGCATCTTCTCCCGATATGTCACAAATTGACGTCGCCAAAAATAGCATTTTACATTAGTCACATCATTACCTCTCCTGTGACTGTATCATATGCCCTTAAACATGGTTAGAACTAGATTGTAAAGATGTCATTTACATAGTTAATAAAAAAGGTATCAAGAAGAGGTAAAATTGGCAGTTATATTAAATTCCAAACAACTGTTTGAAAATATAGATTTGATGTTGTACAGTGTTCCTATGCTCATACAATCCTTTCTTATTGACAATCTTGCATTCTACTAATAAATTAAGCTGTCTGAATTTCCATTTTACATTAATCTTTTTACACTGCAAAACATTGATACCTTTATCTGCTTCATGTTTTCAAAAACAAAAGTTATAGAATCAAATGAAGTATATTACTATTATTAATTTCATATTGTAACAGTTGTTGAAAAAGTAAGTGAATTAATGCCTCTTAAAAGTTCCACAGCCTTACAGTTGTTGAGAAATCTAAAGCATTTACAACTCTTTCTGTATGGGTTACTGATTGCATTCGAATCCACATCTGACATGTTGTAACTAAGTGTTTCACTTTGAGCAAACTGCAATGCTAAATTCCAAAAACACATGATGTTCATTTATTACAACAGAGTACATAATAAATGAATTTTTGCCTCAAAAACACAGTATCCACACAATTATCCAAGAAGTTATCTAATGTGAAAGTGAAGGACACTAAATTGGCCAGTATTTCACATTATTGTGGAATTTTATATACAATTTGAATGGGTTGACCTGTATTTTGATATGGAGAAAATGATATATATATAATTTGTGAAATAGATCTATAAATGTATAGAATGCCCATACAAAATGTCATAAAAAGGAATGGTTTTCACAATAAGTGATTTCTCAAATTCTATCCCAATAATTTGCTTAGAATTGATATGCTATTGCTATGATCATTTCTGTGTTAATATTACAAAATCTTTGTCTACATTTCCCACAATTTACTACATTCTGTATGTGCCTGTCCCAAGTCAGGAGGAGCCTGTAATTCAGTGGTTGTCGTTTGTTGCTGTGTATCATATTTGTTTTTTGTTCATTATTTTGTACATAAATTAGGCCGTTAGTTTTCTCATTTGAGTTGTTTTACATTTGTCATTTCAGGGCCTTTTATAGCTGACTATGCGGTATGGGTTTTACTCATTGTTGAAGGCCGTACGGTGACCTATAGTTGTTAATTTCTGTGACATTTGGTTTCTTGTGGAGAGTTGTCTAATTGGCAATCATACTACATCTTCTTATTTTTATCTTATTGTATTTTAGTCTTATTTTTAAAGTTTTATGAATTTTCTTCCTTTGTAATGCATTAGAATATGAAAAACACTACTGTATATGAAGAATTACCGTTGACATCATGGAATTTGATGCCAACAATTATTCAAGTTCAATTCCTTTTATGTTTTGACTGATTATTTACATGTTCTTTCTGTAACCAGCGATATGTAATCACCTGTTAAAATGGGTGGATCTAGTTAAATTTAGGAGAGCAGAAATATTTTGGGGGGATAATTTGTTCCAAAGAATGTAAAAGAACTTGGAACCTATAAGAAACTCCATGCAAGGCATATGTATTGTAGACATGGAGTAATATAAGGATCTTATTTACAGATAAATGTATTGGAGCATGTGATGTCAAAGTTGCTTGTATTATTGACAACAGTGGTGAACCTCAGTGTAAACAAGATACCTCAGGTAGGTAGTCTTACTTCAGTGTAAACAAGATACCTCAGGTAGGTAGTCTTACTTCAGTGTAAACAAGATACCTCAGGTAGGTAGTCTTACTTCAGTGTAAACAAGATACCTCAGGTGGGCAGTCTTACTTTGGTGTAAACAAGATACCTCAGGTAGGTAGTCTTACTTCAGTGTAAACAAGATACCTCAGGTAGGCAGTCTTACTTCAGTGTAAACATAAATACCTCAGGTAGGTAGTCTTACTTCAGTGTAAACAAGATACCTCAGGTAGGTAGTCTTGCTTCAGTGTAAACAAGATACCTCAGGTAGGTAGTCTTACTTTGATGTAAACAAGATACCTCAGGTGGGCAGTCTTACTTTGGTGTAAACAAGATAACTCAGGTAGGCAGTCTTACTTTGATGTACCTAAACAAGATAACTCAGGTAGGCAGTCTTACTTCAGTTTAAACAAGATAACTCAGGTAAGTAGTCTTACTTCAGTGTAAACAAGATACCTCAGGTAGGTAGTATTACTTCAGTGTAAACAAGATATCGCAGGTAGGTAGCTTTATATAAGTGTAAACAAGATTTTTCAGGTAGGTAGTCTTATCTAAGTGAAAACAAGATACCTCAGGTGTAAGATATTTCAGGTAGAAAGTATTGCTTCAGTGTAAACTAGATACCCCAATTAGGTAGTCTTACTTCAGAGTAAACAAGATACCTCAGGTTCATAGTCTCACTACAGTGTAAACAAGATTTCTCAAGTAGATAGTCTTACTTCAGTGTAAACAAGATACATCAGGTAGATAGTCTTACTTAAAGTGTTTACATCAATTCATTGTGTTACTGAATACTGGTAAATGGTATAACAATACCTATGAATGTTCAGATATATGTAACACAATACCTCCTGACTTTCAAACATGTACAGCTAAACCAAATTTGTCTATTGATTATTAAAAATGAAATTGTAAGAAGTTGCCCAAGTTACAGTGTAAAAGGTTAATACTTGATGGCAAAGGAAACAAAGAAAGGAAAAGAAATAAATATCACAGAAATTCTTTAAGATTTATCTCAGTTTATGTCATCCGTAGAACAAAATGTTATATATAAATATTTTGATATTAAAGTAAATTAGTTACTATAGCAACATGAAACATCAGAAAATTACGTAAGACAACATGGGTTTGCTTAATGAAATTAAGTACATTGACAGCTTCCAAATTTTTAATACAAATCTTAGCTCATAAATATTACTTATCTTTTGGTGCACACAGTGTAAAATAGATTAAAATTAAATGAACAATTAAGTAATTGAGAACAAAACAGATAAAGTGGTTAACTTTAGTTTCTTGGCATTTGTGTATAAATATAAAATTGTTTATGTGTTTACAAGTGCAAACTAAGTAGAGATGTTTATATTTTAGGTCCATTCCCATTGATAGCTGTGGCAGGAGGAGCATCATCATTTGTGTTGATAATAATCCTGATTATCATAACATTTGTCTGTCGAAGGTAAGTACTATTAAGTAGTGAAGGTAAGAGGGAGCATCATCATATGTGTTAATAATAGTCCTGATTATCATAACATTTGTCTGTCGAAGGTAAGTACTATTAAGTAGTGGAGGTAAGAGGGGGCATCATCCTTCATATTGATTTTAGTCCTGGTTATAGGTGGTAGGGAGCAACCATTTAACTTCAAGGTGGGGGGGGTTATGGTTTTTTGTCTGAGTCAGAAATTTTTTTTGGCACAAAGCGCAAACATTATTTTTTAGTTTTTCGATGCTATCAATCAAAATTATTTTTTTCAAAACTTAACACTATAAGGTATGGGGAAAATCTGGATTCAGAATATTTTTTTTTGTCATCTACTTGACCACAATATTTTTTTTCATCAAATTGGGGATCAGAATATTTTTTTTAGGAAAAAACCATAACTCCCCCTTCAAGTTAAATGGTCGTTCCCTTATGCTATCGGAAGGTAAGTACTATTAAGTAGTGGAGGTAAGAGGGGGCATCATCATTTATATTTATTTGAGTCCTGGTTGTAGTTGTTATGCTGTCGGAAGGTAAGTATTATTGAGTAGTGGAGCTGACAGAGGGGAGGGGGAATCATAATGTATATTGATTTTAGTACTAAGGGTATAGTTGGACTGACTGAAGGGGACATTATCATTTGTACAAAGAGCAGCAGTAATATTTGTTTCATCAAATGAATCCTTTATATGTTTGATAAATATTTTTTGCCTATTCAAGTTTGGGTATGATTGAGTGAGGTTCTGGAAAAAACGATAATTTATTTACATGATGCATTATGTATGAAAAGTATTTTTTTAGTTAATCTTTTTCTTGTTTTTCCAGAAGATCTAACCAAAAGAAAAGAAAAGAAACACCACATAACTACCAACATATGGACAGAGTTCACCGTGAATTGGAGGTGGTTACTTATCCAAGAGGTTTACCTAGAACAGTACAATTCAGAACAAATCCTGCTTATTCTGACTCAGAACTGTCAGATCCAACTGTATACCATGGTGGACCATCATCAGCCCCATTATGGGCAAGACCAGTCTTTCCCGACCATGAGGTAGATTTCTCAGACCTCTGAGGACTGCATGCTTACTTATATCATCAGCATGGGGAGGAGGTGTGTTTCTGCTAGACAAAAAATACTGCATGCTACAATCTTTTCAGTTGATTTATTTTTTGGAATATTGAAATTATGCAAAATTTTATTGCTAGTGCCTAGTTTACTTATAAGGGAATCTATATCTTCAGTTCATATCTTTTTTTTTTAATCGGTTTTTGATATGATGATAAAGGTTTGACCAATATTTTACTAATTAAAATTGAGAATGGAAATGGGGAATGTGTCAAAGAGACAACAACCCGACCATAGAACAGACAACAGCAGAAGGTCACCAACAGGTCTTCAATGCAGCGAGAAATTCCCGCACCCGGAGGCGTCCTTCAGCTTGTTCATTTATTATGCATAGATTTATTTGAGTTAAGATAATAGGTGATTTTTTTTAAAAAGGTATTATCAGAAGAAATGATGAGGTTGATTTTCTTTCAAACTTAAAATGAAAAAAAAAAAGTTTATCAATAAAAACAATTCAAAATCCTAAGAGGATCAGGTCAAATTGAGATAAATATAGAAATTCTTTAGTTAAACACAGAACAATTCCAAGAAATCTACATTACTTATTATTCAATAATTGACATTTATTAAATTTTGCATGATTTTTTATTATGTAAAAGGAAAAACTTCAAAAAAAGGTTTGGATACACCAAATTTATTAAATGAGAAAACTTTTATATGATTTTTTTTCTAAAAAATATTGTTCTACAAGAAATACAGGAGCACAGTCTTGCATTATGGTAGATGTCCTAATAGCAATTGTAACGTCAGAGACTACATAAGCTTCACTTATATTGATTAGATTGATTGATTTGTGTTTTTCTTTACGCCGCCTCAGCACAAAAAAACTATATCGCGGCGAATGTATTTATTAGAGAAGTTCAACAGACTTGAAAAAAATGATCATATAAGACCATTTCTGCATGAAAGTAAAAAAAAATTGTCCATGGTAGACTGGTTCTGAAATCAGATGTTTATATTCTATAAAAGACTCAAAAGTCAGTAATTATATTTTATTGGATGGTGGGGGATAATTGCCATCTATAGACAACACCTGTTTTTTTCCAGTGAAATTGTTGTTGATGAAATGCTGCACATCACATGTCTTCCATGAAATATTTACATTAAAGTTGAAGCTAAAACATACACTTACCTTTCTGCATGCTTTGCTATCCCTTTAGTGCAGAAGTCCTGCCTAGTTATAGTTGCTAGCAAGAGTCAATGGTATTTAGCTAGCCTGATCATTAGGGTCATGTGACCAATCGTCAACACTTAATGTCATTTACTGCTACTTTCTTTTTTTTTTTTGACTTATTGACTGGGTATGCTAGGAAACCATGTAGAATATCAGTATAAAGTCAATCAGTACACATCCAACAGATTTAGTATAAACACTTTACAAACAGTCTGAGTAAAGCATGACCAAAATATTAATATGGACAGCTGTATAACAATACATATTTAGTTATATTTCAATTTATTAAACACAAAATCAATGTTACTACTGATAAAGACAATATTTAAAGATTTTTACCCACAGTGTTAAATTGATAACCTCTTATAAGAATAAGTTTATTCAAAGAATCAATAAGTTTACATGGATCATTTGTAAATTTATTGGCTCTATAAAAACATCAACGTAAAACTAAGGATGTGATGTCGCATTTGTATAAAGTTTCTACAGGTACAGCCAAACTTCCAAACCGAATCTTTGTATCGATGGAAGAATTTAGTATAGGGTTTAAGTAATGTGTGGTAACGAAATCCTTGACTCATAAATTTATAAGTTATACATAGGTAACATTCATTGAATATTGAACATCACTTCAGACATGGGACATAGTGAATGAGTTGGGAAAATATCCACATTGTAAGAAGGGCCAAAGGAACCAAAAAAAGGAAAATCAACAATAGGAAACCAAAATTGTTTCTTTTGTCATAAACTATTGTAAAGAATTTCTCTTCTGATTCTGAAATATCCAAATCTAGAAAAAGGCAAGTGATGCTGTTTGTGTTTAAATTATTGAAAGTCAATTCCCTGGGCAAATTTTTGCAGTATAAAATGAGAATTCTTGATTATTTAAAGCAAAAATATCAACAAGGTAATGGTAATTGAGTGTACCTGGTAATTATTTTTTTCTTTTAAAGAGAATTTAGAAAGATCTTAATTGAACTTGACTATAAACTGTAATTCATAACAATACAGGAACATGTTAACTTTTAATTGGGGTGCAATTGGTGCCCATATGAATAACTGCAACCTATTGATAAACTTTTGCTTAAACAATTGTTTTAACATTATTAGATCAATGCTTACATGGAACCTTCATCCCCTTTTGTAAGCAGTTCCAAAGGGGTTTTGCTTAATTTTGAAATTTCATTTTCGTTTTCAATTAAAGACAATTAAATGAACTCTTCAGTTCAATATGTTTACATAATATCAGTATAAGATTTAATCATTATTTAAATCTATTCTTTGTGTCCATTTTGTAGTGTAAACATACTTCAAACTTCCTTTCAACTACCAAACACTATCTGGAAGAAATACTAGTCACTATTCACCATATAAACATTAAACCATATGAGCAATACATGGTCCTTGGGACCTGTAGTTTTTCATCTGCTTATGCAAATCTGAGGTTCCTGTATCAAAACATTGATGTGGACAAGGAATGAATTTTAACTTATTGCACTTTTTCAAGGTTTATTAATAAAATGTTATACTATTTGTAGCTAATAAGAACAAGATTTCCCAAACAGGATTGAATAATAATTTGAATAAGATAATAGCAGCTCAAAATCTGACTGTTTTATCTAGGGGCAAATCAGAATAAAGTCTTGAGATGTTCTAGTCATGATGAAGATAATCAAAAATAATTGTTTACCTATGGTCTGCTCTAATACTGAGTAATAGAGTAGAATAATAGTTAGTACCAGGAATCAAAAATTCATGTAATACTAAATTGACTAACCTTTTGTAGTTGACGTAATAGAGATAGTTGCTACAATATTATATCATATAACATATTTATTACCAATGTAAGATAATTCTAGTTTTTACAGTATTATAACATATAATGTATTTATTACCAATGTAAGATCATTCTAGTTTTATTTAAATTATTACCTGCAAATCTGCTTAGTCTAGTCAAATTATGCTAAAATGCTTTCTATAATCATTCTGTCATTTATAGAGCTTGGTGAATGGTATTGACACTTGATTCTAGAGACCATATGTTGACCTTTCAATGTCTTTTGAGGGGCGTATTTTGTATTGTAGTGGTTGTTTCATTGTATCCTCCCTCCCTTTGGAGGGAGGACTATGTTACCCCTGTCTGTATGTCCGTCCTTACCTTTAAATTATTAGCCGCAATTTTTTTGGACAACGTAAATAAGACTTCATGTCAGCAAGCTATACTGTGTGACACGGTTTCAGATTCATCCCTCATCAACTTCCTGTTAACCGAACATTTATGTATTATAATAACACATACTGGCCTTGTATGAAATTTCCATTGCAATTTTCTATGGAACTACATATAAGAGATTCCTGGAATTTGCTATCAGACTTCATGTGAACATCCTTTACAGTGTTATGTGTTTTAGATTCCTTTTACTTCAAATTCCTGTTTACTAAATACTTATAAGTGGGGGTATCATTATTGAGCAATAGCTCACAGTTCTACTTGTTGATAATTATTTTAGTTGATCATTGGATATAAATTTTGCTATGCATAACTCTCAGTTTAGCCATGTGTTATTCAATTATGAAAGAAGTTAAGTTAAATGAAAGTATATATATCTTATGAGGTAGTCTTCTGTAATGATATCCATGTTCAACTGCTTTGCCACAATTGTTTTTACTTGTATCATACAAAATATATGTGGTATCTTGAAAAATTGTTCAGAAGCCTTAATTTCTTTATAGGATATATCCAAGTATAGTGAAACATCACTGAAAAGACCACTTAGACTGAGAATTACCCAGGAGATGAAAAATGATCAACAATATGAGGTGAGAGATTGACTAAGAAATCTTTCTGAAAAGGCTTTTTAAAGATGATTATATTATGTAATAATCATAAATAGTATTCTAAAGAATACAATGAATGGTAAAAATCCTGTTGGCCATATCCCCATGCATAAAATCATTAAACACTAGTCAGAAAATTAACATTAAACACTACTCCGAATATTAACATTAAACACTAGTCAGAAAATTAACAGTCTTCTCTATACCTTATGTTCTTATCATAGCACCACTTCTTCCAATAGACAACTAAAACACAAACGTATGTTTGTCGACTAGCTTGCTGCTTGTGTATTTTCTGAGCTGCCGATTTTATTCAATAAATATGTACAAACATGTCACATCAATACACATTAAAAATTGTGGCAATCATAATGACTTCTAATATCTTCTACTTATATCTAATTGTTTCGTGGCTGACCAGGAAAAACTACTTTTAGAAACCTGTGTCCTTTTGTCAATGCCAGGCGAAACCCCAAGTGTTGGACCGCACTTGATATAAGAATGTTCAAAAAAACATTAAAGAAAACATTTAAATGCAAAAAATCTGCTATCAGTCAAAAGACTGCGGCTATATGAAAATAATTTGAAGACAGAAAAGAGTCTGAATAAACAAATCCAATTACGTTTGTATAGCCATACCACCTATATATAACAAAAAGTTTTAACTTTAATGCTAATTTGAACATACTTATAAACAAAAATATTTTAAAAACGTTTCTTAACGTACATGTTAAAAAATTTGATGTTCACTCAAGTAAGGCAGGGCTAGAAATGACCATATATACACTATCATTTAACACAATAATTTTTCCCGCCCAAAAAATTCATACGCCTTCGAACTACTTCGTGAGAAGACAATTAATTCCCGTTACACTACGTGCCACGGAAATTAGGAATTTAACACTTTTTGTAGCTAATTAGTAAAGGGAATAAAATCTTGATTGCATGGTAGGCGAATCATTAATTTTCTACAGTGTATTCTGTTAATTCATTAGTTTTTTGCATGCATTTATTTATGGGATGGTTGAACAATGGACAGATATGCAATATTAATTGTTAAGATTTCAGGAAATGCTCCTTATAAATAATGGCATGAGAATTTAAAATGTTGGGGTTTTTTTGCTAAACCTATCCTGCCAAAATTTTCAAGATAATAAAAACATCGCATAAATTTCTGCAATCACAGTAATAAGAATTCTTGGAGGAGAAAATATTGGTCAGCTACAAATAAAAAAATTTTAAAAATAAGATAGTAAAAGAAAAATTTGTCTCATACAAATTCGACCAAGTAATTACTATACGTCCAGTTTTGCACTGTATGTGCTCTGACCCGTACACTTCTTGCCAGATTTTTATGAAATTAAAATCATAGGTTTATATGCTGATCAATTATTTTTGGATGAGTTATGTCCCTTTGATTTAATATGAGATTTATATCAGCAATGTCGAAAAATCAGTGCAGATCTACCATTTTTATACGCCCGTTTACGGGACGTATTATGGTAAACTGTTGTCCGTCCACCCGTCGTCAACATGTCGGACAATAACTCAACAACGCTTAAACCAATTTGCATGAAACTTTGGTGAATTGTTTATATTTTTTGACGCGAGCTCCCTTTCAATTTTTATAAATTTTGGATTTTACGTTTCTGAGTTATGGGGGTTTTATTCATTAAAAAAGGGGGATTTTCCAGTTTTCGGACAATACCTCAAAAATGCTTTGAGCAGTTTTCATGAAACTTTGGTGAATTATTTTTATCTATTGACGTGAGCTGCCTTTCAGTTTTTATAAATTTTAGATTTTACGTTTCTGAGTTATGGGGTTTTATTCATTAAAAAAGGGGGGTTTTCCAGTTTTTGCACAATAACTCAAAAGTTCTTTGAGCAGTTTTCATGAAACTTTGGTGACTGGTTTTATATCTATTAAAATAATCTCCCTATAGTTTTTCATAAATTTTTGATATGACACTGGTTATCATGCACTCATGGCACAGCTCTTGGAAATTATAATAAAAATTGCATTGTAAACTCTCTCTCACCTACAATTCTTGTTATGAATTTTACATCCAAGATTTATATCAGCATTGTCTGGGACAAGTTCCAAAATCAGAGCTGATCAATTATTTTTACAGGAGTAATGTTCATTGAAATGTAATTTATTTTGAACATTGCATTGTAAGCACTCTCACACCTACATTTCTTGTTAGATTTTTATGAAATTTATATCAGAGCAAGGAGTTTGAACAGTACAGACCAAATATTTTTACAGAAGTAATGCCCTTGGAAATAAAAATGATATTCAAAATAACATTGTTAACAATCTTGTGTCTTCATATCTTGTAGGATATTTATGAAAAAATTTAAAAGAACCCTAAAAAACATATTTTTTTAGTTATTCCCCTTGGACAGATTAAATATGTGAAACTGCAGGGGAAATTGGACCCTTTCATTTATTTCACTAGGTATGGTCATGGTTTTAAAAGAAATTAGTTAATAAAAGAAAAGCAAACCCAAGTATGATCCTTTTAGCATCCTGTAAAATGTTTAGTTGTCATTTAAATCTTTTTTTCTGATTTTTTGCAGATTGAAAGTAATAAGAGTTGGCATGATTCATCACCTGGGTCTAGTCTGAGTCAATATCGAGATGATACACACCACTCCTCCCCTAACTCAAGTATCAGTAAATATAGAGTGGACTCCAATCCTAAGGACTCCTCTCCAAGCTCAAGTATTAGCCACTACAAGGAAGACTCCCTACATAAGAATGATAGTCCTATATCTAACAAGAGTGACTTCTCAGATTCTTTTTTCTGAATACCGAAACAAGTAGAACAACATCTGAAATGATCCAGTTGAGGAGTCAGCTTATAGTTAGCTGATGTAAAACATAAGATGTTTTCTCTGAGTAATTTCTTATCAGAAAAGAAATGGAAAACATTCGTCCTATAAGGAATAGATGGTTCTAATATGACAGTATAAGAACTTCAAATAAAACTAAGAAGAGACAATTTTCATTAGAAAAACAAATGAAACAGTATTATAAGACTGGTGAAATATGGAAGAAATATGTCGTATTAGATAATAAGGTCGGAATGAAATGTCTAACAGAAATCCCAAATTTTGACACCACATAAGCTGATAGATAAAAACTGTTTAAGAAAACCAATGGCCTCAGCCAAAATTTTATTTTGAAATCAAACTAAAAAATGTGATTTTTGCTTGCCGAATGATCCATAAATGCAATTTAGAAATATCAAGAAAAGAAAGATTACGAAGATGACAGTTTCCAACATACATACATGACTCAACAGAACTACTGTACATGTTTAAAACAACAATGTTACTCCTAGATGTATAATTGGAATTTTTTAACATCTAGAAATGAACAACAATTTGATGCTGATGATTACCAGTTAAGTAGGATGAGTGATAAATATTAATGTATGTCAAATATATGCATATATGTGGTAAAACAATGTTGATATAGCTGAATAAACATGGATATATGTAGAACATTAGTTGTTGAGTATTTATATATTCTGTTCACATTGCCAAGTCTTTCCACAATGTATGTGCCTTGTGACACTATAGGATGTAAGTGATCAGTGTATTATAGTTTTTATGCCTTAACTGCAAATAGACAAATGAAAGTGTTCTTAATTTAATGACAAGCCAGTATTGGGAGAAAGATTCAGGAACAGAAAAACTTTAAGATAATTCCTGAAATCTGAACATTCAATGCAAATCTGATGATATTGTAACATTGTAATTGTGTATTATAACATTGTAATTGTGTATTATAACATTGTAATTGTTTATTGTCACATTGTATTTATTATAACATTGTAATTGTTTATTATAACATTGTAATTGTTTATTGTCACATTGTATTTATTATAACATTGTAATTGTTTATTATAACATTGTAATTGTTTATTGTCACATTGTATTTATTATAACATTGTAATTGTTTATTGTAACATTAATTGTAATTGTTTATTGTCATATTGTAATTGTTTATTAGTTTTTTTTATTTATCAATCAAACACATGAAAACCATTGTGTGTTCAATCATCACCATATCATATAATGTGAAATATTTCATTGTTTGTAATATTACATATATGTTTTCCATTTTTCATTCATAATTTTGTTAATATTCACTATTCTAGTTGAGTTGAAATGCAGTGTTTACTGACCAACATCATGAACAGTTAATAATAATTAAATTGTAACTCTTAAGACCTAAAATCCACCACTCATCAGCAATGAACCTCCATCATGTCTAATTTATATCAATAGCATACTACAATAACATACCTCCTCAAATGACAATCTTAAATTGTACCCAGTGAAATAAATATATTGGATGAAAGTTTTATTGTTTGCCGATAAAATGATCCTTCATTAGGAAGTAAGTGGTACATTCCATACTTGTATCGTAATATACTTTTTACACATAGTTTGACATCATGGTTTAGATTTTTCCAATTTTTTTTTCTTGAATTGCAGTTAATTCTGCCTTGCGGTTGTCAAAATCTCATAATGGAATCCATTTGCTCCCCCAAAAAAAGTGGATGTTTTTTTCTCCGATTTATTTATCTGATGTTAATATTTCCAAAAAGCCTCAGCATCTGAAGTATAAGGTTCATCTAAGACAAGTCTCATGACACCGTAGTACATATCTAGATAAAAATTGAATGGTATATTTTTATTGGTCTTTCAGTTTAAAGTTCTTTTTGTTTTTTTCTAGAATTTGTCACTAGATTTGGTCAAAGACCTACACTTGAATATTGTATATTTATGAGATGTACTGTATTATTTGTTTGTTTACCCAGTGCTGGTAAGGTGCCTATACTTATTTATAAATAATTATTATTTGCCATATATATATATAATTAAATATTGCTCATTGATATCCTATTTAACTGAAATGTAATGTATTATCATCAAGATACAGTATTTAATAAAACCATTTTTACAGAAAACTTTACTGTCATTAAATTGTATGCATGTGTTGTTTTTTTTTCGTCAAGAACACCAATTTTAAGAAATTTCATTACAATGGTCTTTGGCACAAAAGAAAGGCTTGTATTTGTAATTGATTGTGACACAATCTAGTTTTTTGGATAAAAAGCCATTAGGCCTAAACTGTGTTTTAACCGTTTTGATGTACAGCATTTATTTTTCACTTTTGATATACACTTGTTCAGTATTTCTTGGTTGACTGGCATCCTGTTCTCAGCATGGCTCTCTATTTTATTTTTTTACTAAATAAAAATTGCAATAGGATAAGTTTTACAAAGATAAAATCATAGAATTATAATATAGGAAGGAAAAGTATGTTTTTCAGATTAAAAAAGAAATTGAGTTATATTTCCAACCATGAAATACCTTGTTAGAAACTTTAAATTTGTCATTTAAGATTTTCTTGTAAATAGTAAGGAGGAATTATTATAATGTCTTTGAATTGTGTCACAATAAAGTTTTAAGTGCAGTTTTTATTTGAGGAGGCTAAATATTATCATTTATTTGTTTTTGCATTTATTTATTTATCAAGGTGCAATTTTTCCTTTTAAATCAAAATTAAATGTTATTTTGTTAAGTTTTTTTTGTATGTGTTATTTTTTTGCTATAAAGAAAATAGAGGTAATTTATTATAATGTATCTTGCTTCAAGATTTTGCTTTTTATGCTTTTGAAAATTGTAAGTTTCATTTTAGCATCTGCTTTTTAGCATGTCAAGTGATTTTTGGTACAGTATTACATATAATCCAGTCTCTATATCATTACAGAAAAAAGTAAATTTTTATCACATTTATTTTCTATTGGGTATTTATTCAAATCTCAATGAAGTTGATGCAGAAAAGATCTTTTGTGCTAATTCTTGCACTACAATACATTTTCTATCAAAATGATATTAAAGAATATATGTTCTGACCTCATGATTTCCTGGTTAATTTTTTTCTTCTTGCAATAACGGTAAGAGTTCCATATGGCACCCCACCATACTAAAAGAACACAATAATGTATTGCAGTTTATTCCGTGGGGGTGCCATATGGAACTCTTTCCCCAATACTAAACTATATGACCAGTTGTCCTAATAGAACCAAAGCAGATGTTGCTAATCTCTCTTACTCTTTTCTTTGATACACATGTATTTTGAATCATAATTATTGAGCAACTTCTTGAATCATTGTTTATGAACAGCATATTTGGGGAAGCATATTTATTAAATGTAACATGATCATTACTAGTATCTGTCTCATAGCTAAAGTAAGATGTCATTCCACATCATGTTATATTGCATATGTGCCATATTTAGTGTAGTCTTTTAGAAACAAGTTGGTAAAAGTACATTATCAGACTGGGTATATTGAATATAACTCATTTCCATACGAAAGTAAAATGTAAGCAGGGGAAACCTTGGTTAAACAAATGCATAGATTTGACCATATTAGTGCTTGGTAATATATTATTGCCAAAATGTTAAATATGGTTATGTAGTCATTATAGTACACATACAGTATGGACAGCTAAATAAATAAAGACAGTTTTTGCACAAAATAACTGTTCAAATCAAGCCAGTATTGCAATTTTCAGTTCTGTATTGTACATTTTATCCACTTGTTTCTGAATGTTTTGACAGCATTGTTTTGTGAGCATTAAATATTTTAAAAAGTTTGTAAATATAAATGAAATAAAGATTGTTTTAAAGTTTGTATGTGTTGGGAATCACCTGAGGTTATGTCCATGTGTATGCGGTATCATTTGAATCTATTATACTTTTCAAAGTTATAGCAATTATAAGATAAGGAGATGGGGTATTATTGTCAATGAGACAACTATCCAACTGAGACCAAATGACATTAGATGTTAGCAACTCTAGGTTGCTGTAAGGCCTTTCAACAATGAGCAAAACCCATACAGCATAGCAAGCTTTAAAAGGCTCAAACATAACAAATGAGAATAAAATGCTTCGCTGGGGCGCAGCTTGATACGACCGCAGAGGTCGAACCCTGAACAGTTGGGGCAAGTATGGACACAACATTCAAGCTTGATACAGCTCTGAATTTGGATTGTTATTAAATTTGACACAGCATAGGTTTCTGACACAGAAAGAATGTGGTGTAAGAACTTGAATTTTTTTAATTTACCTATTATGGTCCAATGTCCAAAATCAAAAAACATGGTTAGATTAAGCATATCAGAGAACCCCATATATTCAATTTTTGTTAAAATCAAACAAAGTTTAATTTTGGACCCCAACTTGGACAAACTTGAAAACTGGGCCCATAATCAAAAATCTAAACATATGTTTAGATTCAGCATATCAAAGAACCCCAAGAAATCAATTTTTGCTAAAATCAAACTAAGTTTAATTTTGGACCCTTTGGACCTTAATGTAGACCAATTTAAAAAACGGGACTTAAAATTAAAAATCTAAATACACGGTTAGATTTGGAATATCAAAGAACCCCAATAATTCAATTTTTGATGAAATCAAACAAAGTTTAATTTTGGACCCTTTTGACCTCAATATGAACCAATTTGATAGCGGGGCCCACAAATAAAAAATCTAAATTCATGGTTAGATTCAGCATATCAAAGAACCCCATATATTCAATTTTTGTTGAAATCAAAAAAAGTTTAATTTTGGACCCCAACTTGGACCAACTTGAAAACTGGGCCCATAATCAAAAATCTTAACAAATGTTTAGATTCAGCATATCAAAGAACCCCAAGAATTCAATTTTTGTTAAAATCAAACTAAGTTTAATTTTGGACCCTTTGGACCTCAATGAAGACCAATTTAAAAAACGGGACCCAAATTAAACATCTAAAAACACCGTTAGATTTGGCATATCAAAGAACCCCAATAATTCAATTTTTGATGAAATCAAACAAAGTTTCATTTTGGACCCTTTTGACCTCAATATGAACCAATTTGATAGCGGGGCCTACAAATAAAAAATCTAAATACATGGTTAGATTCAGCATATCAAAGAACCCCATATATTCAATTTTTGTTGAAATCAAACAAAGTTTAAATACTAGACCCTATCTTGGACCAACTTGAAAACTGGGCCCATAATTAAAAATCTAAACACATGTTTAGATTCAGCATATCAAAGAACCCCAAGAATTCAATTTTTGTTAAAATCAAACTAAGTTTAATTTTGGACCCTTTGGACCTTAATGTAGACCAATTTAAAAAACAGGACCCAAAATTAAAAATCTAAATACACGGTTAGATTTGGAATATCAAAGAGCCCCAATAATTCAATTTTAGATGAAATCAAACAAAGTTTAATTTTGGACCCTTTTGACCTCAATATGAACCAATTTGATAACGGGGTCCACAAATAAAAAATCTAAATACATGGTTAGATTCAGCATATCAAAGAACCCCATATATTCAATTTTTGTTGAAATCAAACAAAGTTTAATTTTGGACCCCAATTTGGACCAACTTGAAAACTGGGCCAAAAATCAAAAATCTAAATACATGTTTAGATTCAGCATATCAAAGAACCTCATATATTCAATTTTTGCTAAAATCAAACAAAGTTTAATTTTGGACCCTTTGGACCTTAATGTAGACTATTTTGAAAACTGGACCCAAAATTAAAAATCTAAATACACTGTTAGATTCGGCATAACAAATAAATAAATGTGATCAAAGATTTTACAAATCTAATGCGCCATACTGTGCAATTAAAGATTACTTCTTGAAATTTTTCAATATTTGAAATTTGAAAAAAAAATAATATTTGAAGAATAATTCTTTTTAATTTCTGAAATCTGAAATGAGAAAAAATTGACCCCCCACAATTTCTTTTTATCCCCCCCCCCCCCTTTTTTCCCCCAAAAAATTCTTTCCCTCAAGATATGGTCATAATCTCAATTCAAATTTCCAATGGAGTTGGCAACCATAATTACCCATTTAATTTTACCATAGTGCTAACTTAATCTCTTTTATAATAGAATTAAAAATATAGTGTCAAATCTTTCATATGGATTTTTTTGTAAAATAAAATGATGCAACATTTGCAGATATTTTTACTGGTCTTCCTTTATAAATATGCATTTCTTTAAACATAATTTAAAAGCAGTGTAAGGGAAGTAACCAAAATGTTGTATTTGGATTACCTCCCTTACACTGTTTTAAATTATCTTTATTGTTCATTAACCATTACTTTATACATAATTTAAAAGCAGTGTAAGGGAGATAATTTCAATGATGTATTTGATTTATCTCCCTTACACTGCTTTAAATTATGTTTTGTACTAAAGTATTTGTCCATTAACCAGGACAACCTTGTTTTTCCCCCTTTTTTGCCCCTAATTCCTAAACGGTTTGAGCCATAACCCCCCAAAGCAAATCCTAACCATCCCTTTGTGGTATGGAAACTTGTAGTATAATTTCAGAGAGATCCATACACTGTTCCACAGTTATTGTCTGGAAACTAGAAAATGCTTATTTTTGGCCCCTTTTTGGCCCCTAATTCCTTAACTGTTGGTACCATAACCCCCAAAATCAATCCCAACCTTCCTTTTGTGGTATTTAACCTTATGGTAAAATTTCAAAAAGATCCATTCACTTAAACTAAAGTTAGAGTGCGAAAACCAATGTGTATTCGGACGACGACGCAGGACGACGACGACGACGCCGGACGACGACGACGACGACGACGCCAACGTCATACCAATATACGACCACAAAAATTTTTTTGCGGTCGTATAAAAACAAACAGCCTGATTAATGTTCAAAACAACAAATCAACAAGAAATATGATTGACAATTGACAACTTCTAGAATAATATTAACGGTACCCATTTTACTGCACAAGATGCACATTTCAACAAGAAGTCATATGATTAAATTGAGATTTGGGGATTATGTCAATGAGACAGCAACCAAACAAAACAAACAGCCAAAAGACATCTAGAATAACATTAAATGTACCAACTTTACTGCACCAGATGCACATTTCTACAAGAGGTCATTATATTGTCTTCAAAAGTAGTGTCAACAATATGCCAAGCTCTTAATCGTCCCAGGTCTAGAAAAGTTGTGAATAACCCTAACCATAACAGAGACTATCTAAGATCTGCTATCAAAACCAATTACCTTAAATGACAAAAACATTGAAATATACTAATGAGGTTCTTGACTTGGGACAGATACATGAACGTGACTGAGTTAAACTAGTTTTTGGGTATAAAGATTGCACACAGTGGAATGTATCCCTATCATCACTGACTGATTAGCTTTATTTCAGCCATATTCTCTACTCATCTTTTGTGAGTACTCACAACAATGTGTGCAATGAGTAAACAGTTTTAGATCCTTTCTATGCCCATGTTATGCAATTTACTAATGATATATAGTCCTGTATTCAATTTACAAAATGACATGTTAATGTATTACAATACTTGCCAAAAAAAGCATTTTTTACAAGTTGCAGAAAGTAGTGCATGTTGCATGAATCTATCTGTTCAACTTACAATTGTGGACAAAGGAAGATAACTCAATTCAAAATATATTGTCCAAATATTTTTCTTTGCTACAAGTGTGGACACAGATCAGTGTGGATAGTATGATTGGATGTTTGACAGTGTTTTATATGACAAAAGGAGTTCTATGTTTTATGTTTTCTATGTATTAACTGTGTTGCACAATGACAACCAACATGAGCATTAGGGGTGTTGTTTATGTAATATTTAGTTTTTTATGTTCAACACGGGCATGGAAGAGATACTAATTGCATTAATTACCAAATGATTATGATAGAATATATATGTTCCACATCTTTGATTTTGGATACATTTTGTAGCTAGGAGAGGAACACATAATAGGTTCATTTTTTTCTTAATCTGATTTTTTTATATGGGAGATGGTATCTGAGAACATGTATTTGCTTACTATTTGTATGGTTCTATTTATATTACTTTGTGGGGGATTGTCAGTATCATAAGTAAAAGAATTCGGTTAAATGTGGAAATTGTTTCTCAGTTTAGAAGACATTTAATGTTTTTTAGTAATGACAAAGCCTGACATGATGATTGGGGCTAGATGAGCTAGAACGTGAATTTCTGTGTTATTTTTTATTAATTCTTTGAAAATATCTCCTCCAAAGCTGGTCAAAGCAAAAAAAAGTTTTGACCAGTATGAAAATGATATCAACAAAAGAACCTTTGTGAGCATGCTTCAAAGACTCATAACTAACTACAGAAGTCATATGATAAAATGTCAAGTGGATATTATGAACATCTACTTAATATGTCTAAATATCTAAAAAGTTTTAGTATTCAATATGAAAAAGCTATAATTGCAAAAGTATTCTCTTTTCAGTTTTTTTTGTTATATGGATACAAATATAAGTGATACCAATACAGTAAGGCAGTTTTGTTATGGTATGAAAGTGTAGTAATTAACATTTACTGTTAATTCACACAAATTAAGAAATAAACAAATGAATGATAAATGTTGAACATGTACAATGAAATATATTTTAGAAATCAATTAGGCCAGATAGGCCTTATAAATTTTGGTCTTTTTCTTAACATACTGAATGACCATTTACACTCAGGACCGAGTCGCCAGTAGGCAGTACAGATGTAAAAAAATGTGGATAGTGTCCACATGTGGACACAGATGATGCCCCCGCTAGCATATCATATAGTTATAAAGGGACGCTACCCAAATTTGAACT